TTTCATAGGAAACATGCAAAAAATATTCAATCTTCACTCTCTTGACATAAAACTACGCTTTTACGGTGGTGAACGTAAAATCCCTACTTATGTAGTCTTTTTGAACTGAAAACGCATTACAGAATTTCGATTAACATCATATGGGTGAGGACACCTACTGTGATGGATCTTAGAGACACTTAATTCTGCTCTCTCGACTTTTTAAAATTCGGGTTTGAGCAATCATCCATCGGTCTTCATAAATGAAGGATTATTAAGCCATAATTGATCGCTTACCCCCAGCATACGGATATCACATAGCTATTATGTCAAATTTTGGGGATTTCAGGTATTCCTCTATTGTCAAAATTTGCAGGAAATTTTGAATTTTTTGGCTAAATTCATTTTCAAAAAAACAAAATGTTGTTATTTAGACATCCCTAATGTTTCACGAGACTGCTCTCGTGTGAGCGATTGCTTATCGTTTTTCTGTTATATGCATTTTTTTTTCTACCATTTGGTCATTCACGCCTGGTTCTGAATAGTCTAGACCTTCGTTGGGGGAATAACGTGTCCGTCATTCAGATAATGGGATATGTAGCTGACATTTTGCGTAAAAAAACTGAACCGGTGTCCAATCATATTTTTCCCGATTATGCCTTGAAATAAGTTCATCAATAATGCTATATAGGCCGCTAACTTACTTTTTAATTACTTTTGCTCCTTTCGGTGTGATTTTGATTTGATTTAGAGAGTCTTCATTTTTGTTTGTGCTGTTTTAATTAGTGTCACGCGTGCATCTTCTAATTAGAATTAAAGTATATCTTTTCAGTATGGCAGCAACGAGACGCTTTGCCTGGACTCAGCGGTTGGAGGCAATAAGTAGTTTGCATTCATAAATAGAGATGGTTATTTTGATACTGTATGACACCTTTCTCAGGGTGACCAACAGCTTTTTTAACTGAGCTGACCCGTCTAAACAAAAGTAAGCGCACTTTATGAAACGAACAACGTGAACGACATTCCTTTACTCTGTCGAACCTTCAAGCGATATATCAACACGTTGAATATCCTACCTTCTAATTAGTCAAATGTCCTCAACTTGGTGCATGAAGTTTGCAGCAGCTAGTTTGTCAGATCGAAGCTCACAACAGTTTAATTGCATAAAGTTCATTTTTTTGCGGAATGCCCTTCAGCATATAAATTATCTCAGTCAAATGCCGTATTACAAAGCTTTGAAGAGCCAAAGTTATTACTAGAGCTGTTTCTTCGACAAATTCCTTTTCGTACCGAATTTATCCACCAACATTAGGAGGTTGCCTATTTAAATTTTACAACAGATGAAAGGTGTCGGGGTTTACGGATGGTTGTCAATCACTCGCAAACCGGCACCATCGAGTGGACCCAAAATCCATATTAATTAGTAAAATCTTTAAGGGAACGAAAAATATAAGAGGAATGGTAAAGGTCATGCGAGGCTTTTCGGCAATTTAAAATTTATTAGAAATGTGGAAAATTCCGAAAAACCCAAAAACAATTTTAATTTTGACAACTTCGGTTCCCTACAAACAGAAAGCTTTTCCATATAAAACACCAAGTAAATATAGCAGCACAAATGGAATAATTCCTGAAAACTATCTTTAAATAGAGTTTACATTTAACTATCCTTTGCGAATTAGTGCAACTTCAGGTACGGCGGTTCGTCAACATTGTGGGTTTAGATTCAAAAACGGCTTTCCGAAGATTCCTTGTATCCTTAGCCCATTGAATCACATGAGATGCAGATAAATAAGACAAAAAGGATTGTGGTTGAATGTGCGGATAGAGATGTCATAAGCGCAAACGTAAACGCAAACATTCCCTTTTGTGTACAAAATAAAAACATTTCTCCCGTGAAACTAATTTGCATTTTGCCATGGTTCTGGACTGCGCTTAGTTCCCCATCAGCCTTGACGTATCCCTGAATGCTTCATAATTTTTCAGTGTTTTCGATCGACTGCTCGCAAAGACAGGTTCTATTTCATGTATTTGCTAAAATTTCAAACATAAGATACTGAAGTGATGAGTGTTTGTGAGTCTTTTTGCATGTAAAGGTTTCATCAGGTCACATTTGCAAACTCAACCTCACAGTTACTCTTATCGTTGAATAAAGCAAAACTCTCCAAAAACTTTCCAATGAAATATAATCTGGATCACTTAGACAACCTTTTCTAATAAGTTAGCTTCTAAGGAATGTTTTTATGCCGTATTCCGTTTTTTTCGGAAAAACCAAGGAAACTTTTTACACTTTTGGATAATTCTTTCAGATTGCTAAAACATGCTAACATTTTTTATCGCAGGGGTTTGAACACACCTTCCGTTCTACATTGCGACCACTTTCGCTGTTTTTGTTCACTTGATGCTCTGTTCTACGATTCTGAATGCACGGAATACCGTCCGTATGCATACTGTTGTGTTGTAAAAATGTTTACTGTTTCGTCCGTTCTGTTTTTGATCGCGTATGCGTAAAAGCTAAGCCCAACGAACAGTAATGTCCCATAGGTTCATAACTGAAAATGGCTACCCGATGGTAGTCAAATCTGTGACAACCGATATCATTTTCCAAACGGAGAAACAGTTTCGGCCCACTTAAATGAAAATTAACTGGTTACGTTAGTACTGCAGTGTGGGGAACTCAAGCGTACAGATTTGCTAATCCGATATCTAAAAATCGTAAATTCGTCTAGTCCTTTAAAAATAACCTGTGTATTAATAAAATGACTCTTACGATTCACATCAAACAAAAAACCAATTTTAAAGTTGGACCAGCTGTGTTTAGTAAAGCTCTTAAATGCAACCGAAGCCTAGCACATCGACTAGCTTAGGAGACTGCATTGTATAATGCATGATCGAGTTGATGAAGCAAAATAATCTTATAGTATTTCAGAATTGCCAGGATTTCAGCCTTTGAATGCACTTTTTTCGACTTCATTCGGTAAAAAATGACTACTTGTATAACATTTATTTTTCACATTAGTTTTCGATGGTCTTATAAATTCACATATTTTTTAGAACGCAGACACAGAAATATGCTTGCCTTTACTTGTTTGGTTAAAACTAACATTAGGCTAAAATTTTGTGGCCCAAAAAGCGCATATTTAGGTTTTAAAAAGTTTCACAATTCTCCAATAATTTTGGGCCAGATCAGTCGTTACATTACTATTTGGCGATTCCAGTCTACAAGGTGCAAGCTTTCCGCATACAAAAAGCATATATTCCTTCATGCTTATAAGAAGACACCATGCTGAGTTCATAAAATTTCGCAGTGGATGTGGCCTATGTTGCACGCTTTACGAGGAGCATTGGTAAACGAAGATGTGCGACGCTGTGTGAATGGACATCGCACAATCTTAAAAAATTTATAATTCGAAACTTTTTGAAACCCAAATATACACTTTCTTGGGGTAAATAATGTGCAGCCAATGTGGTTTTCTACCCAACGAATAAGAGAAAGAATATTTGGGTGCATGGTTCCTGCAAAAAATACTTGAATTTAGAAGACCATCAAAAATACATGTGAAAAATGCATGTTAATCACGTGGTCATTTTTTTACCGAGCATGGCTTATATCGGAGGTCAATAAGAAAGGCATTCCAAAGCCGGAATTCCGGCAAGTCTGAAATACTATAGGATGTTGTTCTATTAGCAAAATTACAACCCACTTAATTAATCCTTCTTATCCGAGAACGCATTTCAGAATGTCGGCCAATATTTCATTTGATCGGTAACGCACTACATACATTAGTGAAACACATTTTCTGCACTCAAAAGAGCATTTCCGTAAAACGCCTGGACGAGCGACCACAATGGGCAAAAATTAAAACGTCTGAAAAGCCTCACTTTAGTTTCCTTCTTCAGGTTTCATGAGTTCGGTTGCATATAGCATTTCATGTGTAATTTATTTAGTGAGAAATCTTATTTAGCAGATACTTCATAGAAACTCCTTTTAGAAAACAAAGCAATCTAACTGGACTGCTTACATAACTGGCTGAATAACATTTAAACGGTTGTTTATCTGGTAAAATGAGTACAGGTTTTCAGAAGCTTTTTTTTCGCCGTGTAATATATAACAATTTTATTCTTGGATGTTTGTGTGCTCTTTTTAAGAAAAACTTGTTGGAAACGTTCAACGCAGCGTTAACTATGTTGATATAAACGACATGTCTCAACTTCTCAAACCGCTTATTTAATTATCTACACTGATAAGAAAATATGAAATTTAGCATAACAAACAATAATATCCACATAATACATTGTTTTCAGACGTGTACATATGGAAGGTGTCAAGGGTGTTCCCACTTTAAAAATCAAAAGACCTTATCACGGCAGTCATGCTCGACTAGATAACCCTACGCACGTAGTTTAATTGTGGTAGGTGCAAGGAAATGTAAGTCTCATTCAGGAATAGGACTTATCCATTAACCTCTACGTAACAACGCTTACCACCGAGGTTGTCGCCTGGTGGGCTTTTGTGATTGGCCGCTTTCTGGCCTGTCGGGAGGACGCAGTTGTAGATCACGATTGGCGCGTAAATTCAGACTCCGATGGCAGTTAGTAGGGCTGGTAAAGTTGCTGCGACGACGACGACGTCGACGACGAAGGCAGCGAGTGCAGTTATTGCCAGAAAAATGCATGCATATTAGTTTTTAACTGTCGACGCAAAAATACACGTCGGCATCTGGCGCACTCAGAGCGCACCTATGTAAATGCTTTTAGGGGAAAAAACATTAGGACTTCATGTGTGCTGTGAGCAGCCGGCTACTTGAGAAAGCATGCTGCCCGGTGGATTGTTTGTTGCCGATCCTGTATATCTCGCACGCTATTTCTTCACCCTTCTCCTTCTGTTTGCAAATACTCAAGTTTTACGTACACTTCAGACGCCGACAGTGTATTCTCGACGAGCTCAAAAGGAAGCCCCGCAGCCGTCTGCTGCTTTCATCACGCCTGCCTTGTCTCAGAGCCCTTTTAACCGCGCCGTGAGTATGGAGAGACTTTCGCAGTCTAGCCAGCTTAGAGATGTTTCTGATTTCCGGGCTCTTACCGAAAAGCCGCCGGAGATCTCAGTGAAGGAACGGCTGCTAGTCAGTCTGTTGGAAAACTATCGTCGTTATGAGAGACCAACAGAGGGTCTTCAGTCACCCACTGTTGTCCATGTGGCCATCAAGATTCTGGCTATTACTTCGGTGGATGTTATTAACATGCAGTATACGGCAGACATGATACTCGTACAGACCTGGACTGACCCCCGTCTTAAGTGGGAAAACAGTGCCACCTTCGGGGACTTCAAGGACAATCTGCTGTTGACGGCGAAGCACGATGAGCTCTGGATACCGGATCTCTTTTTCCGCAATGGCAAGGAGGGTTTTATGTACAGGATGACAATGCCCAACTATATGATAAGAGTGAACCCCAGTGGCCGAGTAATTTACAGTCAGAAGATCACCATGAATTTGGCCTGTCAGATGTATCTACGCAATTTCCCCATGGATCGGCAGTACTGCGACATGGATATTGGCAGCTATGGTTACACGATCGACCAGCTGAAGTTTGTGTGGGATGAATCTAGGCCGTTGGTATTCGCGGACGACATGCAAATCTCGGAGTTCAACACGCCAACTGAGACTTTCACGGAGGTACGCTTTCGCTTGTCAAATTGTTCTATCACCTCCTGCCTCATAGTTGTTATCATTCGCGCAGAGATAGAGAGAGAGGGTTTTTAATCTACTAGACAGTCGAGCTGCTACCCGAATGCCATTCCAGTTGCGCGTTTAAGCCACCTTGCATGTTAACGCGAAAGTTTTACGGCACGTGAACTCACGGTGTTTCCATTGCTCCTTACCGGTCCAAGTATACGTCCACGTTCCCTCCTAATCGGTTAACATAAAACGTCATTTAATAAAGATGCATGAATTTTTAAACTGCCATCTCACAAATCCTGTGAAAAATGTTGTTAACTGCTAACTGTAAGATTATTTGCTCATTGAACAATGCAAAAACGCTTTATGTAAATCAACGGAAATCTCAAAAACGTGGTTAGCAAACTTTGTCTGATGAGATGTGATGATTTCGAGGAGCTAACTCCGCAGCAGACGTGACTAAATGGCGTACAGATGGTAGCTTTTTAACAACGAGCTTTTAAAAAATCACAGATGCGCATTACCTTTTAGTCAAAAGCAAACCCTAAATTACGCAAATATTGTAAGATCGCGTTTTATATGTTTGGGTATAACAAAAAACCTAAGATAAATTTGGATATCGCACTGATGAGCAAAAAGTTTACATAATAGACGAAACGCAGATATCGATGAACCTTGAATACTGGACAAAACCTCATGCAAACGTGAGGAAAATGTATTTTTGGGTTTTTAAATGGACCACGCAGTCCGTCGAACAACCATAAGCAGCCGAGTTTTACAATGATTTTGACATTGCGTATGCTGATCCGGTTTCTTCATACCAGAGAACGAAACACGTCTAAGGCAGACAATCTCTTATCTGCAGTGTTTAGCGTAATATTATGTTCAAATGATGAAGCACAATTCTAAAATTACCGAGTTTCTGGCCGTTCATCGTTTATGGAATAAAAAAGTGACAAAATGTAAACATAATCTTATATCTAGGGTGATATGTTTGACCTGTGTCAAACGTAGGTGCCTAGCTACCAAAACCCGACCTCTACAGAAAGTCTGCAAACTTAAAGTGGCGGAGCTGACTGGGTCTCGATTAGCACACGATGACTACTTTACGTGCAATCGTAGTCTTATTACGCCTTATAAAGCAAACACCTTTGTAGATAAGTGCATCACAGTCCTGGGACAGGTGATAGCATGAAATATGCAAGAACTACAGACCTGAAAAGAAAAGCACAATAGTTAGTAAGGCAACCGCAAAAAGCAGTACCAGCGTTCGACGGCCGAGTTTACAACGACCGCAATTCCTCGGATCACAAGCGCTTACTCCCATTCGTCCATAAGATGTCTTATGCTAATAGGCATTTGACGGAGTAGAACTCGGTTTGACGGATGTGAGCAACAAAATAGTAAACGCCCCATAGGCAGGTTAACGATAAAAGGTTTTGGCTTTTTTGGAACAGAAGCGTTGCAGTTCTGAAGTCGGCTGTTTCGGGCAAGAAGGACGAGTTGATATTTTAGTAGACAAATTGGTGCATTTAATGGTGTCCAGCTCTTTGCGAACATTGGCGAAGGTGAATGTGCAGTTAGTCAACAGGGGCATTGTGATAAATTTCCGGTGCGCTGAAAGAACCTGAGATAAAAATTTATTAATTCTTGAGCGACCCTAGTAACCCAGCTGAGAATTATCGGAGGGTGCTAGGCAAGTATGCAAATTCCAACGACCAAATTGAATAGACTGTGGATCAACGTACTAAGGTCATCTTGCGAATGCAATCGAACTAATGTAGGCATTCAACATGAAATAATGGTCACAGACTGTCTTGTCGTAGATCGAAAACGTGTGCAACGTTTACTCACAATACAGGCAAATCTGTTATTATTTCCTGTAAAATGAGTTTGCAAATTAACGTTTGAAAAGAAACCACGAGTTTTGATAACTAAGTGTCAACAATGCCTCAACTAAATTAAGAACATTCACCGCTGTTGAAACGGTGCATTGATGTGAGTATAACATACTCAAGACGTTTGATATAATTCTATCGCCTTCTCTGATTTAGGCCTTTGCAGTAGAACCTGCCAAAAGTTACTTAATCAAAAGCAATCCGATGCACAGTGCGCATGAAACCGCAGGCTTTGCTAAATGCCATTTTTAGTAACAAGTAATAATGGTGTTCCTGCATTTCCGAACGGTTTTCGGAGTGCCATATCCTGAAAAGTTAAATAATTCCTTTAAAGACTTAATGCGCTAATTAATAGTTTGCGGTATTATTCAAATTATATTTGTTAAGCTTACTAGTAAACCTCTTCAGCAAGAAGCAAAAACATTCAGGTCAGTTAATGTCCCCTTCTAAAACAGTTATCCGCTCATTCGCCACCCTCTCCTCATATGCCCAAAGCCCACGTGTTTTTAAGGTGAACTTAACTCGATTTCTTTTATCACTGGCATGCTTCTATTTCTTCCACGATTAAACTTTATCGGAAGCTATCTCTTCTTCTAATGACTGCTATGAGAATTTTCGCAACTCCGATTTTTCTTAATTAAAACATGCAAATAGGATATGGTATTTTAAATGAGACGTTTTGGCCATTTTGTACGTACAGATTTAATATCTCCTGAAATTATCGGTTAAGTTTTGATGTATTTGTCGTAAGTTACTTTAGTGAAATATGCCTCTCGACAAAAAAGGATTCGGGATAGGACTGCATGGTCTATTGCTCGTCCTCAACTTCTTTAAACGGTACTTCGCAATTTAGGTCCATGATTTGAACCTTGAGTTACTTGGACATTGTAGATATTCATTCTGCAATCGAGGTAGCTCACTGCATTACATCTAACTCGATCATATAATGAGAATTAAAACGTGGAATATTTGAGACGGACACAATAGCATAGAACTCCTTCTGGCAACCTCCAGCAAAATTCCAGACGTTCGAATTCATGTCCAAACTTTAAGTCTAAGCATCATCTTAAGACTTACCAAAAATTTAAGCCTCTCACCCCGAATCTAGATTAGTCTTGATGTGCTGACCATCAAAATATGCCCCCTCCCAACCCTTCCAACCGCAGCCCTAATGCCAAACACCCAGAATATAGAAGAAAATCATTTGTAATGCGGAAATTCATATTCCGTTAGCCACTCCGTTTTCGTTGCATAAAATCCAAGACCAATGAATGATTTACTAACGCTCCTTGTCATCGCATCAAATCAGCTTGCATATTGCAATCAAGGCTAGAAAAAATTGACCGGAGTTCGCCGGAGGCATTAGTTGCATTGCACATATATAATTAATGAATTTTAGTGATTCGACTCGAAACGCAGCACGTGGCCTCATGTGTTGCCTCATTTTCGTGATGATAAACGATCCATTCTTATCTTCGACTAATATTCATAAGGTGAACTTTACTCGATTTCTTTTATCACAGACATGGTTCTACTTCTCCGATGAAAATTTTTCAGAAGCTACGTATTCTTGCTATCTTGTCTTCCAATTACTGCTATGAGAATTTTCGCATCTCCGATTTTTCTTAATTAAAACATGCAGCGAAGATATGTTATCTTAAATGAGACATTCTGGCCAGTTTATATGGACTGATTTAATATCTCCCGAAATTATCGGTTACGTGGTGCATACTTGTCCTAAGTTATTTTACTGGAATGTGCCTCACTGCAAAAAAGAGGAGCTGGGGTAGGAATGCATGGTTTATTGCTACTCGTTAAATTCTTTTAACGGCATCTCGCAAGATTTAAACCTCGAGTTACTTGGACACTTCCGATATTCATTCTGCAATCGGGATAGCGCACAGCATTATAGCTAACCTGACCATATAATTAAAACTGAAGCGTGGAATATTTGAGACGGGCACAATAGCATGGAAACCCCTCTGAAACCTCCTGCAAAAATCCAGAGGTTTCAAATTCATGTCCAAACTTTCAGTCTAAGCATAATCCCAAGACTTGCCAAAAATTTAAGCCTCATGCTATGGTCTTGGATTTGCTTTCATATACCAATTCTTAAAATATGCCCATTTGTGACCCTTCCTACCGTAACCCTATCCTCAAACACCTAGAATCTGGACGAACACCATTTGCAATGCGGAAATCCTTATTCCGGTAGGCACTCGGTTTTTTCTACATGAAAGTCAAGAGCAATGAATGATTTGCTAAATTTCCTTGTCTTGGCATTAAACCAGCCTGTATATTGTGGTCATGACTAAAAAAATTGACCGGAGTTCGCCGGAGGCCTTAGTTGCATTAGACATATATAATTAATGGATTTTAGTGGTTGCACTGGATACGCAGTACGTAGCCACATCACTTGCCTCCTTTCCGTTATGTCAAAAGATCCCTTCTTATCTTTGATAAATATTTATAAGTGAAAGTTGCTTTTTTATACGTCCGTATTCTTTAGGTTACTTTTAATACCAAATATACCAGAGATTATTTAATTTAACTCGGTGTACAAGGATATAATCGACAACGTACGTATTCTTAATTCACAAGTTCCTAAACGGCAGTTGTTGTCTGATCGACCACTGACAGCCAATAAGTCTTTGTTTTCGCAATAAAATGTTTTCCCCATGATCTTATTATGAGCTGTCCTTCCGAAAGTGTATTCACTAGACTCTGAGTATGTGAAATGCTGAAATACGGGACTCTACCCTTATAACAGGTATAAAATTTACAGCACAATTCACCATTTAATAATAGAGCCACATTCTCAAAAAAACAAAATATTCAGCTAAAATGTTGCGAATTAAACTGGAAAAAATAGCCCGTTTGGGATGTCTGCATAGGGCGAAATTATGAAAACTAATGATGCAATAACACCCAGCGATCTGTTCTTACACCATTTCGTTTGATCGCTATTTCCTCCTAGTCGAGAGCACACCCTTATGAAAACGGCAGTATAATCTGAATAATATCATGCTTTTTCATCACAAAAATATCTTAAAAAATGCGCGACAATTCATATTCTCGGACGTTTAACTGAGTAATAACCGCAGATGCTGATTCGTCCGAGGTCGGAGACCGAGCCGGGTACTACCAGCATCACCATCATTATCGAGCTTGCTCGTATCCTGTCAACCAACATTAGATAATATTCACGTACATAGGAGTGGTGTAAAACAGTCTGTTCTTCACATCATAATCTCCAACACCAGACCTAGCTAAGTCTACAAATGAGCAATTTTCACGTTATACTATTTCCTCGCTTATGTAACTGCGGAGAAGGCAGTTTTCGAAAAGGAAATCAGGTACTACAGGTCGTATACCCAGATGAATAAGTTGCATTGCGGGATAGAGCTGCTGTGCTGCCGACGTTGTGGCTAGAGGGGTCGACTATCCACTGACAAAAAATGCAATGTACAATATATTACTGAAGTCCAAATAGGTCGCCGTCAGCTGTTTGGGGACGAATGGTCTTAGCAGCTGACCACGTAGGCTCTGGTCTAATTTGTTGACTTTCTGGCGGCTACCTTGTCACCAACGTATGCGGTTCGTGCCAAATAACAGAGAATTCCGTCTCGTGGTCTATAGGCCATTCTTATTAATTCTGTCTCAGCAAAGAATGAAAAATCTCAAAGATAGCCTTAACGTAGGGAATAATGTAGTTTTTCGGCAATTGCTGCCTTCGTCGCTATCTTGACTTGTGCGATAAAATGCCCTGGTTGTTTATTTACCCCAGTAAAGCTATGTAAACACAGTTTTTCGGTTGCTGCCTCGTCTAGTAGGCTCCGATTTGTGTCAATTAATTTGATCAGAACTCAAACACAACCGCATTTGTAAGACGGAGGGAACACCGTAGAATATCGTGCCTCATGCTCGCGAGGCTTTTAGGTAAGACAAGTTGTTTGTTTGTGCTGCCTTCCATTTTGAGCTAAATGTACAAACTAGCCGCTCGCAGCAGTTCACTGATGTCGTCAGTGTGTTTTGCTTTGAAAACGACGGAAGAACGTATGGAATTCTGCGCCTTTGCTAACATTAGAAAGCAGTGGTAGGTAAAACCTATTTACCTAATGGGGCAGGGCTTTAGTGTTTATGAAGGCCTCTGATATGCAAGAACCATGGTCTGACTTGTGTCGTATGCAGTCCTCAAACAGAGGACGAAGCGTGTCCTACGCTGACAATTCGACACTGGGCACGAACAAACTTCGTCGATTTATTGATTTTTTTGTCGTTTTGTAAGTGCATTAAATATGTTACTTATGAACACCACTCAGAATTGGCAACCACCGCCGGTGCCTAAAGACACTGAGGTAGAATTTTAGACGCAAGTTTACTGCTTGAAATTAAGAACTAATTGTTATTTCATTAAACTGATCTCTCTGTATGTTTTCGTGTGACGTGGAACACTACAATTAGGCAACGCAATCACAACTTAGATCAACATACAAGCTTTTTGGCTCTCGAATGTTTTTCAGATTGCACCAGTTGGGTTTTTTTAAATATTGTTAATCACTTCTTGCCATTAGTTAAGCAAACTTCGTAGAGCCGGCCTGTCTGGGTAGGTGGAATTCCATGCGGAAACAAAAAGGTTGCGAAAGGAATGCCTTTTACGTATTCGGCTAGGGATGCAAGCCGCATAGCTACTCGCATATTTTGGATTTCCAATGTTCATGCATTTCGCCACAGGAGAAAGTTGCCGAGTAGTTGTTGTTAGGGACGCTGTTTATGCGTCGGCCACGCCCGCTAATTCAATTAGTTCGGAACTTTACCTTGGTTGTTTTTATACGACACGCCCAAGCATTTTGTTTAATTTGCAATGCGCTAACTGCTTAAAAGCATGCGAAAAGTATGCACTGATGGTACGTGGTATCACGTATATGCCCCAACAGGCTTGAGTACAAGAGAGAAATTTTTTTCCAATGATTTGCACAGCGGTTTTATCGGAAAAGGAAAAACCTTAGCCGCATTTTACTTAGGATTGAGGGCTGTTAACCAAATTGGTCCTTTCAAACCACAGTACTCCAGGTAATGCTATTTAAACAAGACCTATCTTCAACATTCGGAGTACGAAATACGCAAATAGTATTTTTAGGCCTAATTACAATAAATGTGATAATTAAATTAAATGCAAACCGAAATTTTGAAATGCGATTTCGGTTAGGGAAGATTCATTAAGGGGGTTTGTGAAAACAATCATCCTGCAGCATAGTTCTATAATAATTCAGTTACCGCAAGATGTCGGACTTTCGAATGGAATTCTTTCCGGCTGCATGCAAAAGCCATTATGTGCAAAAAAATGACTGCTTATAAGCATGCATTTCTCCCATTGATTTTTGATGCCCTTAACAATTATAATTACATTTCATGTAAGACATGCATAAAATATTCATTCTTTTGCTCATTTAGCAGAAAATGACACCTTCTTCCAACTTTATACTCAAAGGAAGGGCATGATTCGGTTTATAAAAGGCTTCTAATTGCCAGATTTTTTAATACCGTGAAATAACCGTTCATAAAACGTCATGTCTTTGCATTTACCAATGTGGCTTTTGGAGTTAATGACATCAATCAAATCCACTGCTAAATATTACGAATCCCATGTAGTTTTCTCTTAACGTCGTAGAGGAATGCATGGTTTTCCGAGCGCGGAAAAACACGGCTTGAGGTTTGGAGAGCCTGAATGCCACTGCAATGGCAGGTCAGATTCAAAATCGCTCGAGAATCGAAAGTTTTTGAAAACCAAATTGTACACTTCCTTTGAGCACAAAATTTGAAGAGCACGCAATGTTCCACCGAATGAGCAAAATAGTGCATATTTGTATGAATGCTTTCCAGGAACTATAATCGAATTTTTTTAGGACATTGCCAATCACTGAGAAAAAGGTATGCTGGATACGTAGTCATTTTTACAGAGTATGGTTTTTGCATGCAGCCGGGAAGACGTTCGTCCCAACCCTGGCACCCTGAGGCAATTTAATTATTACAGACTAATGTTGCAAGATGATTCGTTTAAATAGCCTGGTTAATTATTCTTTTCGAAACGAAAACATATATCGGAATTTCGGTTGGCATTTCATGAGTTAGCTCACCTACTGTATGTGTTTGAGAAAGTGTTTATTTGGAGCACATCCATAAAATGTATGCACTCTCATATTCTTAAATATGCTTTATGCCGTTAAAGTATGTAATCACAATTACGGGGCATAAGCAAATGATAAATGAAACACTACGGCAGAATTATTTGTGCATAGACTAATTTAGAGTGTTGATTATTTGAAGTGTTCCGAAGTAAGACGTTCCATTTTGAAAATTTTAATTCAAAAATTAATGTCGCTCACGCTTTTGAAAAAAGTAAATGTCAAAAGAAAACGAAGTGTTCACCGGGAGAGGTGTATTGGAGGTCTGGTGTTTCGAATAGTCGTTTCTTTTATCCATCTTCTGAGACTGAAAACTCATGCACACAGCTCTTCGTTTATGGCGCACTTTGTTTGATGCCTGGCCCGCCAATTCCGCCTGAAGGCTACATCCGACCCGCATGTCACCGTGACCTGAATCTCGCCCATTTTCGTCGGCCGCGGCGATAACTGACGGCATCGACTGTGCCGCGCCGTAACACTCTCCCACAAGAATGTGCGTAAAACCAAATAGGGGGGAGGCAAATTGATGTGGCGGTTGACAGAATAGTCGGTAGACATCCAGACTACTTGCACCTGCCTTTCTGTATCAACATCGCCTCGGCCCACAATTTCAACGGCGTCAAAGTTGAAGATGTGTCCCATTTCGGCGTCGCGGGTGTCTATGTCCGACATTGTGTCCAACATTCGTACGGCCAGCATATGCTTCGTGCATGCGTGTTTGCAGTCGTCGGCCGGTTTCCCCACCGTAGTTGCATATTCCGCAGCTGCACTGAAGTCAGTAGACAACAGCCGGCATCTCATGCTTAGGGATCGGGTCTTTTGGTCGCATCACCTGGCGTCAGATTTTTGAGTCAGGCCTCTGGGCAGAGTCTCTTCTGAGCGGCGCGTGGGATCTGGCTACGACTTCGAAGACCCCTTTCATATATGGAATGCACCGCCACGATTTTCGCTGTTTATGTTCTTCATACCGCTTCCTTGGTTGCTTTCGGCTCCGTTCAACGAATTTTCGCGCATAGCTGCCGGCTCTGAAGAGTTCTTGGAGGAGCTTCATTTCCTGCAGTTTGGAGACTGGAGTGCTGCAACGAGTTTCCACCGTCTGTATAGCGTGCGTATACAGCTTCGTTTGTGTTACATTGGGTGGTTGCTGTTGTTACTCGTCGGTTTTCTGTAGACCGACGTCGGCAGTTCACCGTCTGGGTTGCGGCAGACGAGAACACCAAGAATGACAGTTTGGTCTCCACTTCCTCCTCCATCGTGAGATTTAGATCGGGACTGACTGAGTTCAGCGGTTCTTCGTAGCAGTCAATTTTGTTCTGGTCTATGATTACGAAGGTATAATCAACGTACTTCGTCCAAAACTTGGTTTTGTATTCCCCGAACAGTCATTTCTCGGATTTTTGCAGAACCTCCTCGGCAATGATTTTGGAGATTGTTGAACGCATCGGAGTGCTCTTAATTTGCTCATATGTGATCCCCTCGAAGGTATAAAATGTCCTATGGCAGTGCCCATTAGTTCTATGAGATCCTGAGCTGTGGGCTGGCAATCATCCTCGTCGTAATTCTGACGTAGCCGGTCACTGAGCGTCTCGACCACAAGGGCCTGTGGTATGGACGTGAAGAGTGAGACAACGCAAATGACCGCCCTTATTTTGTTGAGGAATTGCTCTGCTGAGTGTGCTGTTGTTTCTGAGCCCGCTGGTTAGGAATCTTATCTTCCGAAACAGCCAATTTGCGAGTCCGTATGTGGGTGGGCCTCGGAAAGAGACTATTGGTCGGAGGTAAATATCTGGCTTGTGTACCTTTGGGAGACCGTAAAATCTCGCCATCCGTGTTTCTGTGAGTTTTGTCATATACCAGTCTTTGACGGCGATGAATTTTTCCTTCTTTAATTGAGACAGAATTCTGTCTCTGAAGAAGAACATAAGAAAAGACTACTCGAAACTTCACACCTTCAATACACCTCTCCCGGTGAACGTCTCCATTTCTTTTGGTACCCCACCTGTGAATCGCATTTTCACTACATATAATGTGAAAGTAAATTTATTCACCGGTAGGAGGCAAATAAACACGAGTGGTCTGTTGTTCTATCGTTTTGTCGCGGAGAACGATCGTCTTGACCAACTCATGCACATAATAATGGGTTTTCTTCATTTGCACTACAAATTGAACGTCCATGCATCAGTGGCTTAGATTGCTTATTTACTGTGAAATAGTGGACATAATGGAATCATTTTCTAATCGCAGAAGTCGAATTTCTGCTTGGCGCTTAGATTTCTTTAAATACACAAAGATGCGTTTTCGATACGCGAGTTTCGTTTACATTCCAGTATCATGTTAATCTTAAGCACAAACGCTATTGGCAAGGAATGTATAGATGCAGCGGTATCATTGGCCTAAGTATATTTGTTAAAGGATTCTCTCTTCCCCCTTCCTATCTAGAATAAATAATTACGAGATTTTCAGCCTAATTAATGCTAGCTGCTGTATTGCATAAAATGCATCATAATGGCTAACTTAGTCACGATATTTTCGGTAAAGTTGTTTAAATCGAAGTCGGTTTATGGCTTCGTTCGTGTGGAAGCTCAGATATCTACGGGATGGCAACAACTTTTAAATCCACAGACCGCATTCCATAATTGTAATTCAAATCTCTTCTTGTAATTACTTAAAGCGAAATTTTGGATCTATCGGCTTGTTGCCTAATGCTTGATTGTTAAGCTATAAGCATTATCGAACATACATTTTTAAAGCCTGATAATTCCATCTGCATAAATGATGCAGACGCAGAGCATTCGAGAATGTAGATATGAAACTTCAAATTCGTTCCAGAGAAAATGACACGAGGCCGATTGATTAGATTTCTTTAAACTGACCAGAAAATCACATTGCCCGACACCTGCGCATTGCTCAGCACCTCTCAGACTTGGAGTTCCACACAGACTGTCCAACACTTCTGTCGATTAGTTTTCTTTAATGTTGGAGATATCGGCTGGGATGAGGCGATCAGGACGACGTAATCTTAATTGTGTTGGGAGAAGCCTCGTAGTTCAAACAAAGGCTATGTCGACGGGAACTGCAAAGGTTCGATGACTTCAAGGTGCTAGAGAAAATTTGCCTTATCGTGACCGCGCATTAACAGGGTTTGGAAAATGTAGTATGAGACCATTGGGCCGGTCATGTCGAAACGGAAAGGACACTGCTTCTTAATCATCGGCATTTCTGACTAGCTAGACGCTCTGTTGTGTATCTTGTGATAAACACTTCAGATAATCAGTTTTCACGCATAAGAGTGTTTAAGTGAGATACCTTTTAAGCGTGTCTTATCCAAACTGGGTTAGATATCTAACTTCAAGAGACAAATCACAGAAATGTGTGCGCTGTTTTGTCCATACCATGTCTCGCAGTAGATAATCTTTTATGTCGGGTCTTTATAAGTACAGGAAGTCATCACTACTTCTGTTCGGGATTCAGATTAAATGGTGAGTGAACTCGATTTCTTTTTAGTGAGTCAGATGTGCAAATTATGTTGTGGAAACTTCATCAACGTATCATCACTAGGAATCGTGGCTCTCTACAATCCGGAGAGTCTGATCTTTTCGGCATGCCATGAAGATTCCTCGCTGCTATAGATAAAAGGGACTACCCCTCCGTTGTACCCTCCGTAATGCGCAAAGGTTGGTTAGCGAATCGGACGTAAACACTCAAAACGCAACCTTTTGGGATTCCTGACTAAATTATGAAACCGACTAAGTAATGGAACATTATCATCCCATTTTGCTCAATTTAGAGCGTTTGATAACTATTAAAATGCCTAGAGATGGCTGCTTGAGCCTAAATTATTTTTACAAAATACCGTTTTTCAACATATGATGTGCTTCCTGAAGCGAAATCATTAATTCGCAATGTCAAAAAACCTTTAGTACCCCTCTCCCACAAACTGGGACTTCGAAAAATAAATGGTAGAAAATGTTCTGCTTGACGACGTCGATCTTTGCGACGACCCAGTTGGTGCTATGAAGAACCATTGTAATTTCCTGACAGTTTGATGTTTTTGGCATATTTCGCATATGATGCACGCGTTCGCTGTTTATTTTACTGCTTTTATACCAGATCTAATCAAACCTCTCGGAGTATGCAAATTGAGAGTTCTTTTTTACACACTTTTATACATCTGTACCGCACAGCTCTAAAGCAAACGCATGAGAGTGCACACAGTTGGCGTATTTTCTAACAGTCTGTTAAAAATCTGCTTGCGATTCTTTTCATATATTTGAACATCGACAACCCAATTCGCATTTCAGCCCCATTCAATAATGACTTCAAATAGTTACAGCGAGTGATCGATCTCATGAAATGTTGGCTGAAATTCTGAAATGCGTTTTCGATTAGGAAGGATTACTTAGTCACGGTTGTAATACTGATTAGCTTAAGGCATACTTTTATAACATTTTGGATTAAGCAGGAGGTCGGCTTTTAAATGCACTTCTTTTCAATCTCCTGTACAGTGCGTGCTCGGTAAAAAATGACTGCTGATGTAGCATGCATTTTTACCATTGATTTTCGATGGTCTTGCAAGTTTAACTATATTTTATAGAAACCATAAACAAAAATTTGATTTTCTTTTAGCCAATCAATAGAAAATCACGTCTTCTTTATATTTTATACTTAAGGAAGGAGTATAATTAAGTTTTAAAAAAAGTTTTTTAATTGCCGACAAATTTGGAGCCTGATTATTCGCTGCATTAGAGCTTAGTAATTTCACTCTACGAGGTGCGTGCGTTCCGCTTAAAGAAAATCGCATATTTTTCTATTCAATTAAAGAGATATCATACAGAGTCCAGAAAATTTTGCAATGGATTTGGACGATATTTTACATTTCATGAGGAGCGGTGGTAAACGGCCAGGTACGATGCTATGTGAATAGACATTTCGCCATCTTAAAAAGTCTCATAGTTAGAAACTTTTTTTAAAACCTTATAATACTTCTTCTTTAAGTATAAAATATAAATAAGACGTGATTCTCTATTATTTGACTAACAGAAAGCAAATTTTTGTTTATGGTTTCTATAAAATATATTTGAGCTTGCAAGACCATCGAAAATCAATGGTAAAAATGCATGCTACATCAGCAGTCATTTTTTACCAAGCACGCTCTCTACAGGAGATTGAAAAGAAGTGCATTTAAAAGCCGACCTCCTGCCAAGTCCGAAATGTTATAAGAGTATGCCTTAAGATAATCAGTATCACAACCGCGACCAAGTAATCCTTCCTAATCGAAAACGCATTTCAGAATTTCAGCCAACATTTCATGAGATCGATCACTCACTGTATTTTATTGTTAAAAAGCCTGTTATCAAAATATATTCCCCGGTATATTAAAGGTCTAAAGTTTCATGCAAATTCAGGTCATTTTTTATTGAAACGAGGCGTTTAGTAGGCTTTAGAAATGATTTTTCTGAGACAAAAATAACGGTGGATATAAGATGGGATGTCCCCACGTGTATCATTCACCCAATGTTTATCATTCTCCTTCAAACTAGATCTGCTTAGCTTTTTCACTAACAAACAAAATGGCGAGTTTTTCGGATATTTCTTTTTTTGTAACAGTGCTGCTAGGTGCTGGTTCAGAGGCCAAAATACAAAGTTACCGCATTTCCGCCTACCGTCGTCAAATAAGACAAAATTATAAAAGTGTCACTGTCTTGACTGCACTTGTGCTTCCAGACGAAATCCCTCGGGGACATGAAAATTACTCACCCGTGCAAAGATATCACCGAGGAGCTGTAGCGAGACGGTTCGATTTTAATGTTGCATTGTCACTACACATAAACCTTAAGGATCGACCTCCCTTAAGACAGTAGACTAACCGTTGCACGACTGCGCGCATTAACTTTCTGCGAGATCAACAGAATAATTCGTCATTTTAGGGTAAGAGAATGCCATAGTAGTGGCAAAGGTAATAGCTAAAATCCCGCACACGCCTGTTTCGGTAGTAATCTGCTTCTGAATAGCGCAGCTGCGAGGGGTTTGGCTTATCACTAAATAGCAATAATATATAAATTGGAGTATCAACCAGAAAGCAGACGGGAAATGCTGAGGATCGCAGCGATTAGCCAAACTCCTCTCAGCGGTACCACGAAACGGCCGAAAATCAACGGGACATGCGTGTATAGTCTTTTAATTAATACCTGTACTGCTAGAATGATATCTTTTTTACCCAAAATATACTACCAGCTGCCTCTCGGCTGTTTAGGAATGGGTTATATCGCAGTTAGTAGCCAGGAATGGAGAGGCGGACAGCCAGGTTCCTGTCGTACGGGACTGGTAGGAAAGCGGGTTATATGGGCGGGGTAAATGGAAGGGCTGGTAGAGGAATGCTAGAGTTTCTGGGTAAAAATAAAGTTACCAGGGAAAGTGATGGGAAGTTTTAAGTAGGTGAAATAATTACAGAAATTTAAACCCTACGCTTAACCCTAAAACCCAACCGCAACCGTAAAGCCTAACCCCAAGCCTTTAAACCGAAACGAAACCAAAATCCCAAAATCCAACGTTAACCAAAAACCTCGCCATAATTTTCATCCTAACCTTGACCATAACCTTAACCCTTACCTTAACCGTAACCCTTACACTGAAACCTGATCCTAAAACACAATCCCTAATCCTAAAACTTAACCTGCGCCTAACTCTAACCCTCACTAAACCCAACAGTCTGAGTGAAACGGGCAAACTGCCTAACTCAGTAAGGACGCACCTACTGGTAACAAGTTCCTTTGACAGGGTATGCACACCTACTGATAAAAAAATACGTACGTCGACAGTATAATTTCTGGCTACCAACTGTGATCTAACCGATGAATGTTACGCGGTTATTTGATGTGGCAGATGGATTCGACCAGATATGCATACATCAGATTTCTGTCGATGCCTATAGATCCAAGAATATACTAATCTACTCCAAGTTCGCAATTAATTAATGAGGAAATTAAAAGGCAACATATTTGACAGGCGAAACTCTTGCCTAAGTTTTCGACGCAGCTAGGTCGTCAAAGAGTTTCTTTCGGAATATCAAGCCAGTCTGGAAGGCCTGTTCGCTTGCCATTTTTGTGAATTTTGACTTCACACAGAACACTGTTTTGCAACTGAGAAAGTTGCCTTTTTCTCTAGGACGCAGTAAAATAATTTGAAACTCATTCGCGCAGAAAAAGTGCCTACTTTTCACGCCACGACTTCCTAATTTGAGGGCTGTTAAATCTTTAGGGTATAACAGGGTGGTGTGCCAATGTTTGCTCGCAGTAAACATGAATCACAAAATTGACAGACGCGATCAAGGGCCTACGAACAAGATAATATTTGGCGATTGTCTTGTGAATTGAGAAAACATCGTTTTTGGGCTCATGTTGAACATGCAAAAGAAAATCGTGAGATTCGCTTTAACAGACAGTACTACTCAACAGGCCCTAACTAAAATTAGAGTAGTAGACAGCATTTGTCTTCACTTAAAGTCAACCATTTAACTGAGTCGTGTTTACACTTATAATATAAACATTATACACTTGACGACTATTTAAATGAAGGACACTGAACCAGGCTAGCAAACCGAAGGCTGCTGATATTAACTTCATTTCACGCACCATTTACACATTCAATTACGATGGGCACGTTCATGTACGAAACTGTGCTGCTTCGGTGATGCAGGAGTATATTCCAGTAGATGGATATACATAAATTTATGGTGCTGATATCTGTAGCCATTACAAGAACTGTCTTTTTGTGAAAGAATTGCGCTGCTGTGGTGATCTGTAAAGCCGCCGTTTGAAAACCATGCCCCTCTGTATTGGTAAGCACTTGTATGACCATTTGTGAATAGATTAATAACCAGGAACACCGCGGTTGACGATAACTTCATGTAAATAAGATCACACATTATGGAGTATGTAGGTGCCAGGAGGCATACTGCGGCCGACTAGCTTGATAAACGAAGCCAATTAAGATTTAAATTGAACTATTACGATGCTGACACAGGCCTAACCTTCGCACTGCTTTTGTCCGTGTGTCAGACTTCGCCTAGTCGTAAAGGGTAGGATGTAAAAAGGAGAAAAAATTAAACGAAGTCACAGGCGAAAGGATCAACTTCTGTACTTGTGCAACTGGATCCAGCACGACATGACTACGTTTATCGAGCCGTTTCTCATCTTTCCAGAATGACCATGCCAGTGGTTCGTCAGAACAACGGATTCTCACAACACTACTTTCTTACTTGTCGTCTATTCTCAAAGTTGGCTAATCGTTATCAGACCTGCCACGCTATGGACGGTTAAAACACTGTCGACATGAGATTGCATTGGAAGATACGATGCAGAAAGCGAAGTAAACAATAGTGTCGGGACAATAATGTCGGTTTTATTCTGTCTGTAATTTCTTCAAGGTATTTACCTTGTTATACTATGATGTAAAAACTCATATGCTCTTTCGGGTTTGTATGTCCTGTATGTGGCCAATACTGTACGCCGAAAGATTTTGTTGCTATTTCGACAGATTTTATAACAGCTGTCAAAAGTATTGCTTTTATCTTGGTTGCCACTAAGACGTTAATCGAAAATCAGGACATTATTTTACCACTAAAACCAAACTATGGAAGTTACCAATGTTCGTAAACAGATCACATTGTTTTAAGTTGACAACACTTTTCAAACGGCACAAATACGTTTTTTGACCACACAAACATCTCTTAAAATAAACAATGCCAAAAAGGCTACAAGTCAAATAGCGATAATTTCAACTGTGTGTTTATCGCTTAAAAACGTAAATCGATTATGTAATTCGTTCATGCCGATTTTCTGCGAAGACTTTTGTAAAACCAGGCGAGTAAAATTGGCTATCTTACTTATTAATAATTTACTGACTTCACTTTTTACCTTTCCAGTTAAATTTGACCATTTTTAGAATGCATGCCACTTTTTATCCATTCTGTTTGTCGTATGTTAACCAGAAACAAGGCGAAACGGGTATTAGTAGTTTAAGTACGCGAAGCCATTTCAAACGGAAAACTGTGTAGCTTTATGCACTAAAGGCTATATGGGACCCTAACCTGATTTCCATACAATACTTCCTGATGAACAATGGCATTAGTATTCAGATAGTCATATTGGATATACATAATATAGATCACAGTAACGAGCAAATTTCTTGTGGATCTCCGAAAGCCCGGCAGAAATCCCTGTTTACCATGATGGTTTATCAAAGTCTAGCTCTATCCTCAAGTATTATCTAAATATTTACCTGCCAGTTAGTTTTTCAAATACGAGAATCCTTTATTTCCTGTGAGCTGCTGCCGCGCTCCTTTAAATTTTCCTGGAGATTAATATATAAAATTTGATTAAAACCGGCAGCCAAAGAGTACAACGAAAACACTGCTTTACAATACTGGCACCACAAATATTAATTAATAGCCTAGACGCCTGTTTCACCAACCTTCCGTTGCTGCATCACGCAGCTGTAAAAACTTCGGCTCACCGCTGGGTGACATAATGCCTCTCACATGTGTTTTGGTTGTGGTCTACTTTATAATGCTGTCAACCTGACTTCATTCAAAGAGTATGAGCAAACTTTGAGTAAATCCGCCGGAACCCGTCTTGTTGCTCTCGATCCAAAAATGGCCTGGATAAATGAATTGAATTCCATCACCTCATGCTGAAAACAAAAGCATATACCGGGTATCTAATGAAAATTTTTATTAACCGAATAATACGTCCAGCGTCTGTCCTAAGTGTTGGTGTCGCGTTTGGCTACTGGCGTTATAAAAGGCAGCTTACATGACGACGCGTGGCATCATACAAAAACCATGAGGTTGATTTTATCCATCACAGTTAAATAATTAGTCATACAGCAGGTGGGATAATTCATTAAATGTCAACAGAAATTACGAAATGCGTTTTTGCATCGAAAACTGATCATTATGAGGCATAATTCTATGATAAATCAGTCAGAGCGATATGTTGGCTTAAGAACAATCTTAGTTTTAGCTGCATGCAAAAACCATACTCTGTAAAAAAATGGTCGCTTAATTTGCATACATTTCTTCATCGATTTTCGATTCCCTTAAAAATTCAATTATAGTTCATGGAGAACATGCATAACAATATTCCTTCCTTTGCTTTTTGGGTAGCAATTTACTTTTTTGTATTTTATACTCGAAGGAAGGATATAATCCGGTTTTCAAAAGCATTTTCGAATTATCGAATAATTTTTAAACCCGCCCTGACATTACACTTGCATTCAGGGTTACTAACCTAGAAGCTGTATACTTTCCGCTTACAGAAAGTCACTCATTTCTCTAATGCACTTGGCGAAGACTAAATAGGTTTCATAACATTAAACAGTCGATATGGGCCGCATTGTTAACTATACAAGTCATGTTGCTTAATGCATAGACATGACGTTTTATGAACGCCTATTTGGCGCTATTTAAAATTGCACAATTATAAACATTTAAAGGCAAATTTTACCCTTACTTCAAATGTAAAACTAAAAAAACGAAAACTGCAACCAAATGAGTAAACGAATGAATATTTGCATGCACGTTTGCCATGAAATATACTGGAATTGTTAAGAGAGTCAAAAAACAATGAAATAAATGCATGCTATTTAAGGGGTCATTTTTAAAAACTATGCTCTTTGCATGCATGCGTAAAGCCATGCGTTCAAAGCCGCCGTTTTGATCTGACTGATGTATTATAGTATTGTGTTTCATGAATATTATTTTTAACAAAACTACTTAATTAATCTTTTCAAAAAAGGGCCATTTTGTATTTTCAGTTAATATTTCATGAATTAGCCAACCTACTTTATAAACGAAACGTCTTTGTGTTGTGCGCAATTTTTGCCCATCAACGCAAAGTAGGGTTAAGTTGTTCATCGACCATTATTGGCAACGTCGTCATAAACTACCAGAATAGATCCGTTTTCTTCTAAATGCTTACATTATTTAGTAGAACAAAAAATGCTTATTGATTCACGGGTTTTAATCTTTGTTATGAATGTGATAGTAAACATTGGGGTCCGAGTGTGAGTTTTTTGAATTCCGCTTGGATGTAAGTGAAATAAAGACACCATTAAATAATAAAGTTCTAATTCTTGCTTTATTCCAAATTGTTGACAAGTGGGTGTCCCTATACGAAATTGTGTCGGCAGTTTATCCCAGGATAGCCTAAGGCATACCTGTCAGCCAAGCAATATTCTTTCGTTCGTTTTCCTGTTTGACATGTTAGTTTGATACTTGAAGCCCGCGGACATGAAGGTAAATTATTCCTTTAAAAATCGTCAGTTGAAGAACTGAAATTGTGAATAAGTTGCGCAGCTCTATATATATGCTTCCAAGACTATGCTTTGGGCTTGGTTCAGAATTGGCCATAGACAATAATGATTTAGCGCGCTGAAATACGGCCTTAGCTCTGAAATAATAGAGACGCCTGAATTTACCATGTGAAATTTAGTTGTTGTGTGGGTGACTATAAGCGTCTCTTGCTAATTCGCTGGACGCACTGCCGTCACTAACCCTTGTTTATATGGACAAGCAAACACCTAATTTTGCGAACCCTGGAAAAGAAAATTCTTGTGAAATTCACTCTTCGAAAAAGTTCTCAAAATATTAAGTAGTATAGTAGTGAAACATCTTTGGCCTATACCGGCGCATTTGTGATGCCTGGATTATTCGGTTCTCCTGGTTTAATTTGAAGAACTTTGTGAACTGATGCCGAACGACTTGGGACTGGTGTTTTCGCTGTAATTTAGTATAAGCCAGGCCCACGGCCAAAAGTTGTGGATATGTAGACGTCTGATCGATAAACAGCTGACCTGACTTCAACCAGCTCTTTTCCTAGTTCTTTAACATGTCAGTGAAATTTTAAAAAGCCGCCATGTATCTTAGTCGAAGTCTGGAACTTTTAATATAAAACCAGACAATGTTTTCGCGATTTATTTGTTGCATCAGCCTGTAAAGCAGCTAGGGCCGATCACAGATGAACATTTGACTTGAATCTATTGTAATTACTGGGCTGTTGACTACTGTACACAAATTAACTGAACGCGGACAGCGTCTGCACAACGTAAAAAAAATCATGTAAATTATACAAGAAACGCTTGAAGAGAATGGTGCCTTCAGTCCTCTTGTAAATTAAAATTACTTGATTAATTACCTTCGCGCCTGCATGAATGGACGTAATTAATTGGCAGTCAACAGTTGGCTGATTCGCGTTCTACCGTAACTTGTAGGTGTGCCCACGATACCTCGTTTACCGGCTTCATTTGAGTAGATGGAGAAATTTTGCTTCCATATCATGCAGCGAAGTGTGATTTATAGCGTCGAAGGTTGGTCGCATAGCAACTGACATTCAGTAGGCCATATGTGTAGTTTGCACTGTCCACTGTTTACGCAGACACCTATTTTTAATTTCCACTGATGCCAGCCAAAGTATGACTTTCGATCTAAGGCTATTTTTACATCTGGCGAGAAGAAATGTCATTAAATGAAATGCATTATCTTTATAGTCCACTTTTTCGGAAAGAGCGCCAACGTAAAAATTCGTTGCTTGGACAAGATTGTGGGGACACTCGTCATGGCTGTGAGCAGTTTGCCATGATAGGAGGATTGTGGTGTCTCCCAGACAAACAGCATATTGGACTAGTTGTAGTAAACATAGTACTGACATAAAACAGTAAAATTTTAAGTTGGCACTTGAAATGCCTTTAGCTCCTCACCACTCTATATAGCATAAAATAAGACCATATTTACAGGCGACCACGACATTGTCTGGTTTTGCGAAGCCTACGGAGCAGGAAATTATTATTTTTTTATGACTAACAGTCGACTGGATTCGGATGTTTAAAAATATGTACATCGCGGCCAACCGACATGTAGCGGATTGTAGTATGCAACGACTGGAAAATGAGTGTTTAAATATGATCCCTGGAGGATATTTTAGCTGCGTATTTCTTTTAATTCACAAGAGGTTAGTACACCGCAAAAGAACCAACCTGCCTGAACCTTAAGAAGTGCTATTGGTGCCATTTCAACTACTCTGTAGATGACAACTGTACTTTAGTTAGTGCTTGACAGCGCACTTAAGCTGCTGGTCGCTACAATTTGCAAGCTCGCGGCAAAAAGGTGATGTGGCCAGGATACATATGACGGAATTCAGCTAACTACAGAAGAATGTTTTTAATCTCAATTTTGGAATTTTTCAATGATCATTAGATCATGCCTAAGGGGAAGTGAAATTGTGGAGTTTTTACACAGTTCTAAGCGGCTATTTGCAGATATGCCCACAGACTATCGCTGACGCAGTACTCGGAGGAAGAAGGCCAGTCGAAAAGTGGATGCACCGTTTGATAAAATTGCATTTTAGAATTTGCCCCCGAGGACATCTTCAAAACTGGCAACAGTAACATCGTAAGCTGCACTTCTAACGGTCGTTAGCCAATAAGCTACCAATGCCTCAGAGCTGGAGGTGCATGCTAACACAAACTAACATGTCTAGTGGCTGGTGCCTCACCATTGGACCAGGCTTTGATCGGTCCTGAACTCTATAGCCTCAAACATTAAAATGATCTGAACGGCATAGCGAATTTCTGGCGTACGATCCCTACCTGCCGTACAACAAGACATGCTTCTGTGCCGTTCTCCTTTAGGTGGCAGCTTTTAAAGACCTCAAATATTTTTGTGGTTGCCCGTTTGAAGACGCTAAGATATGTTCGGACCGTAGAATGCTAGTATTGTTTAAGTCATCGTTGAGTCTAGAAAATCGGATATCAAAATCACATGGTTAACCGGTTGTTTAGTTTCCGATAGATTTTCGCCCATATTTTTACGCGAGGTTTCATATTGCCGGCTCAACAGTATTCGCCTTCTTTGCGGACCTGCATTTCAGTAACAGGGAGGAACTCAATTTTTGCGTTTTCAAATTTTTGATGCAAAAGTCATGGTTTAAGTTGATCATCTTCTTTTGTCTGGTGCGGCTCCAGCAACGATCAGGTAAAGTGCCTTTATGCCGTGCTATCAGAACAACCTGTTCTGGGATTGATTCCTTACTATACAGAAATAAGCTGCTTTCTGGACTGTCTAGAACGGACCAAATCAAGAACTGCTCCTCCCTCATTCGCACGTCATTTAGAAAACAGAATTTGTATACTTTTTGCAATACTGACAACCCAGGTAGAAGCTAAAAGATTAGAAACTCGTGTTTTGTCGATCTTGTGCGCTGCCTAATGCAGCTGCGAAGGGTTCGGGTCATCAGCGGGTCTGGTATATAAACCCCATTTTAACTCTGCCCCGTTTAGTTTCTAAGGAAGGGAATGCGCGATCTTGGAGTAAATCCCTCGGAACAGGCCTTTTCAGGCAGGGTCCGAAATTTGATATAAATATTTAGGCTGAAATTTATCAGCTACTGCGAAATAACCGCGTAATATTCACAGACCGCCAACAGGCAGTTATTAGTATAGAACTATGCAATTATTTAGTTTCTACGTGGTTGTCACTTAGGGGAATAGTTACATAATCGTATACAGCTGGCTAACTTTTGTCGGTTTGTGAATATTGCGCGGTTATTTTTCAGTAGCTGATGGATTTCAGCCCAAATATTCATATTAAAATTTTAAACCGTGTCTGAAAAAAGTCTGTTCAGAAAGGAGTTACTTTAAGGTCGAGCATTAATTACTTGAAAATTAACGTGACAGCGTTTGCGGCCAGAACGTTCGTATGGGAACAAGTGTTGCAAATTCAAACCGGACGAATTATTAGCCGTGTAAATGGTCAAAACGCATTCTGATTCCTTAAGGGTCGCGGAATCCGTTGGACCTAATCTCAAGTAGAAATCACCAAATATTCGATCATTTACTCTCGCCAATAATCCGGATGCGATATTCAACGATTTGGCTAATCGTTGCGTCCTAATTATTTGTCAGCATATGTGTGTTCACAAACCTGCCTGAACGTTTTCCTTTTACAAATTATAGCAAGTGTTACAGAGCAAAAATTAAAAGGAGCTCTCTGTTCGTCACCTATGAAACGTAGAATTTGTGTGCAAGAATATCTGCGAGATTTTGTTCTAAAAACATTTAAGAGGGGCATGTAGCCTAGCTATAGATGTTCGTCCTTTTAATAGTATTTTCGTCAATTCGACTTGACAGGTACGCCAATCCTTATGTACTGATTGTCTGTAGGTTAGAACCACAGTTCAATATATCGCAAATGTATAACCCACCGGAATAAAGTTATCACTACGTGTTCGCAAATATCAGTCGTTTTCCCGACTGAACATTTAACACACTGGAAAGTGATTTTGTAAGCACGACAGTTTTCTAACAAACAGTCCTTTCAACCTATGATATAATAAAGGTTTATACATCGGATGCGCAAACGGCTACTGTTTAGAGACATTAAAGGTACTTGTCGAAATTATTAATGCCTGGGTTTTCTTATCGTGGTAGTAACGATCGCGTAGAGGTGACCGTGAACTGTTAATGATTCGTGTAACGAAGTTCACTTTTTCAGATAAAGAATCAGGACAATTAGTTATCTGAATAAAACATGTTAGTTAAAAATCAATTCAATCGGCAACTTTAATTCCGCATGATCACTCCCGTCCGTGTCATAAGCAGCTGCTTTGTCTAGGCACCCTTGAAAAAGTGTCTTTCCATTGCGATTCTTTTTGGATTGAGCTGTTAAAACAGTGATACTAATTGGTAAGTCCCTGAAATGCCACACCAACATTTAAATTCAGCTGAAACTGTTGGATAATAAGAACCTATCAATCATTATTAATTTTTTATTAGCAGAAAATCTATAATTTTTGGATTCGTAATTTTTTTAAGTAGACGCTCCCATCTGTTTTATACGTTTCGGGACTCATAATTTTTTCGAAAACCTTCTCCTGAGGAAACTTTAGTAGATATTTTTTTCGATTTTTTCTTTGTCCCGCAAGTCTGATTAGTTGTCCAGAAACTCAAGACTGCCGTGGGCGGCACACAGCATGCACACAAATTTGTGTTCTACAACCGGAAGGTTTTATGCCTCTAAATGAAATTGAATGCTTGCTTACGTTTGGCTGCATAATACAAATGCTAAAAACAGCTCTCGCACAATTATAGACCTCTTTTTTCAGGATATAATTGCACACCACATCAGTTATTCATATAATTGCATGTTAGCATTATTTTCATGTGCTGAAAACATTTGCATTAAAATGTTTCCCAGACAAAAACGGTTTTCTAAGGCATACAAACGACAGGGTGGGACCAGTGCTTGAGTGAACACGCGTTTCTGCCCTGTAAAAGAAAATAATTTAAGGTGGAGCCTGTCCAACATTGCAGAATGAGTCGGAAACAATTTAAGGGTGTGTCTTTCTGCTTACGCCTAGAGGAACTTTCGTTTTTACGGTTTGTTAGCAGGTAAGGTAGGGGACTCAACGCGTATTTTTTTCTATCAGTGAGTTATCACCAGTGAATAGTAGGTCTTGCAGTGGGTTATTTTCGGTAACGACAGCTGAAATGTACCTTTATCTGCGATGACTGTCAGTGATGATAACCACGCAGAAATATTAAACGTCAAGCTCGGCAAACGTACACTTTTGAGTATTCATCATCAGGTCTGTACAGAAGTATAAGCGAGGGCAAATAGCAAAAGTAAATATCCAATGAAAGTAAGTGTGGGGAAAAGCGTTGAGGGGCGTTCATAAAGATTTTAAATGTGCCCAACAAACTGCACGGCAACATTCTGTTTCAAATCGACCTAAGCCCCTCTGCCAGTCAGTTAGCAATTGCATAATACTGGGAATAACCCATGTCCAATATCGATCGCATCGAAAGGTCTGGTTAATGGAACTTTCACAAACCGTATATTCTGTCGCCTATTCCCCCTGTGAGTTCAAGCGCTTTGAAGTTTTGTTCATTACAAAAACCTTGTTCTTTCAATTTCCGAAGAAATCTCGTAATTTGGGCATTTATACCATGTGTTTGGTCCTTATTTTCCCTCTCTATTTCTTTTATTTCCTTTTCGGAATAGAAACACTTCCGTTCATTACAACAAGACCGGAAAGCTTGCTTGGTTTTTGGTGCGCGTTTCCTTGTTTTTACGTAATTCACTGACTTCCTCGAGATGTTCTTTCGTGATGTGCTTGACTCTGTGGTGATTTTGCCCTAGGGTGTTCGTATCGACTATTCAGGAGGGTTGATTTGAACTACCCCGTTTCCTCCGGCGTCGTAGATACTAGGCCATACGTCTAATTTATTAAGTTTCCTAGATAAAATTCTGTTTGGTCTTTGATTGTGAAAAAATACTTATGGCATCAGTGGGTTTCCTGTGTGAAGTAGTCTTTGGTTAATCTCTTCTCAAATGAAAACCGGCGTTCTCCGTCTACATGATAATTGATGTTAGAAAAGACACTCAAGCATGTTCCTTGGCAAGGCGCTCAAAGGACATCTTTTCCTCTAGTTATGACGTCACAACTTTAGGCCATGTTATAATGACGTATGTCAAACTGCCGAATCACCATATATTCACCAGTTAATTGTTGCCTGTGCTGAAAATCCGCCTCCAGCGAGACATCGTACCAAGAGTTAAAACTGTCCGTTATTTGTTAATCGTAATTATCAGCATACCTAAATATTAAAATGAAGATCTGAAATGTGGTTTTCGGCTGAATTTCAGGACAAAAAAATTAGGGGTAACAAGTGAATGTTGATGTTCATTTAATTTATTTTAAATTTATGACCCCCGATACCTTAAAAACGTGTATTACCATACATGCTGAACGTCAAGTTGTATCCGCATCCGGAAAGGTATCACAGCTTGCGCCGAAATATTCAAGAGATTTATACAGCGGTTTTGAAAATTTGAAACTGTGGGTTATGTCGAGATCGTGAAGTATCCATTTAAGTAGCATCGTGTCTGTCCGTTTAATACGACTGCTCACGAATGGCGCTACATGGTCTATATTTTATATAATATTATATGCGGAAAATAAGGTACTTTCTCTATGGCTTAGAAGAATAAAGGATTTTTCTTACCTGGCCTGTGCACAGCACAAGGACACTGAATCCTTAACGCTAATGTGACGGCACGTAAGGTTCAAATTTACTCCGAAGTTTATACAATTTTTGGAAACCGGTACATACCCTTTCTACTGGCGTAGTGTGTAACGATGTGGCTTTCCACCACCTACGTAGAGGAAAGTTAATTTTTAAGCATTCATTCGGTAAAATACGCTTGAATTCATACGAAAATTGAGGGTAGATGTCAGCAGTGTATGCTTAATAAGTATTCCGTCTTCCCGTCTGCGTTGTATAAGCTTTGCCGAGAAATGTGCATTCAAAAGTCGGCACTCTGCTGTGCTGAAATTTCTTTAAAAGCAGCCGCAAGATGACTAGCTAGTCTTCCAACTCGAAAGCGTATCCCAAAAATGTTTCATTCCTATAGCATCTGATAAATAAATGAATATGAATGGATGCGCACTGTCTTCTCTGCATATATTTGTAGTCGCTATGTGATTGCCGTCAGGACCCTGGATTGAGTTCAAAGGTCCAAAGGAACCTGTACATCATGTAGCCTGATCAGCATTCTCGCCGCCAATCAAGTTCTTAATGATCGTCAATTTGTCATCGATATTGGCAGTTTGTGCGAACATTACTCCCTCCTAAAGCCTAACCTTTCTGGTGTCGTGAGCACATCTCACGCACAAGTCCCTGTCGTGTCGAATACATCCCCTCTGACCAATTCTAACCACGAATACGTCTGCAGGCGGTCGTTTCATTTATTACCGATCTGAGGACTCCAGAGTATCATAGTTTATGCAGATCGCAACTAATGCCCTCGTCAGTTTTCATGAGGATTTTGACCTTAATAAGGCCAAAGTTGTAATCTTATCTGGCCGACTGAGCTGCGACCTAAGTATCTACGCAAATTCCGAGTCAGAACAAACTCCCTTCCGTCATTAGACATCACACTTTTCTCTTCTACACAAGCAGGAATTTAATAATTTAGGAGGATGTTAAATACTGGGTTGCGAACCCTGAAACGCTCTTTGCCAGGTCTTTGAGTTTGCCTATCCGTTTCAACGGCTTTGACTGTTTACTTTGTCGTTAAAATTAATGGATGTTCAAACCCTTGGAGCAGAGACTGCGTATAAACCATTTTTCTAATTTAGTCGTTATAGTTTTTTTTGAATCTGGTAGTCGTTTTGACTGAGCTGCTCCAGTCTATTTACGCAAGTATGGAAATGTGCTCATGCGTTTTTTCGCTCCTCTTGCTACACATTCACTCCTACAGATGAAAAAGATAACGGCATGGGCTCACTGTTTTGTATTTCTGAATTATGGGTATGTTTTGGAGATCTTATCGCTGTAGGTTTGATTAAGTATTGCAGTTTTATGACAAAGTACTGTTGTTAAATTTAGGAAGATACGTTGGTTTAATTCAGGACTTTAAGGGAACAATAGACTAACGCCCTATTCGTGACTATATCTAAGAACTCCGGTTTTTTATGCATGAACCTGGCTGAGGTAAAAACCAAGGGGTTTGCCCGCTGAGATACAATTTACTTTTAAGGGTAATATAAAGGGACGATTGTCTGTTAAACCAACGCCGAAATTTTGCCCTGCTTATTTTCCTACATTTCGTAAAGAAATGTTAGATTTTAAACTACATATGCATATGTGTATACGAGAAAGCGACGACGTAGATGAGCGTAGAATGTTACAGCTCTCTCACTCTCTCAGCTTTATTCACACTTCACTCGCCGGTCAACCATCTGGGACCAACCGTTCGACCGTCGTGTCCGTCGATGTCTACCGTGTGCCCCGCACGATGCTGAAACAGGCACGGCGAGTTGCGAGTGAAGTATTATATAGTGAGGATGGACTTGCGTTGCATCTACTACACCCGCACTTCCTCACTTGGAACCGGTGTCAAGAAGTCCGGGGGTGGGGCAGGCCGTGGGTGGATGGCGCTGCCGGACCCACGACTAGGCGGGCCCACAACAAGCACCCGACCAGAATTTTACACCAACAACAACAGCACTACAACGGATTAGAAAGACGACGAGGATGACTAGGCAACCATGAGCACGAACTGCGTAGCCGGCAGGAACGCAAGAGCATCTATCCGCAGGAACTGCGAGGCATATCAGATGCTTGCACTCCTCGAGGTCCATTCAGCTGGGATTACAAACACACAAACATGGCACTCACCCAAAAAAACTAACCCAGAACGACGTTTATCAGATTAGTTCTTAACATTACGTCCGTCTAAAGCGTACTAGTGCACTATCGCAAAGCATTATCTGTCGATGCGTGTTGAGTTTTTATCCACACAGCAGTTAAAAAGCAATTTTAATCGATTAGCGTAACTGAGTGTTTGTCAGAGTAGAATAAAATTAAAACGTTTTAAATTGGTCTTCACTTTGTAACTCAGGAGATGTCCTCAAGTCAAGTGTTATTCTCAAAAGACGCAAGGGGGGAGGAAACTGCATCCCGAGCTTTTTATTTTCCTTCGTCGCAGTTTTTTCAGTGAATACATCTGCGCATTTAAAAGCGCACAGGCCGAAACAATAGCAGGCTGAAATGCGCAATTCAATTTCTCGAGATAAAACCAACTTTGGCCTTTATTTTAGTTGGACACCCCATAAACAACCTAGTAATTCGCTGATAAGACATAGATGGGAAATGCAAGCATCTATTTTGCAATGGAACCTGATCTGTTATTCGAAAGCGTGTACGTCTACGTGAGATCGAGCCCTTCCGAAGTGAGGGCCATTGGAATGCTTATTTCCGGTTTGTTGAGCAGCATCAGTCATTAATAACTTACCGCAAATTTTGGCCACCTAGGTTTTGAACTCGCCACGTTTTGCTTATTTGTTATAACGCTTTCCGTCGAGCTGCGGTCACACATTGACTATTGATTCCGATCCGGTACATAAATTATCGTATGAAGAGCATTTACGGAGCACCAATGCTAAACTCGACGAGCGGATCAAGCAACCCATTCAGTTTGCACTTTTCCAATGATGAGCTATTGCCTATGACTTTAGTGCTCACACAGCCACCGATGTGGCGCACACTGTAGTCTCATTTAATTTGGGGTCAGTACGCCTTAGTGTTTGATACTTGGGTAAAATTTATTGCATATTTGTTTATTGACTTACCGTGAGTGACCAATCCTATAAAATGTTGGTCATAATTTTGAAATGTGTTTTTGATTAGCAAGGATTGCTTAAACGCGGTTCTAGTACTAATTGTCTTACGACATAATCCTATAATATTTCGGACTCGTTAGGATGTTACCTTTTGAATACACCGCTTTTCAATCTCCTGTAAATACCGCGATCTGTAAAAATGACTACTTATATAGCATGCATTTTTCACACTGATTTTCGATGATCTCGCACATTTAGGTATACTTAATAGAAAGCACGATCAAAAATATCCTTTATTTCAGTCTTTTGACAGTGAATCACATAATCTTTAATATTTGTACTCGAAGAAGGCGTATAATTAAGTTTTAAAAACGTTTTCTAATCCCTAAAAAATTTGGAGCCTAATCAGCCTTTGCATTAGCACCTACTGATTTCAGTCTGCAAGGTGCATTCGTTCTGCGTTAAGAAAATCACACATTAATCTATGCTTTTAAAAAGACACCATATGGAGTCCATACAATTTTGCAATCGATGCCGCCCATTTTGTACATTTACGAGAGACATAATGCTGAATGAATAGACATAACACGGTCTTTAAATATCATAATAAAAAAACTTTTTTAAAAATCTAATTATACACTCTCTTAGAGTATAAAATATAAAGATAACACGATTCTCTATCAAAAGGCTGTAAGAATGCATATTTCCGTTTGTGCTTTTTATAAAATATATTTGGATTTGTGAGACCATAGAAAATCAATGTAAAAATGCATGCTACATACGTAGCCATTTTTATACCGATTACGGTTTCTACAGGACATTGAAAAGCAGTGCATTAAAAAGCTATCATCGTATTGAGTTCGAAATATTATAGGCTTATGTCGTTAGTTAATTATTATTACAACCGCGCTTAATTACTCCTTCCTAATCAAAAAAGCGGTTCACAATCTTGAGTAGTGTTTCATGAGATCGTTAACGCACTGTAATTTTCCAGTCAGAGGTCCAGACATCTTTTTGCCGATCATATGAGGCTGCATGATGCAACTGCTAGAGTGGCGCTGAAATCTTCCAGCCTCAGCCGGATAATCCAGTTGTACTTGCAATCTCCCAAGGGAAAGTCAGTAGTATATGAATGCCTTTTTTGCGATACAACTCATCTGTTAAAAAGTCAGTTACATGTGTTTCTTTGTAAACGTGGTATATAAAATAAGGTCATTCAGGACTTTTAGACTGCAAAATAGATTGAGATTTCTGGAAGCCACAGGTTCACTAGTGCTGCGGCAGGCGTAGGCCGCCTGAATTTGCTTTTAAAATAGGAAATATCCATATTTGGCCTATAAGTTTTGGTAAAATGTTTTGCATTTTCTTCTACAAATATAAGGCCACATTTTAGGTAACAGTGGGTTGTGCAAAAATAAATGAGAAAGTGCATTTAATCACAAATGGTGACAATGATAGAGCCGAAAACAATGGTTGGTGCCTGACCGTGATACACGTGAATGTACGCATATATATATATATACATATATATATATATATGCGTATTTTTGATTCTGTTGCCCAACTCACAGTAAAAATGCAAATATGATAGCTCTCAGCTGGCACAGACGCAATACATGTTGGCTATGCCATCCGGTTTTTCGAAGTCGCGAAGCTCACAACCTTTCGAGATTTAGTAATGTTCCCCAAGAGGAAATGATCGCAGCCACATCCATTTTTGGCAGTCTTCTCAGCAACCGCTGATGACCTAAAGGGCGTCACAATAAATACATTACACTGGATAAACTATGAAAAAAACGATAATCTCGGTGGATCTAGACTATCTAACTGCATTCGCAAGGATAACATATAACCAGAGTTTTTAGCACTGTTCTACCTAGGGTAATATGATTTGTTGCAGCAATAAGGCCAACCTACTTCGTCAGCGTACCGTAAAATTTGAAATTAAGTGTTTTTGATACAGAGAAGCGACCGTCCGAATAACTGCCACACATATGCCACATTAGCTTTCTGACAGACCCTTTAAAATGAGCTGACTTCCGATAGCTCATATTTATGCTCAAATCACGCAGAAGCCGCCATGTTTTTTAATGTTGACTGCAAGTATATATTTAATTATTGCAGGCCACAAGTTTTTCATTATTCAAGCAGTACGATTTTTAAATTTCTATTAAAAGCAAATACTTAAAGTGGATTTTTTCGTTTTTCCATCTAATGAAAAGGCCGGGCTATAAATGTACACTATTTGCGGAAAGGAAAATGAACAACGCTCAAATCTGCCCAACATCTAAGAGATTGGCTCCAAAAATGTTCAATTTTGCTTTGCGTGATCTCTTTGCTCAGTTAGGGGCTTCCGAACTTTTATTTCTGCTTATGCATGCCAAATGTTCACACCGGAGGACTAAGAGTGTAGCACGCAGTCTGCTCTCGTGCCAATACGTTATCAAGCTGGATCTACGAGTAGAGTGTTTTCACAGGTTAAAAACGCATTTAACCTATCCAAAAAGATAAGGTGATTCAAACGGCGATGACTTTCGACGCAAAAAATAACACGCATTATCATTGTGCAGACCCCTTGTAACCGAAAATGTAACGCGGTTTATGCATCTATTTACACGTTTGCGCGCATATAGGCATATTTTGCTATAAGGCACTTTCCCGTAAACAACGGACTTTGATGAGGGGATTTGCAGAATTTTTTTTCAAAAACGTCACATGTCCTTTAAATTCCAATCCATCAAACTTTTCATGCAAATCAGACATCTGCATTTTGATGCAGGTCATATTTTTACTTTGAAATCACCTTGCGTTGAACCCATGGCAATTTATGTGCAAAAAGTTAGAGGTCTTTTCTCGAACGGGGAGCAGGATAGAGTTTTATACTTTATTTTTATACAGATGGATCGCGGGAACTCATAAGTACGTTTACTGAATGCAAGAGTTTTCTCAGTACTGCAGTCTCAAGCAAGGATATTTATCACTCCAGTGCGATCGTAGATTATAAACGACCGCAGAAACGAGTTTTTAATAGAAAAACCCATCGAACTCCCCTGAATACCGTTTCGGACACGAGAGAATATTGATTTTTGAACGCACTTCTCTTCGTCAACCTGCAAAACCCGCACTCGCTAAAATGGCTGCTCATCTGGTATTTACAATGATTTCCGATGTCCTTAATTTGCAATACGCAATCAAAATATTATTGTACTTATTGAGTAAAATCTCACTTTCTGAAAGGGTTAATAAAGGTTTTTTATTATCCGATTCCTGTGGCCCAAAAATGTTATTTTAATGTCATTGCGCATGACGGTTCATTAATATTCTCTCTAGGTATACAAAGTAGTTCACATTTTTCGTCTCCTCTAAAGGTCTATACTGTGCATGATTCTTGAGCTAAAGATATACAGCTTGTGGTCTTTAAAGACATGTAAGGCTCACAGTTATTCGGGTAACGAAAAAATTTTTTTAAATCCCGAAGATTCTAATATCCGTGACAATTTTTGAATACGTGACTCCCTACTAATTGTGAAGAAGAAAGGATATACTGTGCATGTTTCGATAAGCGATTTCCTGGTTAACAAAAGTGGTGAAAACAGTAAACAATTTGGCACGATTTTAGTAACAATTATAGCGTGTGTTGATTATGCAGGCTTTGAAAAATATCCGCACTCGAAAACCCTCACCGCGGCAAGTCTGAAACATTTCAACACATTAGTCAATACTAAACTTTTTTCTTAGGTTATTCATCCTAAATGAAAGCGTATTCTAGAATTTCATGAAATCGGCCACTGAGTGCATATTTTTGCTCAACTTTTGTATGCGAAAAACATCCGGCAGACACAGATTCGTCTCTTGGTAAAGTCCAACCAATCTAAATGATCAACACAAGCCCATGCCTTTACTCATGTCCGTTAGCTCATTGGGTTGTGCTTTCTACTTTAATTCCAGACAGTTGGTGATTCACTTGCGATTGTTTTCGTCAACATCATTTGCCTTAATCCAAAAACACTCTGCCGGATGTTATTATGCAACATTTAATTACATACTGTGTCCATGAGCTCTCTTTTCTTGCAAACATGCCTCAACACAAATGTTAAAATGGATGGCTATGGTTACTTTTAGAATACGCAAATATGCGGACACAAGTTGAAACGAGCTTCAAAAGAGCCAAATGTTCATTGTTTTTGCTAGGGTATAATATACAAATGACTAGGATGGGGCATAATTAATTGTTTTTCATGTCCGAAAGTCATTTCGCTGTGATGTTATTATAATACTAAGTATTTGGTTTGTTATTTACATCCCCACAATGCGTCTGCCCAATAAAACCTATGGGGTACTGTTCTGTGTCCAGTATTGCGTTTAAGTTTGGAAAATTCTAGGTTTGGCTCGAGGGAACCTACTTTCTGGACGCTGTAAATTTTAGATGCGCGTTGAGTACCGGACGGATAATTGTATAACGATAAGGTGCATTCAAATTGGGGATGGCTAAATATCAATTCCCGGTGGATTCACTACCAGTTTGTTGTTTTTTTCTTCGTCCATACAAATTTACAGAGTTATTGAGGTTCAGTAGGACAATATGCAGGAGCTTTGTAGCGTTTTTTGTATCTTTGGTGTATTTGTATGTTGGACGTGCTAGGACGGTTCCCTGTTTGCTTCATTTTTAATGTAGAAAATTAGAAAATCAGAAATTTTATTACATATCTATCTAACTAAACAATGGAACTTTGGCCGTAAAGGATGGAAACGTAAAACATGTATCCGAACTATTATAAAGTTATTATCAATGTTTTTTTGGCTTCGACCAGACCACACCATTTGTGCAGCCTAAACCATAAAGGCATATTTTAGCCCCTATACAGAAATCTGTAAGTTACTAGGTGTTGTAAGAGACTGTAACATGTTCTGCATCGCTCAGCAGCGCTTGCTTCGCAGCATATGTTTTAAAAATCTGGATGAAACATAAGACGAGAAAATTCAGAAAGCAGATATCATTATGGTTTTTTTCTACAAACAAGTCATCGTAGTGGCGATCAAAATTTTGAACTGGGTTTTTCAATAATACTTGTATTCTGACACAAATTCTGTTAACTGCTTCCAAAGAAACATTTCGAAACGATGTACGTTATGTAGTTTTTTCTATGGCAACGACTTATTTATTTAAAAAGTGGAACCGTGTTTACGTTGTTTGCTAGTAAAAGGAAGGCACAGATTGCCGCTTGTTTACTTTCTTCTCTTTGATAAATATACATAATCTTTATTTGCTCACTTGTCATGGGTGCTTTGTCTAATCAGTAAAACGCTCTTAAAGAATGGTTGAGTCTGATCCAGGGACAAAGCATATAAAAAACTTTAACAAGCTCGTATAAAACCTTTATGAAAGGAACATCTGTGCCTGGTAAATTCAACGGAATTCATATGCGACAGTCGGCAAAATAAATAGAACCGTCTATGATCAATTTTTCGTATGCACAATAAGACTGACTTTTTACACCATAATATCTGTGTGTAAACTATTATAAAGCATTTGACAAGTAAAACTGAGATTAGACTTGCGGCTTCTGATAAACCGGGATTTATCATACTATGGCATCTAATTCACGTAGATTTTGAGCTTTCCCTAGCGTCTAAACGAATATTTTATTTGTAGCTAAATTAAAGAAAGTTTGCCAAACGGCTTAGTTTGCAAAGACAAAACGACAATTTTATTTTCGTTTATCGTGCAGCATGCAGACCAGCAAAATAGAACGATTAATTTCTTGCCATTTTTATCTTTCTTTCAATAACATGTGCATTTTAAATCCTGTTTTATTCCCTGAATTATTCAAAATCTGCCAAAACATCAATGGATTACGCGGGCCTGGTAGTCATCTGGTGGATTCTAGGTGAATTACTTAGGAAATCCTGCTTGGGCAGTCAACTTGCTGTATCAGATTTGGTGGATTCCAGACGTTGCAGTAGGTTGGGCGGGTAAACTTGACCCTAATGTGATTAAACTCGTGACGTCCGGCGGGGCCTCGTAGCTCAGGTGGTTAGAACGTTGGCTGTACTAAAGCCTTCTCCTTACTGCGTGGGTTCGAATCCCACCGAGGCGCTGAGTTTTTCACAGTTGGGTCAATATAAAAATCCGCCAAAACTTCATTGTATGACATCGAAGTCACATAGATTTTGAGCTTTCCCTGGCGTCTAAACAAATATTTTATTTGCAGCTAAATTAACGAAAGTTTGCCAAACGGCTTAGTTTGCAAAGACCAAACGACAATTTTATTTTCGTTTATCGTGCAGCATGCACACCAGAAAAATAGAACGATTAACTTTCCTGCCATGTCTATCTTTTTTCAATAACATGTGCATTTTAAATCCTGTTTTGTCCTCTGCTAATGATGTAAAGGGTAGTTTGCAGGGTACGTCGTCTGATTTTTAATAGCCAGCATGCCCAAATTGTTTCAACGAAGTTTTCGATCAAGTTTTGTTTTTGTTGCGACAAAGTTTACGCATAAATTTGCGCACACTTAGTGTCGAGTCAGTTCAATTTCTAAGACTTCGCCTAAATAAGTGCAGATTTAGAACCGTTTGCTTTAAAATTCAAACTTGTCGTTGAATGCCGAAATGATGCCAAATACGCTTCTGAATAAAAACGATTTTTATCCCAAAATTTCGGTCTACGCCTGATCGTTTGACAGTGCTAGATCATTATCATGCCTCGCCATTTGCGCATTATGTCCGGATTAAAACCATCTGCAACATTTTGTTTGAAAGCAGATATTATTTTTCTTTTTGACATGGGGCTTGATGTCCTAGAGTAATGGCAAATTTTCAACCCCTAATTAAGTTAAATGAGCCCACCTTATATGCTCAAAATGGCGTTTTGTTTCCAAGTAGATTATGCGTAAACGTAACTGCCCCCGATAGCTAATGTAGTTATAATTTGTCAGATTTACAAAAAACCGATATTCGCAATTGTCTCGTAAATAGCACTAAATAAAATAATTAATTTGATACACAAGAGTTTTATCTGGACCGATCGTTAATCAACGACCGTCGTAAATAATGGAAGCCCATTAAACTTTTCCGTAGGACATGTAGTTGTTTTATCCTTTTGGTGCTATTACATAATTAATAAAGGTTAACTTATTTCAGGACTGCACTGTTCCGGGAACAACGAGCACAGGTACATACAGTTGTCTCCTGGGGAAGTTTCAGCTGCGACGACAAATCGGCTCCTACCTGGTGGGCACTTATATCCCAGCCTTCCTGATCGTAATCGTTTCGTGGCTGACATTCTGGGTCAACACTGACGCCATACCTGCAAGAGTTACGCTTGGCCTTCTAACGCTCATCTCCCTCCTCACAAAGGTTGGTCATTGTACAAAAGTTGCATGCATTTTCTCGGACTTTCCGGCCTACGACAGGGGTCTGTCTAGTGCTGTTCTTTCCGTTTTTAAGATTTTTGGGGTAGATCATTTGTAGTAGTGTATAGAATACTGCCTCTATGTCATTACTACCGAGGTGCGGGGCCCAAAACCCTGAACACAAATGAATTGGCCAGGTGCGTCCGTAGCGTGTACTATTGCAAAAATTCGTTTTGATCAGCAGGCCTTCTCTTGTTTTCAAACCTACGTGTTAGGCAAATACGAAGAAGCAACTGTCCATACTGTCTGAAACCCCAAAAAACCACGAACAATCTTTGCAGGTATTGCTTATCAAAACCCGATTTCTTCGGAAGGCCTCTTCAAGCTTATTTTGAAATGTCGCTGCATTATTGCTGCTACCATTTCTTTAATTTGCGGACTAGATGGTCCTCATCGCTACAAAAACCTATTTTTAGGTATTTTAGGAGCTCTCCATAAGTTAATAATCAGCTTAAAATATTGCTTCAAATGACGGACACTTTATTTTAAACTACTGCGTTAGCGTAGGTACTACGCCTTAAATAAAATGCACAAACGGTCACGGGAAGACTGTCGGTAGTTGCATGACCAGATCTCCCCGATGACCTTTGTTATTGATAGATTCAGAAAGCAGAGGAAATTTTTTCAACAAACTTTTCTCAGAGAATCATTTAACTTATCTACCACGCGCCTTGCTTCATTAAAAGGACTGTGTCATAACGACCGAAATCGTTTTACGTACGTTTAGAAAATGCTTATTAACAGGTCCAAAAATTCAAATCCTCGTTTAATGGTGCGACCGTTCGCAGTTACTTACGGAATATTTGCCTATGTCTGAAGAACACTAATTTGCCAAAATAGGCAATCATTCTTTTTGGAAAAGAAGTATTTTTTTCCTATCTTTACGCTAAGGCATTTTATAAGAAAATTACTGACTTTGAAATCAGAATTTCAGAGGTAAATGCATGATGTGTTTATACAGATTTCTCGTGACTGATTTGCGTGGTTAGATCATGCATTTAATAGAATCTCCTTTAGATTTATAAACTTTGTATGTAAGGCACGGAGAGGGAGACACAATCTAAAAAGTTAGAAGCAAACACATTGTTCGGCCATAAGGTAGCAGTAATTTCCATGTATAATTGAACTTTTTCTTCCTATAAAGGACAGTTTATTCACAATACTATAAGATAATACAAAAAGGCGAAGCGTTCAAGGTGTTTTGAACTGGCCATCTGTATTTTGGTTATCAACTGTCTAGAATAACATCACCGTTTTCTTAAAAATGACTCTACTTATTATCCTCAAATTAGAAGAACTTGGCTTGGGTAATTTTGTAATTAAAATTAGACTTTAGAAAACTCGGCACTAAAGGGTTACTTAGGCGAAAGAACCTGGTCTCACCCTTGGTTAGTGCAAACTCTCTTGCTCACATATTTAACATCCAACCTAAAATTAGATGGTAAAAATCTGTAATTTGTCTGGCGATATAACAGTGGTGTCTGTACAAGCTTTTTTATTCTACAGTCTTTCACCACAGGTCTTACGTTTTTCGTAACACCTTCTAATGACATATTGGCGCATTTATTAAATGCTAACTATACACTTGTTTTAGTAGCAGAAGCAGATAATTCTTTTGCTCTTATGTTTTGCTTTCCCCGGATGCTTTTACTGTTTAAATAAAGCTCCACGCGTTATCAGCTCAGTACCTAGAAGCTCAATGTAGATTTAACGCCCTGCCCAGTTGACGTGCTCTATCTGGTGTGGCAAGGTCATTTACTTCCATTTAGCATACGCCCAGTGACGTTGCGTCATGCGACAGCAACCGCGTGAATGATTTATTTTAATCAGAGAAGACATGCGCGCGAAACTGACTTCCGGCCCTTCCTCGTCAGGACGCTTGTAATGTTGAAAATGTGCGCTGATTTGTTAGCAGCTGACATAGCGTTCGATTCGGCTGCATGTAAGCGAACGGATTTATGCATTACGGGATCAGCATTCTTTACTGTTTACACACATTTCATCAGAGTGTGGTTTACACTCACAAAAAGGTAAACTCCAATTAACACCGGCTCGTTATGCGAAATGCTGTTGTTATTTTTCAAAGACCATACTTCCCTACGAATTATTCATTAGTCAATACACTGAACTAGAGGCCGCGAACATAAGTGTCAGGGAAAAATAAAGGAGCGATGCTAAATGTCAACTCACAGACATATCCGATTGGCCGGCATAAAAGTAAAATATTGATTTGTAGGCACGTTCGCATTTTTGGCTGTTATTTCCCATTTGATAAACGTCTGATGACGATTTGTGGAACCGGTGTCAAACATTTAGGGAATAAAGTTTGCCATATTTCCCTAAGGGACAGTGAAAATATCCGGTCTTATTTCATACTCCTAGTGAAACCACAACCCCAGGTTGCAGGATCGAGATTCGACTCCAGGCCATTTAATTATGCAGCAGCGCCGTAAAAACGAGAACAGTAGGTGGGCTTACACATGAAATGTCAATCAAAAATTCCTAAATGTATTTTCTTTTCGAAAGGATTAATTAAATAGGGTTGTAAAACTAGTCAACCTGCAACAAAAATCTGTAATATTTCGGTGATCTCAGGATGCCGGCTTTCGAACAACCTCTCTTCTGGCTGCACGTAAAGACAGCACTCCGTAAAAAACGACTACTTAAGTAGCACCAATTTTTCTAACTGAATTTCAATGCTCTTGAAAAATTTAATTGTATTTCATGGAAAAAATGCATTAAACTATTTGTTTTCCCATTCAACTGGTAACAAATTACGTCGTTTTTTCAATGTTATACTCGAAAGAAGGATATAAATCTATTTTAAAAACCGTTTCCAATTCCCGAATAATTTTGAAAGCGCTCTCCAGTTACGCTTGGATTCAGAGTCTCTACACCACAAGCCGTATATTTTCCACGTACAGAAAACCACACTTTTCTCTACGGCAATAAAGGGGAACTATATAGAGTTCATAAAATGTAGCAGTGGATTTGATCCATATTGTAAACTTTACGAGCCACATTGGTAAATGCAGAAACATGCCGTTTTATGGACGGCCGTTTCACGCTATTTAAATGTTTCACTATTAGGAACTTTTTTAAAACCGAATTATGTTCCTTCGTCGAGTATAAAATTAGAAGAAGACGTAAGTTATTACCGAACGAGGAAACGAATGAATATGTTTACGCATGTTTTCCATGAAAGATGATTATGTTTTTTGAGGGCATCGAAAATCGACGAGAAAAATTCATGCCACATAATTAGTCGTTTTTTTCAGTGTCCGTTTTGCACGCAGCTGGAACAAAGTTCATTCAAAAACCGGCATTCTGCGGTAACCGAAATATTATAGAATTATGTTGCAGGCTGACTAGTATTACATCCCTACTAAACTAATCTTTTCAAAACAAATACGCATTTTAGAATTACAGTTGACATTTTATGATTAAGGCCACTTAAAGTAGGCTTACATTACGCCGACCGACCTTAAAAGGACACTAAATAACAGCTAGCATTTAATGCTTTAAAAGTGGTTTCCCGATATAGATAATAAACAGTTCTTTCCTACTTACTGTCAAGCATCTGACATTTTTAAGCCAACCTTACATGCCGGTGCTCATGTTTGTGTTTATATAAACTGGCATCCATTAGTGTAAAGACGCTTGGCGTCGTCATTCTGGCAATCTCGGCCCGCAAGCAATTCCATTTTAAACTTTGGAAGAAAAATATCGATTTTTCTTGAAGTATAAGTTGCGATAAATATAACTGTCAGGAAACCGATATGCAACGCATTGCTTTCTAATGCACGAGTATAAAGCATGCTTGATGTTTATGAGTGCCTGATTCATACAGAAGATTCCGCTTACTTTTCCCCTATTCTACACTGAGCTACAGTGGCTGTTGTATTCTGGGTGATTTTTTAATGTCCGTCCAACTTTTGACGTGAGGAAAGGGCCTGTAACTGTGACCAACACATCTAACTGCTAAGCCAAGAATTTTCTGGTTTATCGGTTTCGATAGGGTAGTACAATATTAGGAACAAGTTTCAGAAGACGCGCCAGGAATCTCACTCGTCCCATTGTGCCTTACGGGTTCTCTCTCCAGCCCAACCAGCAGCCGCACAGAGGAGAGTGATTTCCATAGCGCGATCGGTGAGGGCCATCCTACCATTCACCAAGTAGGCGGTCTTTGACCATTTTCACCTCGTTCATATTCCTGGCAAAATGTAATCTGAAAGTCTGTTTGAAAAAATCCAATATCATATAAAACTGCTTGCAAGCAGCATTCCAAAAAAGCAGAAGCAGTAGCGTAGGCGCTTTTGTCCGAGATTTCACGATAAGGAGTTCAAAGAGTACACTTTGACGAAGCGTGAGACGCTCGCCCGCATATATTTATCGAAAGCGTCGACGAATACCGCCGATGATGAAGTACCAAGTAGGAACAACGTTTAGCGAATAGGTTTGGCTGCAGGCAACTTCATTAAAGCAGATAAATAACAAATGTCACATTTTTAATGACAGGACTATTTCCTCGGGTTGTTAAACAATTTGTAACATGGTCCATGTAAAAGATCCAAAAAATAAAGTTCAACTGACAACGTGATTGTCTATGCGACGTTTATTTAAGGCACAAAGTTCAAATTAATGGTTCTGCAGGAAAGAATAATAGCCAGTTATTCCACCTCCGCACGCATGATTGCGGCTAGTGGACGAAACTGTCGATACTAAGGGTGGTATCTATGAGTATATATTGTGCCAGTCGAGCACTTAAGCAGTATCTTGAGGTAATCCGAACTTTTACGCCTGATTGCTAATAAGTACTCTTTATTTTTAGCTTGTACATTTCCATGGAATGTAATTCACTGTTCCGTGGTAAATCCGCGGGCTAAGACTTTCGGTATCGGCCAAAGAACTAATATAGTTATTGGAACCAAAACCCACCAGTTTTAGTTGGGGTAATCGTGTAATATTCATAGCGTGCTCATCGGCTGTCATTAGTATACAAAAGTGGAACTAGTCGCCACACTGGCAACACAGGATCCAGCTAAAAGTCCAGGCACCTGTTTCGCCTATTTTCGATGCTGCTTAGCGCAATTGCGACGGAATCGGCTTGTTACCCAAAACTTTGTTACACCCTTTAAACTGCCCTTAAACCTCACTCCCGAAGCATTTCCTTTTTCTGAAGAATATAGAGTGAGTGATCGATCAGATGAAATGTCGACCGAAATTCGGCAATTCCTTTCTGATTAGGAAGAATTACTTGGGTACCGTTGCAATATAGACCATCAAGCGACATAATCCTATAATGTTTCGAACTTGCCAGGAAGTGTTCTTTTGAATGCACACCTTTTTGACCGCCTACAGAAACCGTACTTGGTAAGAAAGGATTACGTATGTAGAATGTATTTTTACCATAGATTTTTGATGGTGTTTAAAGTTTAAATATATTTTATAGGAAACATGCAAAAAAATATGTTTCCTTTTGCTAGTTCGGTAGGGAATCACGTTGTCTTTACATTTTATACCTGAAGAAAGGCTATATTTAGGTTTAGGAAAAGTTTCCCGATGCCCGAATAATTTTGAGCCTTATCAGTTGTTGCATTAGTCCTTAGTGATTTCAGTCTACAAGGTGTATGCTTTCGGCGTAAGGGAAATTATATACTCCTTTATGTCTTTAAAAAGATGACATGTATAGTTCACAAAATATTGCAGCGAATGCGGACAAGGTTCTACATTTTCTGAGAAGCATTGGCAAACGGACATGTACGACGATGTATGAATGGACATTGCACGGTCTTAAAAATCTCATAGTGAGAACCTTTTCAAAAAGCTAAATATACTTCTTTTTCAGGAATGAAATATAAAGATAACGTGATTCTCTACCGAACTATCAAACAAAAGCATATTTTTATGCATGTTTCCTATAAAAAATCTATTTCAATTTAAAATACCATCAAAAATCAATGTTAAAAATACATTCTACATACGTAATCCTTTCTTACCAAGTACGGTTTCTGTAGGCGGTCAAGAAGGTGTGCATTCGAAAGAACACATCCTGGCAAGTCCGAAACATTATAGGATTATGCCGCTTGATAATCCATATTGTAACCGTACCTAAGTAATTCTTCTTAATCGGAAAGGAATTTCCGAATTTCGGTCGTTATTTCAAATGATTGGTCACTCACTGTATGCAGATGAGAATTAAAATCGGTAATCTCTACCCAGGAACACTTTTTCGAAGCTGAGGACCAACTCACGGACCGAATTAGTCGAAACTACATCATGCTGCTGCAAGAAATCGGCGAAACCTTTGTTTTGGCTTTTAGCCATTTGGTACGCTGTCAACATGATGATTCATGAAGTATCAGGAAATTCCGTGTTGCGAATGTGAATGAATATAAATTTCTCAAGTAAATGGCCTCGTCGAAGGACAGCCATTACCTGGCCGTCCAGATTAACCGTTTTTGCATTACAGTGTTCACTTCTTACCCTCTCTTGCACAGCCCAATCGCTCTACGTAAAATTACAAAACTTTTCACCGAAAAATAGATATTTTTAACTTTGGGACGGATGAATAGGTTTTGTCCGCGCACGTTCAGCGAGCCCCGGGTGATTATTGGCTGGCAGGTCAAAAGAAATAGGCCCACTAACTTCTGTAGTGGGCCTTCCTTGGTCAAAACTGTCTCCGGGAAAGACCTCGTCGTTATAGATCAGCGCCTCTTTTATGAGTATCGTATGACATATATGCATGAAGCAAGGATAGCAGAGAAGAACAAATCACCTAGCACACCCTTTCTGGATCGCAATTTGAAGAGACACCCGTTTTGCTTGCATCTCATCGCCCTCAACTCCTACCTGAGTAGACGAAATGGGCGGTGTTCTGTTGAATTAAGTGTGAAACATAGCAGGGCATAATAAATACGCCTCGACCGGCAGGCAGAAGCAATTATCCGATGCGCTGAATACGCAGATCTTCGGTACGCAAAATAAATCCCTTCAGGCAATGCAAATTTCATGGCTTAGGTCGACCGACGGAAACTCTGCGGGCAGACTAGATCACGTGAGTTGTCCTAGGACTTTCGCAATGTCACCCACCCCTCACCCCCCCCCTTGTCTGGCTACAGTGGTGGTTCACCCTCACCTGGCCATAAAACCACAAGACACGTAGACCACGCGACTTGAGAACCGACTCAGTTGTAAAGTCGTTTTATTATTTTGCTGAATTCTTGAGTGACCACATACTGCGTACACCAGACTATTGCGTGAGGCTGTCAGGACGAAATTTATTCTGAGTTTCAAATTCGGAGTGGAGATATCAGTGGATGCGTGTAAGGTGCACCACTGTCCTTCCTACGACGTTGAGTTTAACGTTGCGGTTGCTTCTGAATTTCAAAGCCAGGCATTAGCGACGGTGTTCGTTTTTTAGTAAATTAATTTGATTGTAAAACTGAACATATATCTATTTCCTGAATAGAAGTGCACTAGTTTGTCATTAGGCCACATTAGAACACCTTTATAAAACTGATCGCATCTTTTGATAGTTATCCTAGGCGTCGAAACCACAAAGTCGCATCAAATGCTAAACTTAAGATCGTCATAGGGGCCGCAAATATGCCTTCCTGTCCGGTCGATCGTTTACCAAGTGCACTTACAGTAGGTGGGCTAATTCATGAAATGTCAACTGAAATTGCGAAATGCGTTTTCGTTTCGAAAAAATTAATCAAGTAGGGTTGTAAAACTAATCAGCCTGTAACATAATTCTAGAGTAATTCAGTTACTTCAGTATGCCAGCTTTCTCAAGAACCTCCTCTTGGCTGTATGGGCAAGCTACATTCTGTAAACAATTAATAGTTAAGTATCATGTATTTTTCTCTTTGACTTTCGATGCCCATAAAAGTCCAATTTTATTTCAGGGACAAAATGCACAGAAATGTTCATCTTTTCGTTCCTTCGGTAGAAAATCGCGCATTCTTATAGTTTTATACTCGGCAAAAGGACATAATTTGGTTTTAAAAAAGCGCAAATTGAGAGACATTTTAAAACCGTAAAATGGCCATTCATAAAACGCCATGGCTTTACATTTACCAATGTGGCTTGTAAAGTTAACAATATGGACTAGATCCAATGCTATATTTTGTGAGCGTCATATGGTCTCCTCTTAATACCGTAGAGAAATGTGTGGTTTTCTGTACGCGGAAAATACATGGCTTGTAGTTTGAAAAGCCTGAGGCCAAGCGTAACGGTCGAGCGGGTTCAAAATTATTTAGGAATCGGAAATATTTTTGAAAACCGAATTATAGACTTCAGTTGAGTGTAAAATTGAAAGAAGGCGTAAGTTTTACTGACTGAGTGGGGAATGAGTATGTTAATGCATGCATTCCATGAAATATTTTTTGGACCTTTATGGGCGTAGAAAATCAAATAGAAAAATGCATGCTACTTAAGTAGTCATTTTTAAGGTTATAGTTTTTGCATGCAGCCGAAAGGGAGTTTGTTCGAAAGCCGGCATCTTGAGGTAACTGAATTATTATAGAATTTTACTGCACGCTGATTAGTTTTACAACCGTATTTAATAAATCCTTTCGAAACAAAATCGCATTTCGGAATTTCAGTTGGCATTTCATGAGTTAGCTGACCTACTGTAATTTTAGCGTGCTGACTACACTCTTCGTCCATTCTTGTTAATTAAAACCTATGTTTGCCTTTTAATTCTGAAAAAATGTCCTGTGATGTTCAGAAACTTTTACCTGCGAGTGACGTCAGCCGAAATGCATTTCTTGTGTGAGATTTTAGTGTTGGCTGAAACCAGATACTGTGTAGTGCGCACAGCTTACTACAACCCTGAAGTATACTTTCTGTGAATTTTGTTTACAGGTTTACAGGGGCGTAACCTGTGGTGTAGATGGCTTAACAAATTTGAACTAAGGAGACGTGTGCCGATTTGAAAAACTGTTGGAAACAAAGCATGCTTATGGAACGCCGTACCAAAGACACATAAGCTACGTGTGCTCACTTACTTATTCACCCTCTGCAAACAATCAAATCCAGAAGGTCGTAATTACTCTAGTATTTTTCAACCTCCTGAACCTTGACCATTCTCGGTTGCGCATACAGGCAGACAGCAGCTAATAATAATTTACTGAAATAAGTAGTATACTGCTTCGCAGAAGGCGTCTACATGAGTTCATTATTTGCGTCTGCTTGTTCTCAGAAAAAGACATGCTCTGGCGCCAGCAGTAGCTTCTAGGGTCATCGATGAATGGTAGTTGCATATATAAGAGCGCTACTCAGTTACCTAGGAGATGTAACCGGTCACCACCACTCCACCGGCAACTTTATTGCCCTTTGGGGAGCATTTAATCCGAGAACACTTAAGTTCATCAAAAAAGCACCTGCCGAAAATTGACCTTATATAATCTCGTACTCGTTTACTTGCGGCCACCCGACTGACCTTAGGTCGGACACGCGTGCGCTGTCAGAGCCGCGGCCGACCATGAGCCACTCAAGTACGCCATCCCTCGGAGTATACAGCACGGCAGATCGACCGCGGATTCGACACTGCCCGCCGTGCGCACCACAGTCGGGTGGGCGCAGGGAAGATGAATTTGACGTGAATTAGTTCATGTTGATGGTTGACTAGTGCTTTTCTCCCCTCTTACCCTCCTGAGTCCGGTGTCATGGCAGAGTTAAGAAGACCGGAGATGGAATCAGCCGCGGGTGATGGGCGCGTCACGTGCGTGCACCTTGGCGTGCCTGGATAGATTCGCATCCTTAATAACACCAGCCGGACCCTGATCTGAATCAAATGGCGGCTCAGCGCATCCGCCGTGTGGCCCGTTTTAGGGCGCAAGGTACGCCAAACAGAACAACATTTGGACAAATCTATAAGATCAACGGCCGCCACTTTCTTCCTCTAGGGGGGCATGACCAAGCAATGTCATTATACGACTTGGTCCTGCTAGTAGAGTGCGTGACCGATCTGGTGAAATTTCGGCCGAAATTCTGAACTTCCTTTTCGATTAGAAAGGATTACTTAGGTGGGATAATAATGTTGCTTATGAAACAACATAATCCCCTAATATTTCGGACTCGCTAGGATGTTGGCTTTTGAATGCACTTCATTTCGACCTCCTGTAGAAGCCTGACTCGGTAAAAAATGACTACCTGTGTAGCGTGTATTTTTTACATTGATTTTTAATGGTCTTTTAAATTCAAATATATTTTATGGGTAATACGTAAAAATATGTTTTATTTTACTTGTTTCGTAGTAAATAACATCGTCTTTGAATGTTATACTTAAAGAAAGCTTGTATTTAGGTTTTAAAAAAGTATACAGTTATGAGATGTTTAAGATCGTGTGATGTTCATACATACAGCGTCGCACATCTCCCTTTACCAATGCTCCGCGTCAAATGTACAACTTAGTCCACATTAATTGCAAAGTTTTATGAACTCAGCACGGTATATTCTTAAAAGCAATGAGGAATATAAGATTTTTATTGTGTGGAAAGCATGCCCCCTGCAGAATGGAATCGCTAAATGGTAATGCAGCAACTGATCTAACCCAAAATTATCGGGGGAATGTGAAACACTTTCAGAACCTAAATCCACGCTTTCTTCGGGTATAAAATCTTAAAAAGGTGTTATTTTCTATCAAACGAGTTAAAGGAAGCATATTTTGTGCATTTCATCCATAACAAATATTTGAATATATAAGACCATCGAAAATCAATGTAAAAAATACATGCTACGCAGGTATTCATTTTTTATCCACTGTGGCTTTTATAAGTAATCGAAAGGGAGTGCATTCAAAAGCCAACGTCCTAGCTAGTGAGATACTATGGGAGTATATGGCTTGATAAGCAAAATTACAACCCCACCTAAGTAATCCTTCCTAATCAAAAACGCGTTTCAGAATTTCGACCAACATTTCATTAGATTGGACACACACTGTAAATACTAGCGCAATAAAACTGAGTACAAATCACATCGGTCTTGGGTTTACTCAGTAGCATCATTCATCTCGCGACTGTGAATCCCCAATCTCCATTATCTACAGTATACGCCGCATGAATACCTCTTCTGAGGGTTCGAACATTACCGTTAGGATGCAGGCTTGAATATAGAATATATATATATATGAGATGGTACCGACAAAGACAAGGGAGACCGGAATGGCCATTTCTGGCTTATTAGCCGTCATCAGCCAGTCATACCCAACCCCAAGTCAGGATCACTTGAGATTCGAACCCGGGATCTTTGGTCATTGAGTTGAACGCTCTACCATTGAGCCACGGGCCCGTTGTCCTGTCGGTTGTGATCGGGAATATTAATTATGATAGTGGGCGCTCACCGATCAGGTTGCGGAACATGCTCGTTCCGTTGTGCCTTGGGGCTCATACTTAAACCCTCGCAGGCAGTCGCACAGCGACTAGTGATATATGTTGGAAAGGTTATACCGACAAAGACAAGGGAGACCGGAATGGCCATTTCTGGCTTATTAGCCGTCATCAGCCAGTCATACCCAACCCCAAGTGTGGATCACTTGAGATTCGAACCCGGGATCTTTGGTCATGGAGTTGAACGCTCTACCATTGATCGGTGAGCGCCCACTATCATAATAATATATATGTATAGAATAGCAGTACAAAATTTGTGAAAGGATGAAGAGGCTAGAACGTGATCAATGCTTCGGATCTTTAATTCATTTGTTATAGAAATTTGCGAGTCCTGTGTTATCCGTCTGTTTGGGCTTTATGTGTCTCGGGACGGTAAGCATCAACGTCAACTATACCGGTAAACCGATCTATTTCGGGTACACCAAGCGGCGTGCGATTGAAAGTACAACGAACGGTTAAGAGCTTCCAATCTGCCCGATAGTTTTAGTGCAAGCAATAGGGCACTGTAACGTTCAGCATGTTGGCTAAAAATTCTGTGACCTCCATCGGCAGCCTATGTTGTACTATATATGCATATATATGTAAGCAAGAGACGGTCTGTCTGTCGGCTACATGAATAATTTAATAGCGCTCTGTCCGAACCGCGATGAGAGTTTGCTTTCTGATCCAAACGACCTCTCTGCAAAGACTGCGATGCCAACTATTTTACGTGGAAGTACATGAGTTAATTGCATTGGTACAATCAGCTGATTGCATAATAATTAGAAGGAAAGGTTTTTTAAACGAAACCACAGGAGCGAAGGTACATGCATGCAAAATTTAGAGGAAGCATTGCAAAACTACTTCTCAGGTTGTTTACAAAGGCTTGTGAAAATAAATGTTGACTGTTTTAAAGTCAGTGGAAATAGAGTATTTTCGGTCATTAATATTTGCACAAAAATATCTCAGTATTTTTGTGTCGATGATCGCAAAGGCCTTATTTTTAATGAAAAGTCATTAGAATAAACACCGTAGAAAGCGGATTTATGCAAGCAAAGTCAGCAACATTATCGCTGACTTTGAAGACGTGCTATCAATCTTAGTACGCAACTACACAATTCACATATTCAGTGCTTAGACCGACCGTGTTAACTACAACAATGACCAGGAAATTTAAATAATTCGTCTGTTAGTTGTTTCTCATCTCATCAGCCAACTTTACCGTGTTAAGCTGAAATTGGTTGTCCGTCTGTCCTGGTTAAGATTTCCCCACAAATGCGATTTTTGTTCGTCATCGCGACCGCCGTTCATAATCCCCTATCAGTCCATTAAGGCGAGAGAGGGAGAGAAGGGTGCGATCGTTGGAGGGCGAATACTATGTGTCTGCCATTTCGGATTATCACACCAGCCCATCACTCAAGGCAGCTATAGATAAGGGTGATGGACGCAGGAAGGACGCAGCATTTATATGACACAGTTAGTATGCGACCCTTGTCACAAATAGCAACTTCCGGACTCATCGTCGATGGTCACATTGGACGCAATGACTCCCTGTTCGTCCATACGCGGGTTGCTTTATGCCACAGTGTCATTAGCCTCGTAACTTACAGGCATGACAATTACCTGACAACTTTAATTACCAGTATATTCCATGGCAGCAGTGTTCATTCGCGTCATCCCATGTGGGCAATGACAGAGGAGATGAGAGGAAGTTGGGCTTGTTAATAAACCCCGGACTGGTGTATCAGGGCGGAAATACAAAATTCAGCCAAAAGACAGCAATAACCGTATCTCCTGGTTGTTAACTGCCTCTTGAAACTCGCTTTTTTGTTACTATCGGCAAACTGCCCATCGTTAAGTCTGCCACCCTTGGTCGTTGGACCGCAAAGACCGCGTGTACATACTCCATAGTCGCCTCTTTCCCAAAACTCAATCGAACCCCTTCGACCTGTCCACTCTAAAGAGCAGAATTTAAAGTCAGAGTAGAAGATATCTAGCTTCGTTCACACTGGTCATTTGCGAGGCAAATTATTCTCTATATTGGGCATTCTACTGGCCCCTTCATGGAAAATCAGTGCCCTGTCCTCCATTCTATGAATGCATTTTCATCTTCATAAGCAAACTCTAATGAACGCTTCCCTGACCGCTGGCAATCAGAAGCTTTCCTGTCTTTTTGACCCAGACCTTATTATTCCCTTTTTAAATATAACAGGCAAGTGCTGTTTTAATCTGGTCTTACCTCACACAAAAACACAATTTCCTCATGAGCTGAAAAAAAGTCTGCACCCTATTTGGAGGTTGAATGGTTGTCTCCCTCATTGCACATCTAGAAATATGGGCGTTGGCCGTTGGACTGAACGACCTCCCACCTAACACTGGGGGATGTCCACGACATTTGCGTCTAAATAACAGTGTAAGATCTTGAGGGAAAACTCTCCGAGTAGTAAGCTTAACGATTTTATCCACAGCAAGACAAACACCTTTATTGGATCCGAGTCTCCGAAGCCAAGGTCGTCTGCTAATTATGCGAGGGCACTTTCAGATCCTCATGTGGACATCTTTTGAAAATCCAGTCAAACTGTTACTAGCCTTTATATTTTACCACATATGTATATCGAACGCATTGTACCGTACTCTGACCTAGGTTCTAAAGAAAAGCCCAGACAGGTGTTTTGCCGATATTCTGCCGCTGCGTGACACAACTGCGAGGGGTTCGCCTCATCAGTTCGACGCCCAGCGTTCTTTATGCGGTTTATGGTATATGAACTCCAGAGAATAATCAAGTAAATAATTTCAGAAATTACTCAGTGCAGGACATGGAGTTAAGTCTTCGGGACATGACTTGGTAAGGTCAGAACGCACATTTCAAGGAGCATTTGAGTTGAAGACAACCGACTACTGCGAAATAACCAAGTAATACCTTCGTTATATTCAGACACACGTTTCGTCGTTATTCTGCCGCTGCGTGACACAGCCGCGTGAGGCTCCGCTCATCGCGTACTCATACTCGCGCATGCGTTTTGGGACCAAACGGTATGGGGCAGTTCTCCCATGTCAGTCGATATATGCTGATAAGCCAGTCACTTGCATCAGTAAATGCTTTTAGTTTTCGAACTCCTACAAATATCCTACAAGGCGTCGACCTGTTTATAGAAAAGTATCAGTTTCCGCTGCGGGAAACAAATGCCCCACATGATAGTGGGTTTGCGGATGAGGCCGGGGCACATTCACGAGGATCGCAAGTCTTGCTGAATGCAAAAGCGCCTTTGCTAAACGTTTAAGTTCAAATGAGCTTACGAGAACAATAAGCTATTATTACGCGACAAGAGATCATGTGGCTGATCGATGTGAATTGTGTGCTTCAACCGCCAGCGGTAACCGGTAGGGAACGTCTTAGACAGTTGGAGCTTCAGGTCTAAAGGGTGTTACGTTGGGTTAAAAGCACCTCAGCAATAATGGGAATATTAATGTGAGATCCTGAATTAAATATCTCCAAGCAGAACGCCCAAACATGTAACCTGCGACAAGAAAAGACAACGTTCATATACTTGAATGCGCACAGACATTTGGGAGGAAGATAATATTCATTACAATGTACTTTTGATAGTTCTCGGGGCACGAACCGGTATTGTGCGTTTCACCCATGTCAGTCGCTGAACTCTTTTGGAACAGTCGCCTACATCGGGACATGCTTTTAGTTTCGGAATTGCTGAATGCACTCAACAAGGCCTCGATCTGTTAACAGAAGGGTATAAATTTAAGTTGTGAGAATACATTAACTCAGAAAGCAAGCGTCTTAGATGACAATGGGTTTGCAGGCGGCAGTGGGCACCCACTGGTACAGATCAAAAGTCTCTCTTAATACAATAGCCTCTTTGAAAGTGGTTAATTTTGAATGAGTTTACGTGAACAATAGGCTATTTGTATACGGCAGGGGATTCCGTGTCAGCTGTATTTTAACCCTGCGGTGACGGTGACTTACAACTTTCACCCGGCAGCGATAACCGGTAGTTACAGAACAAGTTGCATATAAATGCACACACTGTCCGCTTAAGCGACATATGACATACCGCTTGCGAAAAGTAATGTCAGAACAACTGCGTGAGCCGCGAGGAGCTACAGGATTGGTTCACCGGTCCCCAGTTTATCAACAAGTACAATGAACTTCCCATTCCATACTCGGTGCTGAGACTTCTCCCAGTCGGATTAATTAGCCACGCGGGGAGTGCACAGGTGAACACTTTTAGCAACTCCAGAGTCCGTGGGTCAGATGGTCGAGCAATCATCACACCAAAGTCCAACGTACATAATTAAATTTCAGCGATTAACGACGCGAATGTCGCCCATCAAGCAGTCATCACACCAAGTGCAACGATCCCTGCTGAAGGAGGGGAGTCGTGAATATTCAATAGGTATTCGGTAGTTATTGTCTCTGACGATGGGTTCGAGCAGGAATCTGAAACGCCGGGCGAATAAAGTTCCTGTCCCTGCGATCGTGTCTACTTCTTCGCAAGTTCTTAATTTGTATGAGTTCTGAGGCGTCACGGGGGCCCAGCTTGCGTAACTGCGAAAGAGCATTTAAGCATCCTTGGTATGTTTTTAAAAGTTGCACAAGAAGTGCCAGTTGATAGACATCACGCCTACTCCTTGCACTACGACGACTTTTGAAAAAGCCTATGTTCGAAACAGCTGGGTAATTGCTGCTCAACCGATGCCACCAGTTAGACAATCTGTAAATCGCACAGAATTTTAAAATCTGGTAGGTTTGGTCAAGCTGGTTATACCAACACGTCGTCAGAGGAAATGAACAGTGGGGAGGGGCATAATCGCACTAGAGAGCAGGAAGGACAGCGTGGTTGCATCGACGGAACAGACATCCATCCGGGGGGGGGTGTATAGCGTGTTTCGATAGGTGCCGGAAGTTAGGAAGAGGTGTTGACAGTTTCAGTTGTGGTTCACTCTGTCGGGGAGGTGTGGAATCCGTGATATTCTGCATGGTCGAATACGGATTAGCAGCTGGTGTCTTAAGGTGGGCGCTAGCCAGTGAACGGTGAACGCGAACACTCCTAGCGAGCCTCCGGGTCGAAATGGCAGTTACTACTTTCTTTGTTAGAGTGCAGAGATTCATGAAACTGCCGCACCTGTTTCCTGCTGGCACTGCCGATCACTTCGGCCCCATCCTAACCTAATGGAGTGCGCAAACAAGAGAGACAAGGGGTTCCGTCGGCGGATGGCCCAATTATGTTCGTTAATACCGTTCTCAAGTCGCCGGCGGCTATGCCCAACATAAGCGTAAGAGCGGTTCGCACATGGTTGCGGTAAATATGGGGTCTTTTACTCGGGCTAATATTTTGCGCAGTGAAGACGCCAATTTGTGCGCAATGTAGATGCCAAACTGATTTAATTGTCGGTCAATCACTTCGGAAATTCCTTGCATAGAGGGCAGGGAGTAGGATTTCCGTAACACCCTGTCCCCATTTGAGTCAATGTTTTGTGGTTGCCTCTGGCGTCTGCGACAGTTTTCCACAGAGCTGACGAGGTTTCGGTTGATTCGGAAAAACCGATACAATTAAGCCAGTTCTTCCATGAGTAAATTCATTGCCACCGCAGTACTGATAGTCCCAAAAACAACTTCTCTTATAGGCCGCTGGGTGGTTACTCCGGTAATTAGGGATGATCTCAGCGTCAGAGCTTTTCCGGTGAACTCTTGTTGCGGGACCATCACCACTGAGCATTTGTATGCTCATTTTCAGGAACGGGAGGGTGTCTTCTCTCGATTTCTCGAGTGCTGGGAAGGCGCTATTCAGGCTCTGGTGGAATCGCTTAATTTCACAGGTCCTAACGATGACGAATGGGTCATCTACGTATCTGAGCTACACTTTGGCTGAAAACTTTTCACATCACCACCTTTAAGTCGTTGTACGGTTAGTTCTGTGAGTTGCCCTGAAAGTGGCGAACCCATTATGGGACCCTTATCCTGCGGGTAATACTTGCACTTGAATTGGCGATAGATCTCGAGACTGAGCCTACGCATTTCTAAGAAGTGCTGTATTGCAATGTCGATGAGGTTGTCTTGCAGGCGTCAGGCTAGGCTCTCAATGGCAATGTCATGTAGCATACGGTAATACAAGGCGACCACATCAAATTTTAGATTGTCTCGTCCGGACTTACTGTGAGACTTCGGATTTTCTCAAGGAATGCTGGATAATTTGTAACGCTGTATTGTGAACCATCGGCGTGGTGCTTCAGACGTCTGTATAACCATTTAGCTAGGTTGTAAATGGGCGATCCAAAGAGTGGCACTATTATCCACAGTGGCGCATCGGATTTGAGCGTTTTCGTCAGCCTGTATGTCCTCCCTCTCCGGTGCGAATATCTCTCTCTCAACCTTTCATTTCATTTGACAACAGGTTGCTGTGACCGATTTGAAAACTCACGAGCACATCTCGATTTTCTTCTTGGAATAAAGACTGCCTCCGCTATTAATGCATTTTTATATTCCTACAGATATTGAACCTCACCAAATGGAAAATTTGGTTAAGTGGTCTACAATAATCACCACCCAATTCTCCTGCATTAATTATAGTTCAGTCATGCCTAGCTAATATTGGGCTAGACAAAAAAGTGTTTTTGCTAGGCTCAAATATTTATTGTTCTGATATAAAAATGCACTTAAGGCCGAAGTACAGTGCGTGACCTATCTCATGAAATGTTGGTTGAAATTCTGAAATGCGTTTTCGATAAGGAAGGATTACTTGGTCGCGGTTGTGATACTTATTATCATAAGGCATACTCTTATAACATTTCGGACTTTGCAGGATGTCGGCTTTTAAATTCACTTCCTTTCAATCTCGTGTACAAAGCGCGCTCGGTAAAAAATGACTACTTAAGTAGCATGCATTTTTCCCATTGATTTTCGATGGTCTTGCAAATTCAAATATATTTCATAGAAACCACAAACAAAAATTTGCTTTCTGTTAGTCAATCAATAGAAACTCACGTCTTCTTTATATTTTATACTTGAGGAAGGAGTATAATTAGGTTTTAAAAAAGTTTTCTAATTGCCGAAAAATTTAAAGCCTGATCATTCGTTGCATTAGCGCTTAGTGGTTACACTCGACAAGGTGCATGCGTTCCGCGTAAAGAAAATCCCATATTTTTCTGTCATTAAAGAGATATTATACAGGGTCCATAAAATGTTGCAATGGATGCGGACCATGTTGTACATTTCATGAGGAGCAGTGGTAAACGGCCAGGTACGATGCTATGTGAATGGACATATCGCGGTCTTAAAAAGTCTCATAATTAGAAACTTTTTTTAAAACCTAATTATACTCCTTCCTTAAGTATAAAATATCAAGAAGACGTGATTCTCTATTGATTGACCAAAAGAAAGCACATTTTTGTTTGTGGTTTCTTTAAAATATATTTGAATTTCCAAGACCATCGAAAATCAATGGGAAAAATGCATGCTACTTCAGTAGTCACTTCTACCGAGCACGCTTTCTACAGGAGAGTGAAAAGAAGTGCATTTTGAAGCCGACATCCTGCCGAGTCTAAAATGTTATAAGAGTATGCCTTAAGATAATCAGTATCACAACCGCGACCAAGTAATCCTTCCCATTCGAAAACGTATTTCAGAATTTCAGCCAACATTTCATGAGATAGGTCACGCACTGTTACTGCGTACTTTAGGCCTCTGCCGATGCTAGGAGTATGGTGAGCAATTATACATCAGTTTAAATTTTTGCATTTCTTACTCAAAAATAACATTCATTAAAAGGAAAGGGACCCAGCATGCACGGCCTGTTATCTGTTGACATCAAATATTTAACATAAATATTTGATATGTTCTAGCTTACAAGTTATCCACAGTCGACTACTACTCGTGTCTGCGTGTTCTGGGGGCAGCAGAAGCGGTAGGGCGAATGCAGCCGCTGTGATTAATTATGGAATTTTGCTTACCCTTCTAAGACTCGCGTGTTTCCGGGTCCATACATACCCATTCCTGTCATTATGCTTATGCCCATTCGGTATTTCACCTGACCATTGGCTTGAAAGAGTCAGTTTGCGCAAAAAAGTCCGCATTCCGGAACACAATTCGGTTGCGGTACATGCGACATGGAAACTGATAAACGCCCGTATATTTGTCGGTCTGTTTTCAATTTCTCCTAGATCCGCATGGCTCAAGTCCCTAGAATGGTCTACTGGTCGATTAAGTGCAGAGCAGAAGACGAAGATGCGATCACTCGAAGAAGAAGGAATTTAATGGCCTTACGTTTCGGATTCTCACTCGAACCCATCATCTGAGACAGTCGCAGATAGAGGTGACGGTGGCACGAAGAGTGCAGTATTTATAGCACGTGACTGCTGTGGTACCATATGCGCTCTGTAATTAACAGCTCTCGCTACCACCGCTGGGGTCGTAATTGATGCGGTGGTGGCACTTCAGACCGAGGCCTTAATTACCGTGATTTCGGAAGGCCGAAAGCAACCATTAGGTGCCAAGCCATGAGGCCAAAAGACCCGTCTTGAGTCGCTTACCGGATCTAGTGCAGTTGTGGACAAAGCAACTATGTCGGAGAAACTGGAAGATTATTCCGTACGCGAATTGCCGAGTACGCAGCAGCAGTGAGGCGAGGAGACGCTAGCTCTCATGTGGCGGCTCATTCGACGGGACTAGGCCATGTTTTCAAATTACAAAAGACCGAAATCCTCGCAAGGTGTGATAACCGCGTGAGCCGCGAGCTGCTCGAGTCACGTTCCTCAGGCCCGCAATCCATCAACAAGCGCAATGACCTCTCGGTACCATATTTCGTGCTGAGATTTTCCCTGTGCAGGAGAATAAGTCACGTGGGGAGGGCGCGGGCGGGCAATTATTCCAGTGACAGTGAGCCAATGTGCCGAGCAATCGTCACACCAGCATCCAGCACACATGACGAAATCACGGCCATTAACGACTCGGACTCGGACTGACAAGCCATCATCGCATCAATTACGACCCGGGCGGTGATTGCAAGAGCTGTTAATTACAGTGCGCATATGGTCCTACGGCAGCCACGTGCTATAAATACTGCACTCCTTGTGCCACCGTCACCTTTATCCGCGACTTCTCTGATGATGGATTCCAGTGAGAATCCGAAACGTCAGGCCAATCAATTTCTTCTTCCAGTGATCGCATTCTCGTCCTCTGAACTGCTACCTGCAACTCGCCTGTTCGCTTCTATCAGTAATTCCAGAGCTTAATGATTGTGCCGCATTACGTTTGTGGCGGCCTTAATGATGGATGTACCCGGCGCGCATCAGTTAGCAGGACTCAGGTAGCAATAACCGCTGTCTGGAACCGTTGGCAACGAAGCTGGATAGCAGTGAGAAGACGAGACGGTGAGCAAGTACACCGAGCATCGCATGGATGCCTATCAGACACAAACTGACAGTTTCATCTTCTTTGCCGTCCATTATCTGTTGTCGTGCGGTATGCGAATAGTCTTCATATAGTCCAGGTAGTGTCCAAAAATTGCACGTTTGTTCGGCGAATTTTGAGTTCCATCTACTGCTTCATGGTCGCACTGAATAGCGTACGTACTCTTTTGAATCAATTCGTGAAACCTCACCTTTAGGTTAACATTACAGGAAGGATTCTTTTACAATCTTGCCAGGGAATAACATCCGCGGATGAGAGCTAATGTCTGATCTTAGTTTGTTCTCTCAAGGCGCTTTTGTTTATCGTGTTTTACAGCACCCCACATCCAAATATCTATGCGAGAATTTAACTCTGCAAGAAAGTTTCGGTGTGGATTTGAACGGTCAAAATAATGCGGCCCTTATTTCCGTGATAAATGGCGTTTTCTAAAATTGCCAGCCGACCGTCAAGTATTCGGGTGGTAAATTTCGGCAAAGTCATTTTTTAAGCGTTTTGCTAATTACGACTTCGAGGAGTCTGTGGACTTTGGCTGCTAAAGTCTGCGCGTTTTTAAGTAAAGTGGTTTTACCGTTTACTTTTTACGTCAGTGTTTACGATTGTTTAGTCATGCTAACGGTTTATAGGCATTTAAATGAATTAAACACGTCTCTGGAGAGCCGATTTTTCTAAAAGCAAACTGTTGCAAAAAATTCGTATTTTGCAGGCTTGTCTTGCAGTGGATGTACCCAAGTCTTTTAAATATGGTTCGGCGCATAGAATAAAGCAATCAAAAATGCATGCGTAGGTTAGAGTTGTTATACCATACGAACGAAGGTCTAATATTTACATCTTACACAAAAAGCAGTGTCGTTTATTTACTCAAGTTCATCACTAGCCCTAATTGACTTATAAATGCTGGGTCGCTGACTAAAATATTTTAGTCATAGTACGTTACGATTATAAAATGAAGTTGCCTAATAGGCTTGGAGATTTTACGAATTTCTGTAAAAGCAGCATTAGCTGGTCCCATCAGAATACATGATGTGATGCTTGTTCTTTTATGGCGCCGCATAGAATGGTGGCCGCACTTTTTTCCCACGAAAAGTTTGCTATTAAAAAAATTAATTAAGTTCTGAAATCCTAAATGTTTGGAAGATCTGCTGAACAATATATTCATGTCGCCATATCGGCAAATGCATGAATGCCTTTTACCTGATGCCATTCGTATTATCTGTCAACTAGGGTGTGTTTATGAACAGTTTCGGACGTTCTTTTAGCCTTAGCTCGAAGATTACGAGTTCCCTCTCCCCGGCCAGTCATCTTGATTTGTATTCCGTCCTGCAGAATTCAACCTATATGCCAAAGTCCTCCCGAAGCCTGGGTCTTCTGACCTGGGTTTTTTCAGATGCTCCATGCAGAATTAAACCACTGAAAATCCCCGACTTAAGGATATTGTGAATGGCTTTTTATAATACATATATTTATGGTGGAGCGAGTTTTCAGATTTATTTGGAACTGTCTTTTGTCTTTTACATAGGGGACTACAGACATTGATTCCTAAATTTTTGCAATGAAAATTGCAGGGTTTTGAAGTAAATATTTGATACTATGCTAAATCTGACTAATATCAAACAGAGCCTTAAGACAGAAATTAATGGTAGCTCGCTACTTGCGCTATTCGACTGGATCACTGCATTAAACTGCCTATTTTTAAGTTATGTCCTGACTTCTCGTCAGTTTTGCTGTGATGACTTTCGACGTTAAGCACAAGTGAGGATAAATTTCGAAGGACTTAACACAGATTATTCACCTAACCTGGCTGAGAAAAGCCCGACTACGGAGATGGGAACTAACAGCTAGACTCCAGCCACAATTCTAAAAATTTTAGCCTTTAGACCCCAAAGGAAAGCTTTGGGTTTAAATGCCTTTCACTCGAGCTACCACTAACGCGCTACAGCAAACCAAATCGACCATGTTTAACACAGGAATCCGAGTGTCCGAAGAGGATCTGCCAAACAATTAATCTAGGGTCCCATGGAGTCCGCCGAGATTTTAAAAACTGGGTTGGGTGAATTATTTAACTGCATTCATCACGTAAGGAAGATCTACAGCGTGCAAACCACACAACACTTATTAACTCACGCATCTTCAGGGTTTGGGTTTTTTTCCAAATCGGCAGAGACCGCCACCCACCATCATGTTATTTTATTGCCCCTGGTTTTCAACCCTGTCGGACGACCCAGCGAATTATGTTAGATTTGCAAGGCAATAGCTCCAAATAATTTATCATGAACTCCGTTGGGCCGTAACTGGCCTCATTTGCTCTGCTGGTGCGATGGTAGCATACGCACGGCTGCCTCGTCGGTCGCCAAATCGGCCTAAAACCGAGTTAATGTAATTAACCGGAGGGAAGAGGATATTAACTAACCGGCACTGCACTCAGTGCGTTTAAAGAGAAGGTGGTGGAGTCATATGGTATTTAATCGGGAGTACGACCCAAATGGAGTCGAACTATTCTGTCCACTAATCGGCTGTAGACCAACCGGCGCCTATTTAGGAATCTGGACTATACAGCCTAATTTCCCTTTTCCGTCCAGGTTTAAAATCGTGCCTTGAAAAAAACCAGCTTTCCCCTAATTACAATTAAGTTACACTCTGTTTCTCCTTCTCCGATTCATGCCGCAAAAAATAAACTGCGAATGCTTTCCGCGATGCCCATCGGGCTTGCGGAAGTTACTTCAACTCGCTTTTCCGACTCCCAAGCGTCGGAAGACCTCTGATGGACACCAAAAACAAAATAGCACTTAAAAGAAAACGTTCGCTGAATGACAAATTGCCTGACAGACAGTCTGATAGAAATGCTTAGTCTTATTACTTCAGAGAACGGTATGTTTCTGACTTTCGCACAAAGGCAACCGGTAGTCTGATGTTTCCGCTTGACTGATCTTTAATAAGTGACAAGAGTCTAGAACGATATACTCTCGAACACTTACTATAAATGACTGCATAATTCTTTACGTTACCGACAGCACGGGCAGTAGGTAACTAAAAGCTCATAGCTAGTAACTGCGTTGTCAACATAGTATGTAATAACGCAGTTCTATAGTACTGACTTCTTGTTCACAACTTGTGAATGATTATGAGTTTAGATATTCATAAACACTATCGGATCGAGACTGAAAAGTTCTCTTCCAAAGTAATTACTCTACGTTCACGCATTACTTGCCTCGTAAATTAAATGAGCACTACATATAATTGCACAAGGCTCGCTAACAATTTTGACAAGTTAACAGGTCATGCGTGCTATTTTGAATACAACATTTATTACCTCGACAGGGTAAATCGTTTCTGTTGTCAGATCCATACGGTCCTTTGCCTTTAATAAGCTATCACATTTATTTATTTATCAATTGAAAAGGTTTCGTCAGAGGCGCCTTGTTTCTTCGATAATCAAAAACATAGTAACGACCTATTTCACTTTAAGCCATATTTCGACGGTCCGCAAATCTAGAATTACTCCGGTTATACTGATTGAGACTAAAGTAAATAACTGTTTGCTGTAATACCGGCAGGTTTTATCAGTTTGCATTTGGTGTGCGTTAAAGGCTCCTGGTAGATATCATAATATTCTATGCGTGCAGGGTAAGATGCAACGGCACATGGAAGTTAACTGCGGAATGGGTGACAAATACTCCCGTTTAACTTATAACCGCTCAATGCCTGACTAGCAATCTTCGAAGTGAAAAAAACAGGGGGTCGAATACTGTAACACAATGTTTACTGTCCTGAACTTTCAAATCCGTACAGGAGTCCATTGTCAGAGATAGTAACAGAAACAGAACAACAGTTGGGCGAAATCATGGTCACCTTCGACGTGACGTCGTTCTTTTTATCTACAATGCGTGACCGATCTCATGAAATGTTGACTAAAATTCTGAAATGCCTTTTCGATTAGGAAGGATTACTTAAGTGGGGTTGTTAGACAGATTATCATGCAGCATAACCCTATAACAATTCGCACTCGCCAGGATGTCGGCTTTTGAATGCACTTCTTTTGGACCCCCTGCAGAAACCACATTTGGCATGCATTTTTCCTATTGTTTCTCTGCTATCTTATAAATTCGAATATATTTTACAGAAAACACGCACAAAATATGCTTTTTTGCTCATTTGGTAGGAAATCACACTGTCTTTATATTTTATATCCGATGAAAGTGTATATTTAGGTTTTAAAAACGATTTTAATAAGGAGATTTCTAAGATGTGCGATGTCCATGAATGCAAAACGGCACATGTCGGTTTACTTATGCTTCTCATGAAATGTACAGCACAGTTCGGATTCATTGCAAAATTACATGAACTCTACGTGGTATTGTCTTAAAGGAATAGAGGAATATATGATTTTCCTTACGCGGAATGCATGCATCCTGTAGACTGACAGTGCCTATCGTTGATGTAATGGCAGATCAGGCTGAAAATTATTCGGGAATCGGGAAACTTTTTTAAAACCTTCCTAATCGAAAAGGCATTCCAGAATTTTGGTCAACATTTCATGAGATCGGTCACGCACTGTGTCTCACCGGAATAGGCCCGCGAAGTCTTGCGCAAAAGACTTGAAGAGGATTACGATGAGACTCAAAATGCACTGAAAACTGAACACCTTATCAGACTGTTTGAATTCTGCAAATAAACTTTTGTTGGGATGACATATGAACAAACCCAGGGAGCTCCAATGGGCTCATCTGTTTTCGCTTTTGTGACAGGACTGGTCATGCAGGCGTTCAAAAAGTTTGCATTCATCCAACATGAGTCAGCATTTTGACGATGTTGCATGGCAACACGTTTGTTATCGTGCTACAACATTTCCACAACATGCCCAAAGCAGTCTTTCCTGATAAAAAAATTCACGAGGAAGAAGAACAGTTTCAACAATTGCCCTTCCTGGATGTGCTCCTTAGAGGGAACCTAAACAGTGAACTTGAAATGACGGTTTATTGGAGGGCAGCGAACACCACATAGCTTCCCACTTTTCCCAGCCACCATTCGGTGGCTCATGAATGAAGCTGTGTGAAGGCGCTCTTCAAACGGATCCAAACTCATTGCAGCAAACCGGAGGACAGAGCACGTGAGGCCCGTTATCTCCGCGACCCGTTTGTGCAAAATGGTTATTCGAAAGTATTCATATGTCGCTGCCTACGCGGTCGCATCTAGAGGACTTGAACACCACCACCGATGATATGGCATTCTCTGTCATACATCAAGCGGTACCGCAGAGCTAGGTGTTGAAATTGCACACCACCCCAAAGCCGCCAAGCGCAGTGGGGTAATGAAAATTAAATACCGGTTAAAGTCTGAGAAGCAATCTGGAGTAGTGCATCGCACCCCGTGCCAAAACTACGCAGGGCAGACTGGACGCAAGCTCGGATCTCGCATACACGATAACAAACTTGCTGTGCGACTAAGCGACGCCTTATCACAAGCGGCCGCCCATACATGTGAAACGGATCGTGAGTTTAACGTCGCAGCCACCAAAATAGTCGCCCACGCAGGAATCAAAACAGGCGGATAATTGTTTGCAGTCTGGGTATAGGATGAGCACTCAGTCAATCGATTTATCGATCTGGCGCCTTTGGTTGACGATAGCCTAACACGCCCCATAAACGTCGCTTGTTCTGGTGCTGTTATTATCTCTGACGATGGACTCCTGCACGAATTTGAAAGCTCAGAAAAATGAAAAACGTTTCAGCGCTCAACCTCTTTCTTCTTCTTCTTCTTCTTCTTCTTCTTCTTCTTCTTCTTTTTCTTCTTCTTCCCATGTGCTTACATCTGAAAGTCGAACTATTGCCTTCATTCGTGAGGCTTCGAAGTCTCGGGATTTTTAGACTGGGGTCCAGGTAAAACAAGTTAATCCTCCTAAATGCATTGCTGTCCGGATCAGAGAAGCGGTTTAAAATAGCCGCAAAGTACTTCAGAATAAATCGAATACTTTCCGGCGAAAACATCTAAGTAGACATCACTACCACATTCGTTCCATTAACCCGATGCTGAAGTAATTCTAGACGAAAGGCAGTTTAATGATAGATGCATAGACCGATGCCTAGTGGTTGCGCGTTAATACGGTCTTTACTTAGTCGATCATAATCTTGACCACCATCGACAGTTCGTCCGTCGTTGCCGAAGATGTTCACCGTGTGCCCCAGAGCAAGGTGGAGCAGGGATGGTGACTTGCGCGTGAATTTAGTTTAGAAGGCTTGCGCAGCGTCTACCGCTCTCTCTCCTTCTCCACCTGACCCGGTGCCAAGACAGAGTCAACAAGACTAGAGGCGGGAAAAGGCGCAAGTAGATGGCACGGCCGAACTCGCACCTCAGCGTTCAACTCCACACCCCTGGACCACACAACAAACGACCGAATTTTCGACCACATTGAGAAGGCGCCATTGCAGCCTGACTCTGCAACCACCAGTCAGCCGCTCCAAACAAACACACGACACTAGACCCACTGCAGGGTCCACGTTATCCCGTCAGTTGACTATCTTCCAAGCCGCAGTCGTTAGCGCAGCATGAGAGCTTAAAACGTGTCAGGAAAATGCGCTGAATCGACGACCTCACTGTCCTCTCCCATTCCTAGGCCCCAGCCACTGTCCGATCCGGTCAGCTGATAGGGTGCCTGGAATGGGCGCAATGGCTGACAAAGTCTAGCGATCTTGTCTGCGCGCGCTACACGCACGACATGGCCTCCCAAACGGCAGCACCAGAATTTCACTCAAAGGGGTTGAGGGGCGTACATCACACAAGCGTGAGGATGCATGGACCACAAACAGGAGCATGCACAACCGGTGTCTACCACCGGATCGAAGTTTACCAGCATCTTTTCTGTCCTTTCTAATCGAAAGCACATTGCAGAAGTGCGTTTTACGGTAAATGGGATCCAAACTCGACGACATATGCGTTTGCTTACGCCAGATCCTATTGCTAATCTTCTTGCAATTAATTTGACGCTGGGTCGAAGACAGTGGGGAAAACGACAGTATGGTAAATGCAGTTGTGGCTTACTAATTCGCGATCCTTGCACCCACCGCAGAGTGGAAATCATCGGTAACAACGACTGATTTGTCGTCTCTGTGTGTTTAGATATTATTCCAGTTATTTGGAAGACAATCGGCTACTGAAATACCTCAATTATTATAGGGGAGATTTAATTTACGGTAGACCACAAAGCACATAAATATTGGTTGGAGTATAACATATGATTTCAAATAAGCCGGCGGCTTCAAAAAAATTGGCACACGACCCCGAATAAATTAAAACCACTTTAGATTTTATATGTTTAATTTCTCTACACACTGGCTAAACACCAATTGCAAAAAATCATTTTTTTAGAAGACACTTCCCTAACGATTCTCTTTACAAATTCGAATTCGTTCTTTTTTCTTAAAAAAGGAAATTCTATGTCATCCACTACCACTACCAGTCGCTTCCGTAACATGCGCAAGCCAAAGGCCTATAAAAACCTGCGTGCTTATGTCATTTTTGCATTTAATTTGTCAAAAGTATACACCACTCGCATGTTACAAATTAACGCCTCTTATGTGTCCTGCAACTCGACCAAAAATCAAAAAAATCTGGTTTTTTAATTAAACATCCTGATTTCTGCAATCTACGCAAGAAAAATGATTAATTTGCGCACTTCCAAATGATATGTAATAAATGCGCAGTTACCAGTGTGTGCGAATAAGCGTTCGAATCTGCGGCAATTTCTCATAAAATTTAGGTTTGTACGCCGAAATACACCCCCCCCCTCTTCCACAACCAAAAATTGACATATGCAGTATGTATTTTGTGAAGTCATTTTGTTTCCCGTGGTTCAAATTATGTAAGGCTTCCTCGTTGTTGGAATTAATCCATGAAAAAAACCAGCTATTTTTTCTGGAAATTGGATTTCCTCGTAAACAAGAAGATGCAGAAAGATATTTCATTTCGCATTTGTCGATGGTGTGATGCGTTTTTCAAAATCAACTCATCTTACGAATATAACATGTAATTTTTTAAGATTATGTAAGACGGATACCATGTTCCACCAAATTCTGCCGTTTAATCCAGTTTTGTAGGTGTTTTGATTATGGTTGTTGGTGTTGATGAATTTCATGCATCATGCGAGATATATGCCTTTTTAAATGGATGAATACCGCACTTGATTTCCCCTGTAAGTAGGCAGCCTGCCGTTGAACGTTAGGAGAAAATAATATCAGATAAAGCATGAAGGGGCTCTTTGGGCGATTTATTCCGACTTCCCCATTCGCAATCACATTTTCTGCTTATGCATATCACGACGCAGTGTCCTCGAAGTCCTTCATCTGCATGTCAGAAACATAAGTGATATGGAAGACAGAAAGAGGATGATTAGGGAATAGAGAGGCAGGTCTTTTTGCGGCAAATCTCCCATTTAGCGAAAGAAGCATTCCGACACAATGAACGCCAATCGAGTGACTCTGCGCGCACTACGCAACGCCCGAATTATCTTCTACAGTGTATTCGGCCGGGCACATACCCTTGTAACTAAAAGTAAGTTCGTAAACTATCATTTGCTTGGCTGTCCATCGCTGAACTCGTAAAATCTCTGGATGATTGAACAAAGGAGCAAAATGCTTGTTTTTTTCTGCCGGATCGATGACGGAAGGAGACACGATCGAAGAGACAAGAAATTTATTCGCCTGACGTTTCGGATTCCTACTCGAATCCATCATCAGAGACAAAAGAGCAGAAACGGGTGGTTGTTGCACAAGGGGCTGCAGTATTTATAGGATGCAGTCGCCATGTTCCCGCATACATATGAACATTCCCCGCTCCCCCTTTCATCCGGGATCGCTGAACTTGGTGTGATGACAAATTGATAGCCGACATTCAATTCGTTAATTGCTGCAATTTCATCACGTACGTCGGATGGTGGTGTGATGATTGCTCGATTATCTGACCCACCGACCATGGCGTTAGGATGAGTGTTCACATGTGCCGTCTACTCGTGGGTAATTATTCCACCTAGGCAAAGTCTTAAAACCGAGTATGGAAGGGGAAGGTCATTGCACTTGCTAATGGACTGGGGGGGGGGGCAGAATCATCTCACGCGGTTATCCGCTCTAGCGAGAACTTCGGCCGCAACTTGATAGCTGGCGTCATTTCTCCGCACCGCTGCAGCGTGTTCGTCCATTCGCGTTCGAAGCTGTCTTCCGGTTTCTTCGACGTATTTGCATTGTCCGCATCTGCACCAGATCCGATAAACGACTCCAGAAGTTTCTTGCTGTGGCAGCGGGTCTTTCGGTTTCACTACCTGGCGCCTGATGGTTGCCTTTGGCCTGTGTGCAACTCCAATCCCAAGTGGTGCGGGAAGGCGGTCGACGGCTTCCGAAATGTTCTCGACATACTGACGCGCTTGCCAAAATTTGGCGTCCGTGAGGTTTATCCACTGGACCGTCATTTGATTCCAAAACGCACAGTTTTTCTCGATATACGCCCCGGATTGCGGCCACGCCGACAATATATTAAGATACGGAAGGAGGAAGCATACCGGAAACTCTGGTCGTGCTTTTTCGTTTGGTGAAACTGAAGCGGCTAATCATTCTAAGAGGAAGTCCTGCAGTTTATCTGTTCCACTTCAACCTTTAATTTAATTCATCTGGCTGCCCTCATCTTTAAGTTGACAATACGTTATACGAGAATATTAACCAGTCCTTGTGCGGTTGTTTGAGAAGGATTCAGATGTTTCTCCTCCGCTGTTTGGCATCTATCATGATTTTACAAGTATAGCGTTCCGTCATGCCTTATTGAAAGTTACCTGGTAGATAACTGTGGAGTCATGAATGATAAATTCTCGGAAGCCTGATAATTCCTGTTCGCAGTTAACTTAAAACTGTGAATTTTGTTGGTTGGTTACTTCACCACGCAAAACATACGTAAGCCCGGTTTCTGTTGCCGCATTGGCTGGCATTCATGCGATGCAATTCTCGCTGTATTTGAGAGATGCTATCACTGCCTCAGCACGCCTCTTTAGTAACGCCATGTTTTGCTTGTTATCTGGACAAAACCAAGAAAGGCGTAATGTTGCCAGCATTTTATCCGTTTTTGTGAGCAGTAAAGAAAGAGGGAAGCATGCGGGACATTGGCAATTTCTGCATGCTACTCACTTCCTCTCATGTTGTTTCCTGAAACATCCTCTGAAGCAGTTCGCTTCATTGAGTAACCATCGACGCGTTATGTTATAGATGGCGATGGACGAGAAAACAGTCGTGGGTTATGTCCTTTAGAATTTAAGCCGGCACTTCTAATTCAGAGCAACCTAATAACCGCACAGTAGCGCAGCAAGTCAAGCGTCCAACGCGTCCCTAAGTGAAAGGCCCCTTCCAGTTTTCGGAGTCGGAAACGGAGATCAAATACGCTCTCACCACACCGGCGGCCAGCCATTTAGAGTGGTGGTAGCGCACATTGCCCCGTTAAGTCAAAATTCTAGTAGAACCCCCAAGCATTTGCAGATTTCAATGCAAGCAAATGGATACTCAGTCCAACAGTTGGATGTGTCTGACGGTTGCGTGTTACTTCACTTTTTCCTCGAGATACTTCTGTACCAATGAGATGCGCCTCAAACGCGGATATATATATATATATATATAGGCAGAATAGTATTACCGACAAAGACAAGGGAGACTGGAATGGCCATTTCTGGCTTATTAGCCGTCGTCAGCCAGCCATACCCAAGCCCGAAGTGTGGAACACCCGAGCCTCGAACTCGCGACCTGTTGGTTTAGAAGTCAACGCCTCTACTCACCGGGCCACGAGCCCGTTGCCCTGTCGGTTTTATATATATATATACGATCCAGCCCAGCGTACTACGCGTGGATTTGCGCTAAATACCAGGGGTCACTCGTCATGTCTCCTACCCCAACTCTCAAGCAAACCCAAACCTTAAGTATAACCCTAATCCCAAACATAAATTTAACCTCAACTATAACCCTAACTTAAGGCCCAACAACGACCTTGACCCTGACCCTAACGCAAACTAACCTGTCCCCCCTCCCATAGCATCAAACCTTACCGTCTAAACACGAACCTCCCTTGAAGCCAACGCAAGGTAACTTTTACAGCGGCCCTCAGAAACATGATTCTGACAGGAACGGTGATTATTACTGTACAAAGGCTTTAGAAGAATGCCTGTTCATCATATTTCACTGGGTCATATGATCTTATCGTTTTACATAGCTGACTGAAGAAAGATGAATGGCAGTAGTTCTTCCATCTAAGTACTCTAATGATACTGATCTGCAACTAAAGGTTTAAGGGAACAGAAGTCTTGCCTGTTTCAATCAGACGCGCGAAGTGTTCCATCTAAATTATGATATTTTTCTCACTTCCGCCTGACAGATCAGGTGAGTGATGTTAAGCTTAAAATATTCTTATTGTGCAAATAAATTTCGATCTACATTTATGATCACCAGTCTTCGGTACTATTTCGTTTAACATAAGTTGGTAACAAGGCCGAAATCAGTTACAATTAATAGCCTCCCAGATTGAAGAAGGGTATTCCTCGAGTTTCGCGAGACATTTAAACACTAAAGTTAAAGTGATAAATTCCGAGAATGTCAGCAGTATTCGTGCGCCCATCAAATATAAACATTTATTAAAAGTGTTACATCTCGGCCGTCAGTAGATGTGCTATTTCGTGAAGTGCCGACACAAATCCTGACATGCAGTTTTGACTCTAAAAGATTACTTAATAAGGGTTGTAAAAATAATTGCCATGCAATACAGTCTAAAAACATTTAAGTCACAGCAGGATGTCAGCCGTCGAACGGGATTCTTTGTGGTCGCCCGCGAGGACTATACTCTGTAAAAATGGATACTTGAGAATAACCATTTTTCATTGATTTTCAATCTCCACGTACGTTCAGATAAAATTCACAGAAAACATCCACAAATTATTCGTTCTTTTTTCATTTGTCAAGAAAATACCTCTTTTTTAAATTATAAACATAGAAGGTTTCCGATGATGAAATTTTTTCAAGTCCGGGGAATGCCCATTCGTAAAACATCGTGTCTCTACATTCACCAGTGCCGCTTAAAAAGTATGCAATACGGATAAATAAATACCGACCCTTTCTTGATGAATGCATATGCTGTATCGTAGAAACCAACTGAAAGCAACAACTTTTTGCGTTCAGCCCAAAACGCTCTAGTGACCCAGGTATTGCAGCCCGTTCAGTCTCATTACGTTCTTCATTAACAATGTGCTTTTACGCAACGAAATCTTGCAGCTTTCTTTTCCTTTACCACTACACATTAACGAATAATGCCAGATATACCAGAAACTTCCGTCCAAATCAATTTGTCTATATGATGTAACACGTCACTTTTTCAAAATTGAAACTTCACTCTGCCTGTGTTGAGGAGCTAGGGTAAGCATTCGTGCGCATTTTCGGTTGAATCGCCCCGTGAATTGAGGTGGACATTTTGCATCTCATTCGCCAACCGGGTCCTTCGTTTAATTTTAGCCGGCTTCGAAATTAAGGCATAGCAGCACAATCCTGTAACGCTGGCTTCTCAGGCAATGCGGAAATTTGGCTGCTGTTACCGTGTTTTTCATTGCCACTGGGCAGGATGAAATTCAATTAAAAATTCCCTTTCACCTGCAGACTCAATGTTGTCCCTTCTCTTCGCTGTGATCTCAACCTTGCAGCTTTTACGTCGGAAATGGCGTGATGAGATCCGACTTTTCTGACGAGCAACGGAGGAAGAGGATGCTTTTTAGACAACCTGCAGCGAGTTCACATTTTCTCGAGAGGGAGCTGACTCGGAATAATTTCGATTTTACGCTGTGTAAACGTGAACAGAAATGTAGATTAAGCTAGCAAAGCCTAACAACTCAAGTGCAATGTAATCTGCGAGAACATTTTGATACGATTATAAACCTCTCCCGAAAGTACTCTAGTAAACGCAAACCTGGAGAATGTCCCCTCTTTGGATTTACACTGAAAGTTATTTAGTGCATACAGTGTGAAACATCTTTCACACGCGCCTGAACATAATCTCAACATCGGTAGTTCTTTGAGGACGATATCCGCCGTGGGGTAGACCATGCAGCAGAATGAGGTCAGAGGTGGTGAGTTAGTATAAATAGATAGTAGACTTGCGCTGCATCTACCGCACTCTCTCCCCCACATCTAACAAAACACGGTGTAACCACAAAGTCAATAAGACTGAAAGGCGTAGGTGACTGGCATGCAGGTACACCCCTTGTCCACAAAGAACACTGTCCAGGGCGCATCGCGTCCAAATAAATTGCCAATAGAAGTAACGAGACGAGTCCCAGGAAGTAGTCTTGAAGAAGGAGACACGATCGCTGGGACAAGAGCTTTATTAGCCTGAAGTTTCGGATTCCTGCTCGAACCTATCATCAGAGACGAAAGCAGATAGGGGTGGTTCATGCACAAGGGGGTGCAGTATTCATAGGATTCGGTCGCCATGCCGCCGCATACCTATGAACATTCATGGCTTCCCCCTTCATCCCGGATCGTCACACTTGTTGTGTTAAGTGTTTGATGGCAGACATTCGCGTTGCTGATTGCTGCAATTTCATCAAGTGCTTTGGATGTTGATGTGATGATTGCTCGACCGTCTGACCACCCGATCCTGGAGTTGGGAAAAGTGTTCACCTGTGCGCATTCAGCGTGCCTAATTACTTCGCCCGGACGAAATCATGCGTCAGGTAATGAAATCGAAGGACCCGCAGCCACGGCTAACAAAGTTCTAGGGTCGATTATCGGATATGGTGCAGTTGCTGCCAAAGCAACTACGTAGGGAAACCGCAAGACAGCTCCTAACGAGAATGACCGAACACGTTGCAGCGGTGCGGAGAAATGACGTCAGCTCTCAAATTGCGGCTCATTCGACGAGATCCGGCCACGCGTTCAAATTCAACGAGGCCGAAATTCTCGCTATAGCTGGCAACCACCTGAGCCGGGAGCGGCTTGAGTTATAGTCTCCCGCCCCACCCCCCCCCCCCAAGTGTAATGACCTCCCCCTCCATATTCGACGTTGAGACTGTGCCTAGGCAGAGTTATTTACCACCTGGGAAGCGCATAGGCGGACACTGTTCCCAATCCTAGGTTCGTTAGTTTAGATAATCGAGCAAACATCACATCAACATCCAAAGCACTTGATGAAATTGCAGCAATCAGTAACGCGAATGTCTGCCATCAAACATTTAACACACCAAGTGCGACGATGTCGGATGAAGGGGGGAGCCGTGAGTGCCCATAGGTATGCGGTAGCAGGGCGACTGCATCCTATAAATACCGCAGCCCCTTGTGCATGAACCACCCGTATGTGCTTTTGTCACTGACAATGGGTTCGAGCAGGAATCCGAAACGTCAGACTAATAAAGCTCTTGTGCCAGCGATCGTGTCTCCGTCTGAAAGACTGTCCAGGGCCTCGCAAAACAAATAAAACGGAGTAAGGCACGTTTATTAATTGGCGCGACGTGTGTCCCCACACAGTAGCAACGCCCTCCTGCTCTTACTGTAGCTCAGATGTTGGTCCAGCGCGTCTGTCTCGTGACCGTTTAGGACCATACCAACTTAAAACGGACAAACATCAAGTGATTTAGCGACTCTAGTAATCGATGTCTCGCGTCTAGTGGTTTTTCCTTGCGTCCTCGTCAAAATTGGGGACTGTTGTTTTTTAGCTTCCGGCATCGGTTCTGCCTAACAGAGGTCGCATGTACAGAGTGCATTCAGTCGGTTCAGGGGTGCCGATGGATGCCGCCGTATGAACTAGGTCTGAATAATCCATGCAAAAATGTGCGGATTTCTGGTCCCACTTACGGAGGCCGGATTTCGAACCGGGCTTTAGGGCTGTTTGTTCTGCGATTGCCAAATCTGGTAACTAAATCTTTATTCGCAGCACGCATATGAGGTTTTGGAACGAGCGCATCATCAACCCACACGGTGGCTCAGAGAAAGTGAATTCTTCGAGGCATGTACATCCTAGTTGATGTGTTCGGAGTGGAAGAAATGGTTTGCCGGTCCTTCACTTGAATATGGACATCCAATTATGTTGGAAGATACTCGTCAGAGGTGTGTCAGTATTAGTCAGGCATACGTCGTAGTTCATCATTCAGGGCACGTAAACCAAATACTGCCGGTCACTTATTCCGTCGGACTGGTCTATTTCGGGTCACAGTATCAGTAATATGTCCTGAAATAATTGATTTGCAAGATTCAATACCCCTTAGACATTACCATTCCATCGGCCCCTTGTTTAAGTTCAGGGTAGCAATCGAGGAGATGACGCGGTCAACTAAGTGAGAACTGTATCTGCTTTTTGTTTCGATTATGCACTCTAAACTATCATCAGAGAACACATATGATATGGGCAACGGATGGTCAAGGGCTGCAGCCATTATAGGATTCACTTACCATGCTGTTCCATGTCTATTAGCAGTTAGGAAGGAGTTGGTCGTGAACTGCTGCACTCATAGTATCATACAGGTCAAAACCTGTCTCTGTTGCGGTTGCACTCCGTAACTTTATTGTTGAGTGCCTTGATATTCGCCCACAAACACGTGAACTAGCGATGCTGGTCACCCTTGTTTCCCCGATCCGGTTCGCACACCGACTGATCACACATCCAAAACGGAAGGAGCTTAGATGATCCCCTTTTCAGAATGCCACAGACATGTCAGGCTCACACAGCAACTCATGTTTCACCGAACGGGCGCCTTGCTGACTAAGTATACAAGCAAATTGCCGACGCACATTTTATGGCCAACAGATTCTACGCCATATACTGAGGTCCCAAAAATCTGTACACAGGCATTTCTCAAAAATTCTCTCCGCAGCAAAAGTTCCGTACATCCGCAGATTAGTGTCACAAAATGAAACGCCAACTTTTGCATCTTTACATCGCGGGTCTCCGTCAAGCCTCCAGCTTTCTGGCAAGTAAGTAAAAAAAACCTTGGATCACTTTTTCTGTGCCAGAATATTAAGCGCAAAACAGCACTCGTCAAAAGACTCGATTTCATTATCATCGTCCGAGAATCTACGCGACCTCCTCACCCAACGGCACGTGGCAAAACAGGTCGCCACGATGTAGGAGACGGCGACCTCTCTACCTCCTCACTGACGAGCGCACGTTCGAACCGAAACTCTCTGATTACTATTCGCGCAACGGTTCCCGCTTGAGGTCTAGATAGCCATGGGTATTTCTTAAGGAAACAGACAGATAGTTCTGTCAAAACCACGATAGTGAGAATCTCTTATTGTCCAGGAAGCAGTTCCGAGCAAGATGCGATCGCTAACGCAGTAGGTTTATGGACCCGATGTTTCAGATTTTAAATTGGATGCATCATCAGGGACTGTAGCAGGTAAGAAATGCTGGCTCAAATAGAGCAGTATTTGGAGGCCGAAGCTGCCACGCAACTCCATGCGCATCCGTTGTTGAGGTTCATACCTGATACGATGATGGCTTGCTAATCGTTTACTGTTAGTTGTTAATTGCCGTCGTGGATTTCTGGCGTGGTAACTACTCGGTCGGCCACGCCCACCGCGCATGACCAATTTCTCTGCCAGGCACAGTCCCAACACAGAATACGGGGTCGGGAGGTCGCTACGCCTGCAGATCGACTGGGAGCCGGCGAACCATGACTCCATCACCAGGCGGCACACGCGTTTGTCGCATTTTGCGGTTGCCACAGTTTGCGCCTTTCACCACTGAGACGTACATGCAATCAGGGCCGTCGAGCGGCCGCAATATACGTTCATCAAACCGAGAGGATGCCCACAACTCCGTAATCATCCATTAAACTCACCCAGTGGACACCGATCCGCTCTTGTATGACGCCTGTTACTCGCACCCACGTGGACCTCGCCGATCTACACCCGCGAAGACACTGAGCCGACTTTGCGTCCGGGGCCCCGCATGTCTACAGAGCGTTACAGGATCCTGATTATTGCTGTGGTTGAGGAAAATACAATACGCTCCAGGTTCGGTAGTCACAGTGTCTGGGTTTTACTGACCTGGATTGCAGGTTGTGGTTGTGCCAAAACAGTAAAATGCCGAAATTCACCATAGCAGTCTCGAGTTCCTTTTCAGTATTGCGCGGATTAATACAACCCATGAAAACGTATATCTTAATTAATTATCACCGGTACTTTTCATTGCTATTCGTGTAGTGGTGAGATTATGGAAGAACCGATGTGGGAAGGGGTATGGTACTAGAGTAAAGGATAATTTTGCTCTCAAAACAGTACTTAACGACGCGCGTTTAAAGCTATAAATGAACTATGGGTTTTAATCAGTGCTGAGAAGGAGTAAGTGTAGTTAACGCTCTCATGTCCGGATGCCGCGGCGTGGTGTTTGCTAATGTGCTCGTCGTTCTATTCCACGGTACATGCCGGTTTGTCCCCCAACAAGAACCGTTTAGCTTCTGGACAGATGCCTTTTGTAAACTTAAAGAGTCGTGTATATTCACTCGTCTCCCTTAGCAGGTTCGACCCGGTTGGCTGGCCTGCGGTCGCAAACACGAAGTATTCACTGATGCCACAACCCAGTTATTGCCGCGTGAAAATCCTCGGTATCTCGCTTTTTATCCATATAACCCGGTTTCAATAGCCGATAAGTCCCGCCTTTATCAGTCAGCCAAGACTCTGTTGCACTTTCAATTTCCTTCTCGCCAAACTTTCCACAATATTATCCAAAACGTATAGTACGGAAGGTGTACTAACTGATGAAATGTTGAGGGAAATTCTGAAGTGCGTTTTAGTTTAGAAAAGATAAAACAAGTAGAGTTTTAAAAGTATTCGTCGTGCAGTGTGATTCTATAATATTTCAGATTCGGGATGCCTGCTTTCGAAAGAACTTCTTTTCGACCGCATGCAAAAACGATACTCTGTAAAAATGACTGCTTATGTAGCATTACTCTTTCTCAATGATTTTTGAGGCCCTTAAAAATTCAATTATATTTCGTGGAAAGCACGCATAAAAATAATCATTCTTTTGCTCATTCGGCAGAAAACTACGTCTTCTTCAAACCTCAATCTTGAAAGAAGGGTAAAATTCGATTTTAAAAAATTTCTAATTGTGCGATTTTTTAATACCGTGAAATACCCGCTCATAAAAAATCATGTTTCTGCATTTATCAACGTGGCTTGTAAATTTATCAATATGGCTTCAATCCACCGATAAATGTTTTGAATCCCATATGGTCTCTCTTAAAACCATAGAGAAGTATATGGTTTTCTATACGCGGAAAATATACGGCTTGTAGTTTTGAAACCCTGAATGCAATTGTGATGGCAGGTCGGGTTCGAAGTTATTAAGGAATTTAAAAAAGCTTTTAAGACTGAACCATCCCCTTCCTTCAGGCATAAGGTAAAAAAAGACGTAATTTTCTGCGGAATAAGCAAAATAATGAATATTTTTTCATGCGTGTTTTCCATAAAATATGATTGAATTTTTAAGTGCACCAAAAATCAATGGAAAAAAATTCATGCTACCCAGAAGGTGGTTTTTGCATGCAGCCGTCAACAAGTTCATTCGAAAGTCGGCATCTTCAGGTTACTGACCTATTAAAGAATTATCCTGCATGGGAATTGATTTTCACAGCGAAAAAAAACTTCGGAATTTCGGTTAAAATTGCATGAGATAGCCTACCTACTGTGTGCTATGTCTCTAGAAATTGGTGCTGTTTGAGCACTTGAACATGAGTGTTTCTATGTGCGTCTTCTCTTTCGCAGGGCGCGAGTCTCGATTCGACTCTGCCTCGCGTCTCCTACATCAAAGCCATTGATGTCTGGCTTATCGCTTGCCTCCTCTTTGTAATCGCTGCCATGCTGGAGTTTACCCTGGCAAGCTATTGGTCCCGTCGCGTGTCCCAGCGTAGGTGGCGTTCGGAGGTTCGGGAGTCGGTGCGTTCTCTTCTGGCGCGAGTCATCTGTCCCTGCCAGTCGCCCAGTCCAAACCAAGTCCTCCTCAGATGTGGCTGCTGTGGAGTGGCGATGAGCCCGCACGAGGTGGTGGCGTCGCAGCAGCAGTCTGCACAACACCGTCCGCAGTACGCTGAGTGCTACTGTTACGCAAGGTGCCAGTGCTCGCCGGTGGAGACAGCCTGCCGATCAGTGAAGTTTGATATTCCCAAGAATCGACCCTGTTCTGCCCAAAAACGTAGCTATGTGAGTGCCTCTTACAATTTGGGACTTTGGTTCATAAATGTAATTTAACCGTTCATGCCTTTTTTGCCGGATGGGAGTGCCCTCTAGCCGATTTCGGTTAGGAATTGTGCAATTTCTGGAGATAATGGGAGATAGAGATGGAATCCGGTGGGAACTTCAGCAGTTTCAGAGCAGGCTCCTGACTTTTTGTCGCGCATGGGCCAGGTTGGACACCCGCAAATCCACCGCGCTAAGACTGGAGTATTAGTTCCTGCACACCTTGCCCCTAGTCCAGTTAGTACTTTTTAATCAAGAGTGACATTAGCTACAACACAAGCCGATACCGCCCTTCAATTCCGCAAATTAGTAAAACACAATTCGGGTCGTGGTGAATAACTGGTGCCTCAGATGACTTCACTTAATATAATTCCTGTTTCAAAGTGTCGAAAATGTCTCCCAAGAGAGAAGAACTGCCAGTCACAGGTGAATAGACCCGCGATTTTTGTTAAACAATTTGGAAGAAATAAGTTTATTGTTAAAAATAAACAAATTGAATTGTGAATTTTCGACTTTGTTTACCCTATTTGTCCTCAGACGTGAAGTAAGTGTGCAAAACAGTTAACATTTAAACATTGCTAACAGTAGATTTTGTTCTGTTACTCCTGCTGGCTTAATGCTTTGAGCGGCCAATGCCTTTTCCACTTCTCCTTGGGTTCGTTGATACATGAGTTATTAGAATGGATGGCCTGTAAAAATCCGCGGCCTTTCTTAGATGAGTAAGCACTTACAATGCGAGTCTTGTCCAAAGCGTACTTGTGTCCAGTTTCCAGCGTATTAATGGCTACTCGGGACAAGTGGTTTAGCCTTTTTACGGCCAGTTGATATCCATGTATTCGTGTAGAGGCCGATTTCCCGGTTTGACCACAGTAAACCGCATTACAGGTGTTGCATGGCATCTTATAGGCGACTTCCCTCTTACCTAAGTAGCCAATCCTTTCCTTAACTCCCGTCGTCCCATCCATCGATCTACAAAATATCTAGGATACCCAATCCGATGAAACAGTTCGAACAAATAATTCAGTTCTATATGATAGGTTTCGTTGTCAGAGCAGTGAGTTCATGCTCGGTTAACTTAATAATTAATCACGGTGTTTTATGCAAAATACTTCGTTATGCAAGCTGAAAAACTATGGCAAACTGTGCGTACATTATTTGCAAGTCTGAGCAGAGCTGCATCGTGGAATGCACCGCTACGTAGTCTGTGCAAAGAATTCATGGGTTTAGTTGACCTTCAGGGCTGATGATTATGACGACTGTAGTGGTGATTGGCAGGCACAATAAATCCTTCATATTCGATTAGAAAGGAGGGGAATGCGTAGGTAGTGGTCGTAGCCTTCGCTCACGCAAAGGCAGTAATTAAGGACACTACGCAATCCTACGAAAATGTCGGGAAACAACAGGGTACTTTGTACTGAGTTGAAATCCCCCGAGGAGTGGATGAAATACGCTTAAAAAACGTGAAACACTGCTCAGTGTGTTAGACATATTCGCACAATTTGGGCAAAACGACGTTAATTACTACACCATTATCCAGACTTTAATTGCAATCTCGCAAAGATGCATGTTTTGTTGTAAAATTGGCAAAAGGGAGTGCTTTTAATCCTCAATCCAAAGAAGACATTGGCGGACGATGTGCCGTTGAGAGGACTTCAGTTTAAAGCCACAGGCACATAGCAATAACAACACAAATATGGGGAACATCTTGCTAGGCAAAAGACTGGAAAGGGATAGTTTTATAATATTAAGTTTATTTTGCACAGAGGTTTATGCTGGGAAATGTTAGAAGAGCTTCTATCAAAAGTTATGCAGATACGCAATTTTTCCCATACACGATATGGCGTTTTCTCCGTTTGAAGCGGGGTTTTTGAATGTTGACTCCAGTTCGCGAATTAACCAATGGGGTAGTAACATCTCTGTAATCTGGCTAAGTAAGCGGCATCCATCTGCTTATTACCTGTTGAGAGTAAGTTCTCATTTACGCAAAGTCATACTGCTGACAAAGACAAGGGAGACTGGAATGGTCGTTTCGGGCTTATTAGCCGTCATCAGACAGTGATACCCAACCTGGAGGTGTGGAACACCCGGGCCTCGATCTCGCCATATGTTGGTTAGAAGTCCAACGTCCCTAAACTCTGATCTGACGACGTCTAACAAACCAGAAATGGATATTCTCGTCTCCGTTGTCCATGTCGATGATGTCATTCTACCAATAGTACTCTCCACCGTGCGGCTGCGGGTTGGGCTCGAAAGGAGGCCCCAGGACACAACAGAACGAGAGAGCTCCATAAGAGGATCGGTGAGTGCCAGTCCGCCACTCTTGAATGCCGAAAGGCAGTCGTGCATGGCTGGCGGCCATATGCAAGCTGGATGCAGGCCACATGTACCAACATCACCGGCATTGTCAGGAAGTAGCCCTTACATATACGTCTCATAAAAATTTGATCAACACAAAGACATGGAATACTGAGATTTTAATTTCACCTGCCAAAAAACCGGTCATACGTCATCCATGACAAGATAGATTACCGAAACACAGCCCTCCTGCTACTCAACGATCGGGAGTCCTACAAAGTCAGCGGCGCTGCCAGTTTAAAGTCACTCCTGGCGAAAGTTGACATAATTCTGGCTCGACTAATAAAGGACACGGCCATCGCCGCTAAAGACTGGTATAGTGTAAAACCCACAGAACCAGCTACGGCGCGATTCTACGGTCTCCAAAAGGTACACCGGACAGACGTTCCCCTCCGAGCAATCGTCTGACTCCGAAGCACACCCGAATACGAGCTTACAAATTGACTATTACAAATTTCTAACCGCGAGCTCACAAGCAAAAGTGCAGTCAGCAAAGCAGTTTTCTAAAACGATACGGGTGGTCATGATCGAACGCAATGAGAGACTGGTGTCATTTGATGTCGTTCCACTCTCCTCATCCATACCATAGGCTATGGCGGTCAAAATGCGCAGTGACCTGCTGCGTCAAAAATGCAGTGAGGGCAATGGCCAGTCCACAGCTCAGGATTTCAGAGAACACCTAGGGCACTGCTTCAAGACATCCCTTGCCTTCGAAGGGATCACATATGAACAAATTAAGCGCTTTCCGGGCTCATTGTTGAGGCAGTTCAGCAAAGACTCGGGAGAAGACTGCTCGAGGAGCACAAACCCCAGTTTGGGCGCGCTACGTGGAGAACACCTTCGTAATTTTCCGTCTGGGTAAAGATTGACTAGTACGGGAAACAACTGAACTCAACCATTCCCGACCTGCGGCTCACGACAAACGTCTATTCTTAGATGCTCTTGTCTGCCTCCAAACGTACCTCAGACTGACGATATCAATCTACTGAAAACCGACGAACACACTGCAAGTGCTCGGCTACAACAGCAACCACCCACTGCAGCATCAACGAAGCTGTACACGCACGCTAGACCGTAGGGTGAAAGCTCATTGCATCACGCTCGCCGCCAAACTGGACGAGATGAAGCTCCCCCAAGAACTCTTCAGGGCCAAAGGACTTCTGCGAGCATTAATTGAATGGAGCCGAAAGCAACAAAGGAAGCGGAATGAAGGGCATAGTCAACCTAAATCGTAACGGAGCATTCCGTGCATGAAAGGGTTCACCGAAGCTGTGGCTAGATCCATCGCGCCGCTCGGAATAGGCGTTTCTTACAGCCCTGACTCAAAAATCCGCTGGAAAGTGATGCGGCCAAAAGATCGAGCCCTAAGCAGGAGATGTCAGCTGTTATCTACCGACTTCCCTGCAGCTGCCGCACGTGTTACTACCTTGGCAAAACCGTCCGACGGCTGCAATCGCGAATGTGCGCGCATAAGTTGGCCGAGCGAAGGTTGAACGCAAAGTCGGAGGTAGCGTCCCATGCCGCGCAAGTGGGGCACATCTTCAACTATGAGGCGGTTGAGATTGTGAGCTGGGGCGATGATCATAGAGCAATGCGGATGCAAGAAGTCCGGATGTCCACCGACTGCTCTGTCGACCGCCACATCAATTTGCCTCTCCCCCATCTGACTTCACCAACCTTCTTAACGGGGAACAGTTACGGCGCGGGACAGTCGGGGCCATCAACTACCCCCCGGTGGACGAGGGCGGGGGCGATTCAGGTCACGGTGACATAAGGGACGGATGCAACCATACAGGCGGCATTAGCGGGCCCCCCATCGAACAAAGTGGCCATACAAGGAGAACCGTGCGCTAAACTTCCTGGTCTCTGAATATGCGTAGACGAAGCAACAACTCGAAACGTCAGACCTCCAATAGACCTCGCCGGTGAACGCCCCTCCTCTTTTGACAAAGTAGGCATGAACACGCCTTCATAACGGTATTCAAGTTTGCAGAGGAAGGGTGTGACTTGGTATCGGATAAGCAGCGTGAGTGTACTCCAAGCGCTACAATCACTCGGTCAAATCCCGGTTTGTATGGAGACAGAACTCGCTCGATTGGGGAATTTACTGTGCACAGAAACCTCCCTGGCGCCATTTGCCGCTGGCAAAGCCAGGGTTGGTACTGACTACGCCTAGTCATGCCTGAGGGTCTGTGAGACATTCTCAAGTGGTGTCGAACTAGCATGTGTTGTATTTGTCGATGGATGGCAGTCAATTGTCGTATGTTGCTGGTTGCAGGGAAGTGATGTGTTTAAGTGGCGCATGCGCGTCCGATTTGAAGTCGGTACAGTGGCTTCGGTCAAATGGCGTCTCGAACAGCTCGCTGGGAAGGCGAATGACCTTGACGCAGCAAGGCCCTTAACAAGGACGCCAGACATGACCATGATGGCTGTCGGCACCATAACTTCTTCCACGAGAATGCGTCGGCGGAACTAGGCGCAAAAACAGATACTGGTGTTGGTAGAGAGAATAAACACATTTCTTAGTAATGAGATGTTATTCAAGAAGCATCGTAAACAAATACAGTCGATATATTCTGACCTTGTTTTAAACTATACACCGGAAGCGCTCGGGCTATTTGCAGACCGCCTCAGAAGAAACCCCCCGATTTTCTTTGTGCCGATTGTTTACTTACAGCTAGAGCGCGACACCGTCATAGACTTGTGCGGCCACACTTCGCAACAATGGCCAAAGGATTATAGGCGTTCAATCTCCCTTATACTGCAATTTAATATTTGATGTTCTAGGGAAGTGTACGTAAACAGTTCAGTTGATTCTGCATTGAAAACGCATTACTTGACGAGAATGCCCTAGTTATGAGCAACCATGATTTTAATTCCATTCAGTGCAATGAAGAAAACGCGTGAGCTTCATTCAAGGGCGTTTCCGATTTGAGTGCTTGCATGGAGTTCAAGATAATTTAACTGGGCAGTTTGAATCCATCATTCGATAACAGTATCCTTGGCATGTCTTTATGCAACCAGACACAATTCCTTTATCCGGCAATAGCGGGGTTTATGGCCGAGGTTACTTGACCAGAGGAAACGACGTCAGTGTACGTGAATGTATCGTTTTCTCCATCATTCTTATTTGATTAGGAAGAGCACTGCCGCGTTTAATGTTACAAGTTGAAGACGATGGCGTAGTGCAGTAGAAGCTCACTTCATGTGCAGAGCTTTCCAGGGTTAGGTTTGGTCCTGTAGCTCCAACTGAGTTATACCACATGATAGGCTAAGAAAATTATTAGTTGTGAGTGCGCTGACTTTACAACTATCACGAATTTGCACTTTTCCCATAAATGTAATCCAGAGGGTGACTGTGTCACGGGGGAAGGGGCACTTATACTCCAGCGCCTGGTTATCACTTGGTTCGCGCTTCCCGGCACTTACTTCGAGGCCTGCTTGCGGTCTCTTTATTATCCTAATCCAGCGAGTTGCCAGATAGACTTGCTAATGCAATTTTTCGGACGATGTTGAACTCCGTCGGTTGCACTACAATGACCGTGCAGTGCGAATTACCACGCGCTTGCCGACCGTGACCTTTTAGTTTTGATAACACCCTCCTCAACCTACTAATCCAGCGAGTGGCTACGTCGAGGGAAGTACAGTGCGTGACCGGTCTCATTAAATGGCCGAAATTCTGAAATGCGTTTTTGACTAGGGAAGGATTAACAAGGTGGTGTTGTAATACTAATCCTCATGTAGCATTAATCTATAGAGCATCGGACTCGCCAGGATGTCGGCTTTTGAAGGCGCTTCTTTTTGTCCTCACACAGTTGTACTACTGGGTAAAAATGACTACTTAAGTAGCATGCATCTTTTACGTTGACGTTCGATGGACCCGTAAATCCGAATGTATTTTATTGACAAATTGAACAAAAAAACGTGGTTTAGTTCACTTGTTCGAAAGATAGTCAAGTCATCTATATATTTTACACTCGAAAAAAGAGAATAGTTCAGGTTTAAAAAAAGCTTTTAATCATGAGATTTTTAAGATCATTCAAAGTCTATTCACTCAGCATCGTACCTGTCCGTTTACCGCTGCTCCTCATGGTCCTACAGACCCATCTGAGTTATACCGCATGGTAGGCTTTCTAAGAAGACTTCTTAGTTGCGAGTAGGCTGACTTTACAACTATCACGCATTTGCATTTTCCCTACATTTGCAATCCAGAGAGTGACTTTGTCACATTGACAGGAGTACTTATAGTCCAGTCTCGGTTATCACTTCGTTCGTTCATCCCTGAACTTGCTTTGAGCCCTTCTTGCGTCCTCTTTATTATCCTTATCTAGCGATTGGCCAGATAGACTTGCTAACGCAATTTTTCGGACAATGTTGGAATCAATCGATTCCACTACATTGGCCATGCACTGCGAATTACCATGCGGTTCCCCCCCCCCGTGGCCCTCTAGCTGTGACAGCACCCTTCTTATCTTACTAATCCAGCGAGTGGCTACGTCGGGGGGAGTATGTGCACACGCCACCTTCACTCACCTCCCTGCGCGTGTTCCGAGCTCTGCTTCTGCTCTCATTCCCCTCCTAATCCATCGAGTGCCTAAGTTAGGTTCACCAATAGAAGCAAAGAGACGAGTCCTAGGAGCAGTCTTGAAGAAGGAGACACGATCGCTGAGACAAGAGCTTCAATCGTCTGACGTTTCGGATTCCTGCGCGGACCCATCATCAGCGGCAAAAAGCAGATACGAGTGGTTCATGCACAAGGGGCTGCCATATTTATAGGATATAGTCGCCATGCTACCTATAAATACCTATAAATACCTATAAATATTCACGGTTCCCCTCCTTCATCAGGGATCGTTGAACGTGATGTGATGGCCAACATTCGCGTCGTTAATTGCTGCAATTTCATAAGGACGCTTTGTCGGCGTCGGAGAAACCGGAAGACAACTCCGAACGCGAATGGCTGAACACGCTGCAGCGGTGCGGAGAAATGACGCCAGCACCCAAGTTGCGGCTCATTCGACGAGATCCGGCCACACATTCGCATCCGACGAGGTTGAACATGGTAGGGGGCGCTCACCGATCGTTCTTACAGAACTTACTCGTTTCGTTGTGCAATACGGGCTCTCTCGAGTCCAACCAGCAGCCGTACAGCGACGCATGCTATATAGGCAGAATGCTATTACCAGTCTCCCTTGTCTTTGTCGGTAATAGCATTCTGAGGTTGAAATTTTCGCAAGAGGTGACAACCGCGTGAGCCGGGAGCTGCTTGAGTCATCATTAACTGGCCTTCAGCCCCTTAACAAGTGTAATGATCTTCACATTCAATACTCGTGTTGGAACGTCGCCTAGGCGGAGTAATTGGCCACACGGGGAGCGCACAAGTGAACACTTTTCCCAACACCGCGTCAGATGGTCGAGCCAGCATCATACGAACATCCAAAGCAGGTGAAGAAATTGCAGCAATTAACGACGCGAACGTCGGCCATCACACCACGTGCAACGATCCCTGATGAAGGAGGGCAGTCGTGAACATTCAGTAGGTGTGCGGTAGCATGGCGACTGCATCCTATAAATACTGCAGCCCCTTATGCATGAACGACCCGTATGTGCTTTTTCATGATGGGTTCGAGCAAGAATCCGAAACGTCAGGCTAATAAAACTCTTGTCCCAGCGATCGCGTCCCCTTCCTTAAGTTAGATATGTTAACTAATATTGTTTTTACCAGCAAACTATATGGTATCACTCGGGTGAGGCTTCAGAACCAAAATTCACCGCTTTCTGACTTGCATTTGAACAGTAATTCAGTCGAGCTATCTATGGGCCGGCAGCTATTAAGCTATGGATTGACTCCTGCAAAATCGATCGCAGCAGAAATCGCTGATCTTTTTTAGCATCCTGAGTCTGTGTTTACAAAAGAACGATTGGAACTCGCGGTCGGTCCTAATGCCTTTGGGGATGGCTTTCATTGCCGAGTTGCATTATTCTGCAGCGACATCACCTCCTCCTGCATGCCTCTCCTAAATTAATAATCAAATTAGGAGCAGCTGTTTCGTATTTTCGGTTTATCCTCAGATTCAGATGACTGAAAAATTCTTCCTTCCTCTCTCCTTTTTGTGAATGTGCTCTCGCCGGTGATGCAACCGTCAACCTCAAAAATAGATGACGAGCTTTTTGGATACCCCAAAATATTTATGCGGTATGCCCGTCGCACAGTGGATGGCAAATCCAATAAATATCCAGTGATGAAATCTAACTGCAAATTTGCTATGATTAATGCCTACACAGTCGCCGTTTTTGTTCCTTCGAGTTCACTTGGCACCGAAGAGTAGAAAACCCAAAAGTGCTTTCAAATAAAAAACAATTATTTAAATCGCACATCGACACTGCCCAAAGTGAGGCAGGGTAATAAATAACTTACTATGTAATAAGATGTTGCATTTTTTCCTAAACCGTTCGTCTTTTTCCTGTTTAACCAGTGCTTGTGAACTATTTGCCGCTAAAGTGGTGTACATTTATTTTATTGATTTTCGGAGTATTTTTCATAAACACGTGTACATTGATCATACTCAACTTATAGAGTCCCTGATCTCTAAGTAGCACTTGACGAAAGAGAATATCTAGTTCTAGCAGTCATTTTTAAGAAATCGTTTTAGACCTCTTAACCATAGCTATATTAGTGCCGCAGTAGCAGTCGCGTGGCAACGTAGGAATAGAATGTAATATTCTTTAACATAAAAGACAACAGATTTGAACGTCCCTTTTCGGTCCATGTTCCCTCGTCAGGTACCTGGCACACCGTATACTACGTCACCAGCCGGTTTAAAATTCTGTGTGGAATGCTTAGTCTCCCGTTAGATTGATATCCGTTGTTTGCTTAGTGATTTCGTAGTGCCGATAGTGAAGATTAAATAAGCTGGGTGGGGTTTTTCGAAATCTCAGTTTGGTAAACACGTGTTTTCCGTAACTCGTCATCAGGCCAAAACAGTTACATAGACGATGAAATTATGGGGGCCAACGCCGATCCCAGATGATGCTTGCATGTCGCCCCAACCTCCTGATGGCAGTGGTATGTGCACAACGTACCCGACGTACAAGCATTACTCACGGCCTATGTCCCCCCTCCCCCTCGCCTCCTTGACCCAATGGTCACGACACGCCGACCACGCCAAAGCACGCCTCGCCATGCGAGTGGCGTGGGAACGCTGAATCCCTCCTAAGCCCTGTAACTTCGCATAATTTAAAGTCCTATGTAGTTTTTTTGGCCTGATGAAGAATAACCAAAAACACGTGTTTGCCAAATTGACTTTTCAATTGTAACATGGGGATATTGGCTGAACTTAGACAATCCAAAGATCCCTTGTTGTTTTTTGTTAAGCCAGTGAACTCACTATGGTTTTTAAGCTATTCTTTCACTGCTAATATATTGTCTCAAGCTTCTCACCAGTTTCCAGCGATCTCCACTTAATACTGTCGCTAGGCCTACCCTTAGCGTCACCCCATAACGCTGCAGTCAGAGGGCGTGGAAATGAAATTTGCGATGCATCATCACCAAATAGTTTATTATAAACCCCGTTACTGGTGTTTCCGATGTCTGAGTCAACATGTTTTGTGTTTATGCCAAAGTCCAATAATTTCTGTACTAACTAGCTCAGAGTTTCACTGCTATCATCCAGAAAATCCAGAGTCCGGCAGATTTTATTAGACATCTTCATTTTCCACTTATCTCCACATCCAAGCACACATTTCACGTCAAGAAACAACAACCTTGCAAAATGAAAGGCTTTCTTCAGTTCCTCTGTCCATCGCTCTGGCCTCAACAAGCGAATCGGAAAACAGTGGTCCGTTTTCATGATTTTTCACCCGACATCATCTTGTGTCTGGAGTGATTTTCACTTACTGTAAACAGGGATTTGTCGATGTTCACCTCAAAGTCCCTATCTCCTTATGTGTTATATACGTGTGTGTTGAGCCCTCATCACCTGAACGTATGGTGCTAATTCTTGCATTCTTTTACACAATTATCCTGAGATCCTTGTCTGCCTAGTAGATACTAAGGGCAATATCGACAAGGTCAAGTGAAAAATGATAAAGGTGAGAGGGAGCCGTATGTAATGGTAGTGGGGGCGATCATCGATCGTTTTTACGGAACTCACTCTTCCCGTTTTGCCTTTGGGGTCTCTCTGTCGTGTTCAACCAGCAGCCGCAAACCGGCGCACGATACGTGTCACGGGATCGAGCACCAGGTGTTCCACACTTTGAGGTTGGGTATGACTGGCGGACGACGGCTAATGAGCTAGAAATATCCATTCCGGTCTCCCTTGTCTTTGTCGCTAACGCTATTCACTAACGTATGAGTCATATGCTATTAAAGGTACGATATTTGGGCAACAAAACCGAAGGCGTTAACTTAAATGGGGCTGATATTTCCTCAGATTTTCTGGCACGTAGAGAGTTGCAAATGCAGTTTGGTTCGTCAGGCTTTCACCACGTGCGCTAGATAAAAGCCCTTGTTGAAACCGCGCACATATTACGGACTTAATGCGGAAATAATGCCAATAATACTAGGGCGTTTAGCTGATTGTGATGGATTTGAGAGTGGATATGCCTACTGGCTTTAAAACGAAGAAACTGTGTCAAATAATGTATTCTATGCTCGCACATTATTTTTGTTATGACGAGGAGGACAAGCCGTTTATTGGTAGCTCATGGACACGAGGGGTTACAACACGTCAGAAAGATGCGCTGCTTATATTGGCTCCTGTGCGTTCTGGGACATTCCATCCAATGACGTGCCAGCCGTTCTAGAATGTTCCTGCCCTGGGAGTGCTGGTCGCTGATTGGCCACCGTGTGCGCGATAGCCCCTCCAACGCGGAAAGCGTCTGGAATGTTCGACCAGCCATTGATTGGGCAGCGCACGTGAGCACAGCCACTACACGTGCTCGGCGCTGCATTGCACGCCGGTCGACCGTGTAACTTCACGCGTGTCTCACGCCGCCGGCCGTGGCTCTACGCCGCTTGCACCCTCCATAACAATTTTCAGTACAAATTAGAAAGGCGTAACGAAGGGACTGCTTACATTCGGTGGTTAACTAATGTGACACTCAGCTCGTTCATAAGGTCCTTGATATGCATCCTTTTCTGGAAAACCTATAGACAGCTCTTATGGCCTGAATTTGCAACCATTTTTACATATTCACTCAGTCTACATGAAACGTAATAAGGACTCAACTATCGGCTTGTTTGCCTGCCTTTCGGTCTAGATCCGAATTCATCAATATAAACCCAGAAGTACAGGTGGGGATTCTATAGAGTCGAATATTTTTCTGAGCAAAAACGGTAGGTTTGTTCAATTAAGCCAAAAGGTAAAGTCTAAAATGGTTATTGCAACTTAATTCATATAGACCGCTTTTATCCGATTCGCTGTAGTACTTTTAGCGCAGTTGGGGTCGGCTTTGTCGGTACATCGGGCGTCACAATTCGCGCAGTGAGTTCTTTCGTAGACCGACACGTAGACGATGCAAATTAATTAAGCGCCTCCCCATTGAGAAGCGACGGTGGACTTGCGTAGTTATCGAGTCGTCCACGTTTCCGTATATTGATGCGCACTGATAGCCAATTATCCTTATTACCGGGCTTCCGGGCACCTATGTCAGTTTAACCTTTTCAATCGTCATGATGGGAACACCGGAAGTGTAAGCATCCAACCCCACTGTTTGGCAGTGACTTGACTTACTTTGGACGCTAACGCTCAACTTGTCGGGCAGGACGGAATGCATTTCTCGCCTTTCATAAACAGGAAAATGTAAATGAGCATTGAATTGCCCTACAAACCACTCATCTTCATAGAGGAACAGGCATTCATCTGGAAAAGGTCTTTCGGAAGTTCTAGGACCTAGCATTAGAGAATGCATCGGCTCGTCAAAAACCTGGATGCCTTCTCGAACGTCCCTAATACTGCTACTGTCGTGCGGTCTTGCGAATTTTGATAATGAAATTGTCAACTTCCTCAATTTCTACCACAAGAGTGAAAGTTGAAATGTAGGATCAATTGTGCAATGATTTACCATACTAACAACACAGGTATCAGCTAAAAGCCCAGACACGCGTGTTTCGCCGATCTTATGCCGCTGCCTGACGCAGCTGCGATAGGTTCGGCTCGTCAGTGGGTCCCCCAGCTTTGCCCGCGTGTTTTCCGGTATATTAACTCCAGTTTCAACTTGTCTTGTTTAATTTCCGAGGAAATTAATGCGCGAACCTGGAGTGACTCTTTCGAAACAGACCGGGGACCCACTGACGATCCGAACCCCTCGCAGCTGCGTCAGGCAGCGGCATAAGATCGGCGAAACACGCGCGTCTGGGCTTTTAGCTAATACCTGTGTTGTTAGTACGGTAAATCATAGCACAATTCTATACTACTGGCTGCCTGTTGGCGGTTTGTGAATATTAAGCGGTTATTCCGCAGTAGCTGATGGATTTCAGCTCAAATATTTATATTAAACTTCGGACCGTACCTGAAAACGTCTGTTTCGAAGGATTAACTCCAATTTCGCACATTAATTTCCTCGGAAATTAAACAAGGCATATAGGACCAATGCTGGGCGATCGCCGCTCATTCTTCGAGCGTGACTAGAAATTCCCAATCTGTGCGCTTTAGGCCAGACAATGCAAAGAGTAAATTTCTCAGATGGATTAATATTCCGGAGTCTGTAGCGCCTCAGACGGAATTAAGCCTTCTGCCTCGGGCGCACAGGGGTCATGTGATCACGACCTCCGAGCGTCAGAACGTGAGCGCGTTCAGGCCCACAAACGCCACTACCAACCAATCAGCTGATCGGGCTGACACTGACTGACTATCACCTGACGTATATTCACTCACGCCCACCTGATGCACTCACGCCCGCACGCTTACACGGACGTTCGCGAACCCACAGCTGGCCCCGCGCCGGGGTACCTGACAGGCAACAGGCAACATTACTTTTCTGTCCTTTATCTCTGTATTCAGGAGAAGCGCCTGGCTCAGAACTTCTGCAGCGGCGACTGCTCAACGGTCTCCTGGACACATGAGGAGCCCAAATCCCACGAAACACACACACGTCGACGTCGTCAAGGCGACAACAAGAAGCACCGTCACAAAAGTGCTCGGTACAACTCCTCTTCCTCCTCTGTGACTGTTTCCCCCTTGGACTGCCCAAACCGCCTCCCCGCCTCTCCAAAACGGCGTCACATGGAATGCAGTGACGACCACTTACCGCCCCCACGGGCAAGTCGATTGGCCAATTCAGGGGGAGCCGACGACACCGGGACCGTTCTCTTTCACATGTCTTCCCTCAAAAAGGGTGCGACCGGCAGGAAAAAGCACTCTGTGAAGTTCAGCAAGGACAACCACCAGCAGGAAAGCCAGAAGCAGTTAGAGCAACAACAACAACAGCCCCTTCTTGGACGTTCTAGCGACGCCTATGACAACACCACCGATTTCACCAATCGTCACAAACCGCCGGTACCACCGTGCCAGCGGGAGACGGCTACGCGAGAACGTCTGGCCAGTCTGGAGGTCAGCCTGGAAGACCGGCCGGTGGACATTGAGTCGGAGATTGATGCCTACAGTCGATTCCTCTTCCCCTGCTGTTTTGTCCTTTATAATTGCTGCTACTGGCTTTTTTACCTAATAATTTCAGATCCTGGTTTCATAAACTCCTAGCATAGATGACAGACGTGGCCGTCGTCTGTGTGTACAAAGCTAGTTTCTGCATTAGTCACTACCTCCTATGTCTTCCCTCCACCTTCGGAGGAGGACACGATGCACATACTACTGAATTTGATAAGTAACATACCGTGCTCAATGTGGAACAATTGCTCCAGCCCTTTATATTTACTTCATTTTCGATACCACCTAGAAGACATGGCTGACGTTCGCATGCAATGCTCGAAAATCCCCTTACGTGTGCATGTAAACAGCTTAGGTTACTACTTGAAAACGGCAATTTTCATATCCCTTTGAGGTGTTTGTTTGTATTTTGGTAAAATGGCGATAGAAATGCCCCACCGCACTGTCCTGAAAAAGAAACGTGCGCCTTCAGTTGCTTTTCATTTCGTTTTCTTATCGGTCGGAACTTCAGGTCTTTACAAGACAGTATTGTCTAGTGGGTTTATTCACGTGCGAAAGTTCTACTAAATCCAATTCATTGTCAATTCAGTTGTCGTAGGTAATGCAACCATTGGCGGAACTCAATTAAGACGTATATATGGCATACTCTCCACTTTCGAGATGCGTTGTTTTCGGGGTTTTGTACAGACTCGACCGTCACATATTCGGTGTCCACGTTTAAGACAGGTGCTCCGAAACCGAGTACGTTTAAAGTCAACTCACCTTTTATCTAAAAGGTAGTAGGCCAGTCGTAGATTACTATTTCGCACAGCACAGTGCCCTAGAAAATTGCGTCAATAGTGACGCGTCTAAACTGGTGCAGCACCGCCTTCATCAAACAGCCATAAACCATGCCATTTATGAGGAACCAAAACGCACGGACCTGCACGACGACACGACAATTCGATGATGTCCACCATGTGCTCCAAAGCAAGGTAAGAGCAGTGACGGTGACTTGCGTGTAACTTAGTTTATAGTGATAATAGACTTGCGCAACATCTACCGCACTATTTCTTGCCCACATTCCACCTTAACTAGGATGTTTCACCAACGACCACAACACCTCAACAGGGCTCAGAATGACGAGGATGACTGGACAGCCATGCCCACTATCTGTACAGTGCGCGACCGATCTCATGAAATGTTGGCTGAAATCCTGGAATGCGTTTCCGATTAGGAAAAGTTATTTAGGCGGTGTTGTAATACTGATTATCGTGCGACATAATAGCGTAGTATTTCAAGCTCGCCAGGGTGTCGGCTCCTGAATGCACTTCTTTTTGACCTCCTACAGAAACCACGCTCGATAAAAAATGGCTACTTAAGTAGCAGGCACTTTTCCTACTGATTTTCGATTGTCTTGTAAATTCAAATATATTTTATAGAAAGCATGCACAAAATATGCTTTTGGTTGAAAATCGAATTGTTTTCCTATTTACTACCCGAAGAAAATGTATATTTAGGTTTTAAAAATGTTTTCCAATTCCCGAATAGTTTTGAGCCCGATCTGCCATCGCATTAGCGTTTTGAGATTCAAGTCTACAAGGTGCATGCTTTCCGCATGAGGAAGATCACATATTCCTCTATGCCTTTTAGAAGATACCATATAAAGCTCGTGAAATTCTGCAATGGATTCGGACTATGTTGGGGAGCATCGGTAAGCGAACATGTGCGATGCTGTTGAAATGGACACCACACGGTCTTCAAAATCTCATAATTAAAAACTTATTTAAAACCCAAATATGCGCTTTCTTCGGGTATAAAATATGAAGGCAATGTGATTTTCCACCAAATGAGAAAAAGAAAGCCTATTTTTGTGCATTTTTTCTAGAAAATATATTAGACTATATAAGACCACTGAAAATCGGTGCGAAAAATACATGCTAATTAAATAGCCACTTTTTACAAAGTGCGGTTCCTGCAGAAGTTCAAAAAAACAGTGCATTCAAGAACCGACATCCCGTCGGGTCCGATATACTATGGGATTATGCTGCAAGGTAATCAGTATGGAAATCTCACCTTAGTACTCTTTTTTATCGAGAACGCATTTCAGAATTTCAGTCAACATTTCATGATATCGGTCGCGCACTGTATATATGGCAGGAGCGCAATTTCATCTACCGGTAGGGAACCAGATGTCGAAGAACTGTCAGCGCATACCGGGCCACGAGGGTCATGGTTTAAACACACACACACACACACGACAGTTCGACCGTCGTTTCCGACAGTGTCTACTGTGCGTTCCACAGCAAGGCGAGGCAGACACGGTGATATGTGCGGGAATTAGTGTCAGTAGACTTGCGCAGCATCTACCGCAGACCTCTCACCTTCCCCGACCGAGCTCGGTGTCAAGACAGAGACAAGAAGACCAGAGGCGGAGCAGAGGGCGCGGTCGAGCCCGCACCTAGGCGTTCCACCCCAGGTCCCCTGGTTTACACAGCGAGCGACCAATAACAAAAATGGAGGCGGAATGAGTCTCAATGTGCGCGAAGTCAGTCTGCAATCGCCCCCCGAAGTATTGGCATTTGTCATGGTGCATCTCCTGATAGCGCTTGCCAAACGGGGGCTGTCAGAGGAGTCACAGGTAATTCGTTTAACCGAAGTCCATCACTGTCTTGCCACCTGACAGATTTGATCTTTATTTGTAGGCGCATGCCGATTGGTAAAAAAGACTGTCGGCGTGTGGTGCTTAGATGGTCCTACGAGTGCGGACGAAACCGTTAGTTACAGACAGCTAATCTTTGGAATGCTCAGCTTATGGATTAACAATTCAAAACATTGTCAATTTTCGAAGCATTCTATAAACATAGGCTACGAAAGCTATGGTATTGGGCACTCAATCTAGAAGAAGTCTGTGCCGCTTTTTTGTCATACATGAAGAATAACCTAAGCATGAAACCACTCTGGCGAATAGGGACGTCTACACTATTCAACGGTATTATTTCGGTCAATAAAAAAAACTTTCTTCAACACGTAAAATACTTACAAAATGCTCCGTCGAGGGGCGTCCCCTTTCGACTGGCTTTTTGTTTTCATGGAAAATATGGACATTTTTGCCATAAAATAAAGAAGTTTTTCGCGAAATTTTTTGAAATGTAGCCGTCGTTGTACGATTAGTAATGCACAGAATATCGACCACATGAATATTGACACATTGCACAAAGGGTTAATGTTTTGCCCGCTCAACATATAAACGACGTATAAGTCGGAGGTAGGCGATACGAAAGTGTCTTTCGTTATGTAGAAAATTTGAAAGGATCATTCAATAATGTTTATTTTGGCGGTGACTGATAACGTCCTTACCACTGACATAACTTAGGCACGTCAAAGACAAGAATTGCTACCAGGGCTTGTTAGTGTCCCTAAAGGCGCGAAATCCCACAGACTTGTAAAGCGGTCTATTAAAAATTAATAAAATATCTGGTGTTCTAAAATAACCCTTGGACGAAATTAGGTTCCCGCAGCTTACTTTAGACAGAAAATAAATTATCGAGCGTGGCCTGTTTTGTTTAGAAAAAACTCTCAAAATTAAGCTACTCCTCTTTGGAGAAAACGTCCGCTTGGGTGCGCTGAACAGGTCTACGGCAGCCCGGGTAAAGGGCTGCATTTTTCAATATTTTGTGTCAGTAAAATACTTAGGAACAGGATTTAGACGAAACAATAGTATTTTCCGAGAGAGCACTACTACTGACAGGTACACAGTGAAGCCCGTCTTTTCATGTTCCTTCGTTAATTGTCTGTCATGGTTGTATCAATGTGACAGATGGACGTTTTGGGAAGTTATAATGACAAGATCTACGATCACGAAATTGTTCGGCCATGCAGGTTCCGCCTCAGCAAACCTAGTTCCTTGCGTGTAATAATACCGACCTTTCTCAATGACCCAATTGTGGAAAACTCGGCGCCTCGGTTGGTTTAGAACCCAAGACATCAGAGGAAGACTTTAGTACAGCCAACGCTCTAACCACCTGAGCTACGAGGCGCCGAGTTTTTCACAGGTGGACCAATAAGAATTATTTACAATCTGCCAAAACATCTATGAATCCCGACCTTACTAGGAATTCAGGCATCGCAGTAGGGAATTTCAGACCAATCTTGATGATTACCACATATGTTTTCAGGAACATGGCGGCTTATGGAGCTGAGTAGGAGCAAGCTTCATGAAGGCGGAAATTAGGTTAAATAAGCTTAGGACGAATGCGTAGATGTAGGTTTTGTGATGATATCCATTAAAACACTAAAAGGATCAGATTTTGTTACATGGTGAACAGCCATGGGGACGTCTAGAAATATCAGAGATAAGAGACAGCTATGGTCTAGGTGTGTCAGGGCGTGGGGATAGAAGCCGCCAATGGTTATCTCTTTTACGCCGCGGGTTCATGTTCATACGGACATGCGTATCTACTGTCCATCTTGTACCAGAGCAGATCTAGGGACTATACAAACACCTCCTATGAGTTTAATGTTGGTATGGACAGACCAATGGCCACCGTGTCTGGCCTCTTAAGTGTGCCTTGGTGCAGAAGCCTATAGAACATAACTGGCACTTTATCGATGACTCAAAAATGTCTGTCGACCGAACAAACCACAACTGCTCTAACGATGGACTTTTTCGTGCCGTGGTTTAGCCAGGCAGGATGACACTCTTACATCCTCTTCGATGGGTGCCTAGATATTTGAACAATATTACCCGTCCACAGGGGGCGAGTTTGGCTTCAGACGCACACTGCAGCAGTCTGGGGAAACAGCCCATCCCTATCTTGAAGGCAAAGAAGCGGAGTGCTTAAGAAAATTCGTCCCGGCTGGGTATGTGCGGAACGTGTTAGTGCTAAAGCGTCCGCGCGGAATTCGCTGGCCGGATCTCTCCGGAACGGCAATGTAAGCAATCGCTCCTTCTTTTAAGCCTTTAGCATGTTCGAATTCCGTGGACGTTCTATCCTATATTTTATGATTAACTCGGGGAAGTATTCTCTCACGGAGTGCATTTAACAGGGGTGAATTAGCTCACCAGCGCATCGGAAATGCATATTCTCCTAGGTCCTATGGTTAGGCAGCGA